GCTCCGTAGGGTTCGCGTATGTTGACAGTATTAAGTCGATTCAATTGTGAGAATCATGAGTAACTTAATATCTAAATCTATAGTACATTAAGTACGTACGATAAAGAACAGTTTCTAAATGTTTATTTTGAACTGAAAATTATATATCAGCTAGCATCTAATTCTTCGAAGTACTTGCAGTTGACCGTTAGAGAAATGGTGGGCTTTGAACTACGCTGCAACCGTGAAAATAGAAAATAAATTGTCAGCGAGAGATGGCGTAACCGCACCACAGCTTTGGCGGTTTTTTATGCGCATTCCAATTGCACTTGACGATCTGAGTTGGGATTACTCAATAATTAGGAGACAATGACTTAATCTGCTTATTTATTTTTTAAGTTGTAAATATTTAACATTGTGGTCTCATTTAGGATATTCGAGTAAGTTCGCCTTTTTAATTAGTATTCATAATGTATTTAATGTCGTCTAGGCACTGAAAATGTTCACATTCGTTTTGGTTGTGCAGTGCTCGTTTTGTTTTATTGCATTAGCTCCGACGTGATCTGCCTACGGAACTAGTACAGGTCACAACTCATGCACAGTACCAATCAATCTCCTATCTGCGATCTCGTCACTGAATTTCTAGCTTTTTATACGTCTGCTGTGGGAGGTTAACAAACTTGCGTTTCTGATTGCTCATTCATCTTACATCATTGTGGTTTGCGTTAGATTGAAATTTTTCATTTACCTGCCCGGCTCCCGTGTCATTAGTATCTAATACAATTTAGTCTCGCTCGCCTAGATTTAGTGTTCATTTATTTGATTTTTTTGCTGCTGCGATACGATTAGCTACGTTGATTTTACGAGTGTTATAGCGCCGAGCTAGACCAGACAGATGTTTGTTGTGAACAATTGTAAGGTCTATTGTTGTATTCTTTTTGTCTGTTTGGTTTGAATAAGCCAATTGCGGATCGAGGAAGTGGACAATTTGGGATCTAAGTTACATGCAGCTAACACACGCTATATAAATATTTTACGTTAAATAATGACTAGATGTATGTATTTAAAGTAACGCGTTCTTAGTGCGTGAAGGATGTAAAGTATACTTAATTTTTTTATAACACATTAAGTAGCTACTTGAGGTGTTGTTGACTCACGAAATGTGTAGGTTACGTGGTTAGGTAAACGTTCATTTCATACGTTACGACGGGACCATCACTGTTGCCGACAATTCTGTTATTGTGATTGCGTAAAAAGTATCCGTAATTCGCGTAATCAAAATAGCATTAGCGAAGCAAAAGTTGTTAAAAACCGTTTGATCTTTATCGTAATAGCTTAATGTTTCTACTTCGTCACGCACTATTTTTATACCACGTGTGTTACATTCACATAAATAAATCTTCTTAAATAATAATCAAATCATGCTTAGTAACTATATTGAAATTAGAATTTATAAGATAATGCAAGATTTATAGTTAACTTCTAAACAGATAAAACAGATTTCTGTAAGATTTTATGTCTAGTTTATTTATGTTGCCCTGTGCAGTACATCTGTTACATGCGTTACTAGATAAAGCTTTAGTAGCGAGGTCGTTGGTGTACGATTTGTATCTAACATGCACTCTAGTCTAGACCAAACGTGATGTCAAGTTAGCTTTACGAATGCACGATCTTTCCTATGTGCGATTCAACTCACAATCACATCACTACTAGCATCATCGATTTATATCTCGACTGACGCACTCGCTTCTGTATCAACAAACCAGTTGTAATCTTCTGCAAGTTATCCACTATTATTTTTAACAATTTAATATACATATGCATCTAATTTAGAGCTTCAAGGTCGGTATGTCGGTGAACTTTTAGAGGCGGGACTTTGTTCAATCAATATATCCTTAAGTGGCACTCGCGAATTAATCATCGTGCATGTCTTGATGCACTTTCAATCTTACTCCAGGTCCTGTTCTCTTACTATCTTGATTCATTCATGTTTTGTACGCTTGCGAATGGATGTGTTATTTTGTGGCGCTTCTCTCGCTTTATTGAAAACAAATTCGGCAACGAGGCAACGGTGTCGTACGTGTTATCTTGTAGTATTACATGTAAATCTTACCTTTATCAGCGATTTATTGTGTGCGCTTGTCTTTAAACATTCATGTTTATTGTCTCAGTACGTTTGTAACACCTTATGTTTTTCGTTGACGTAGGCGTCACCCAGTTATTTCCATCTGAATTATATTACTGTAAAATGTGTCCCGAGTGGACGAGACACGTTCTTTTGTTGCTGTTTTACTTTAATAAAGGTCTGCTGTGTTCGAAGACTACCAATATTTTCCACCCACACAACATAATTCTATGCTGCAACAATAAAAGGATTATTATCAACCCGAAAATACACATATGGTAATGGCAACCCACGTTATGTCTCACGAAATTTGAGTCTCTTTATGAAGGTGTTATTCATCTAGATTACTTAGGAGTCCGCAATAAAGCGGGTTCACGGACACTGAACTGCCGCGACTTTAACAAAATTCTGCACTTTTTTGCAGTAAAATACTTAGAATATCTCAAGACGTTTGTCGGTGCGAAAAGTCACATTAAAAATGTCAACATGGTTGTCATTTCGTACGGTAATAAACAAAATAAATGAATGTTTTATATCACAGTAAATAATTATTCCACGCAAACAATCGGCTCTGGACGAATTACAGAACTTGTTATAATTTGTATGAGCAGTGTCGATATCAATCTTTTATTCATGAACATTCACTATTCGATAGACAAAATAGCAGTAGCCGCAAATATATCATTTTGTGTTTTAATTCCGATCGTCAATAAAACTAATCAAAATGCGTTGTAAGAGAATTATTCTAATGATTAATTGAAAGCATGTCTTAAAAAAATGCTGACAAATCGAAACGCTATCTGACGTACATGTTAGGTTTATTCGTTGTTTTTTCAATGCCTTTTTATTTGTGTGTTTCTGACAAAAGACTTAGGTGGGCGAACTTTCAAGGCCTGCTGTTATGCTTCAGGAGGTTTTAATTTAATTCCTTGCACAAATTTCGCATAAATTGTTTTAGCTTAGACTTTTTAATCAATAACACTTATCTGCCATAAGTTTTATACAAACTATGTTTTAATAATGACATCAGTTGGACTAAAATTATTTATACTTCGCAAAATGTGGGCGTTTAATACGCCTGTCTACCCCTTCGGCGATTAAAAGTGAGTGTCATGATTTAAAAAAAAAAACATGGCTTCTAACATCATGTTCTATGTAGGTTTTGTTACTTAGGGCATAATAAGTTTTACTGTGAGCCAGTCTACCTCTTCACGATTGTATAGTATGCGTTTTATTTTTTGTCTCAATTGCCTGAATCCTTAGCCAAATTATATTATGTACCTCCAAGTATGAAGTGTTAATATTGGCAAATTCAATTTGTCAATAGTTTTTGTATAATCATCATCTTTAGTGTTAGTCTCGTGTTTTTATGTTTTATTACCGTCATGAAGCTAATGACTGCTGCAACATTTATAACTTTTACACTACGTAACAAATGTTGTTCTTTCATTTATGTTCTTTAATTACACTTAGTTGCGTGTTTAGTTATAACTTCAAATGATTCATTATTTTTTTAAGGTTTATCTATAAAACTTTGTCTATTGTTGTCGTTGTCAGATCCGTAATGAGATTTTTTTACAACTTTTGTAATGAGATTGTCAAGATTTTTGTAAGCGCCGTTTATTGGCTACCATTGGCGGTGCTATTGATACCTCTAAAAAGGTTTTCTATATGTGTATGTTATTTAAATTGCCATACATGTCATTAAAATAGATATATTTAGATATTGCACCTTAGCGGTTTTTATACTGTGATGTGAGTTTTAAGAAATATGTTATGATGTTAGTATAGGACAGGCATAATGAACAAGTTTTGCTTCGTTTATTTTAAACGTTTCAAGTGTGCGTATTTTTTTGTTTAAATTGTTGAGAACACACTATAACTTGTTCAGAGTCACCTTAAATGTTAAGTGCTTTCTTCCAACAATTTAACATAAATTCCTCTTATATAATGTATGATACGAATACTGGTAATGAAATAAATGTAATGCGTCGTTATGCTCATTGCTTTCCTCATTTTTACGTAATGAGTTCTCCCGTTACGTAAAAGTTATGAGTAAATTGGGTATTTTCAGAATTATCTTCAGCTTGTTCCGCATTACATGAATTTTATTAAAAAAATAAAATCTAAAGGAAGTAGTCTAAATTTAAACTGTAATGTCAAATAAGTACGTATCAGAAATTACTGTTATTAGTCAGATTACAAATACGTGTCTCTAATGTCTGCTACTTTGTCCTTGGGATAAGCTTCCCAAGGACAAAGTGGCAGACATTAGAGTAGTATTAATTCAATTAGTTTATTACACAGGCCAACAAAATTTGACAAAGTTTCTTGCCCAGAAACCAGAGTATACTTTCAAGAAGGATTTTGGTACATTGAATCCAAATTCGGCCGTGGAATTGCTCTATCACGTCAGGTTTTTGAGATATTCAAAAAACACACACTTTATTTAAGGTTATGTAACCCTTCAAATATTATTATGCCTAAAAAAGTACACAGGGTACCTTAAAATTCAAGTCTTAAGCTTTTAAATGACGTTGTGTTTGCTCAAGTAATCATTTGGTTCACTACTATCTCAGCTAAAAAAAAAAAATATTTAAGCAAAGCAAAAAGCAAGGTTTCTGGGTAAATGGCTCTTGTTTTTTTTTGTTTTGATTGTTATTAGTTTACTATTCTTACACTACTACATTACAGTTAATGCTATGTACACCCTATTTTTTTTACATATCAGGTATATTGTCACATATTGTCAAAATTAGTTATGAGTATAATATGTTTAATGTAGTAGTTCTTTTATTAATAAATAGGCTAGATTCTTTTCATTTATTTTTTTCGGTAGTATAGTCCTAGATTTCGAACTTTGTGAATGGTTTAAAAACGAAATTATCTCTTGCAGGAAAACATAGACCCATCGCCGTACAGCCTGTCACCGATATCAGCGAAGTCTGAAAAATTACTCCGCTCCCCGAGAAAAGCCACACGGAAGATATCTAGAATTCCTTTTAAGGTGCTTGACGCACCCGAACTGCAGGATGATTTCTATCTGAACTTGGTGGACTGGTCAGCTCAAAATGTTCTCAGTGTGGGATTGGGTAGTTGCGTTTATTTATGGAGCGCTTGTACTAGTCAGGTGAGTTCGAGAAATAAATAAATTTTCTAAATAAGAAAAGGACGACAGTAGTGCATTGCATACACTGCCACGTCAGGTCTTGCTGATCTAGAATCCTGATCGGTGCAAATAGTCGTTTGCGTGAATTAAACATTCAGTTAATATTTAGTAATGGGTATTTCACAAATTCAATTCCAAGTATATTTATCCCTGTTCTTGCACTCATCAACTCTGGGCACATTTGCGTGACGGAGCCCCTACGACCTTGACTGATTACTTTTCTGTTAGAATAGACAAAACGAGTATTATAGTCAGTCATTATCGCTGGATTTTTTCGAAATAAATATTCATTTCGGTAATAAGTATCAATTATCGATTGGTGATCTGGCGGGAATTAAGACAACTGCTCAGAGTGCCCAGTGGGAAACAGGGGCTTGGCACTCATAATACAAATTGTAAAATATCCACAACTTAGTATCTACTGCTTTTCTTTTAAATTAGATGTGTTTTAAATGACTTTGAAGTCGCTTGTGTAACCATTAGGTGGTTAGAACCCCCAAACACTTATTTTGCATGCCTTTACGTATTGGGTCTAGAAGAAATTAAATTCATCACAATACGATAATGACCATAATATTTATGAATTGACGTCTTTTAAACAGTAGCCGTTTGACGATAACCCGTTTTCCATATTTAAATAATGGGTAATTATACTCGGATCTATTACTACAACTTGTAGTTTTTTATTTATTTATTGTAATATGGTAGTATTTTTGGGAAAAAAGAATAGTCACATGACTTTTGTTAACTTAAATTTGTAAAAAAAAATTGAATATGAATTGGTCTGAAGTAAGTTACTCCATTTAGGTAGTTTGTAATAGTGTAGTATTTCTACACTAATTCTGAACGACAAGACTTAATATTCAACTGGTATTTCTTTTAGGAATCCATATATATAAATATGAAACAAAACGATCATAAATTCGGACATAACCTTAAATATACTTAAGTCGGGGTATATTTGTTTTATTTTCCGTTTTGTGATTCGAATACTTTCTTACAGGTGACACGGCTGTGTGACCTGTCGTCAGAAGGCAACGCTGTCACTTCTGTGGCGTGGAGCGAGCGGGGTCATCTGGTAGCTGTGGGCACACAGAAGGGACACATTAGTGTTTGGGACGTTGCTGTAAATAAGGAGGTAAGATATCTAAATATGATTATATAAAAAGTTAAAGAAAACAAACGTTGGCCTTTTCCTTGTGGTCTTTTCTAAACTTAGGACTGACGTACGCAACCAAGGCCTCTGTGAGCTATTGTGGTCCTAGTCTCGCTTTCCATCTGAAGACCGCGGTATTTCCTACCATAAGAGTTTTGCTTTATTGGAAATTGATTACTTTCCCTAGGAGGGTCAGCGTTAGGCAAGCGACCGGCCATAAAAGAGATTAATCACAAAGTAACGATATAATTTATACTCTCGATTGTCGGCACTTGGTGGAATTCGTTAAAATACATTATGAAATCAAACTCACTTGTACTCTTGCTCCACTATTTAATTTGTCCTGATCTTTGATGGAAGGATTAAGAATACGGAGTATCCCCTCCCATATTCATCACGTGGGTGTCGTAAGAGGCGACTATGGCAGCAAACTATGCAGGCCAACAGCACTTCAAAGAGAAGGAAAACTTGTCACAAACCCTATACCCATCTATCTGGCCAGCGTGGTATAGTTGGCCAAAACCTCATTTCTAAGGAGAGGCCTATGTCCAGCAGTGGACTGTAAAGGGTGTTGATGATGATGATGAAGGATAAGTTAATAAGCGATACAGATAGTGGAAATACAGACTCCGCCTAGTTCGCTTACAGAAGCTTATTCAATTGATTAAAAGTATCAGAATATAGCTGCTTTTATGAAGTATGGAAAAAAAATACACACTGCGCTAAATAAAATTGAGAAAATGTCAGGAAAATATAAAACCAAATATCGATGACTCAACGCAAATAACTACTGTCGAATGTGTCTTTTGTTGGGTCCTTCAACTAAAATTGTTAATATTTATAGGCGTTTAAAAAAATATACCCTATTATAAACTAGATTTAAACAAAAATACAGATAATAAGAAATGTACTACATAATTAGTAGCTATGCAATATCGTTCTTAATAAATAAACAAAAGAAAATAAATCATCTCTGTAATAACTGATGACTTGTTAGTAGAAAGTACCAAATTGTCGTTGTAGGTTTGCGTTATATTTATATAAAGTTCTAAGTTTAGTGTCTGGGTTTAGTTTACCATTATTTAGTAAATCAACTGATCTGTGCTCTATACTTATCGCTAGAAGTTTTCAAATAGCCTTTCGAAATGACTAAGAAAATTTATTACCTAATCTCAGAAACTCACTCTCTTGATTAAAAACGAACTGAGTTCTTTTGTGAATTTTATCTTTTATTAATCTTGTGTGTTAAGATTTCTAAGAATGAGATAATACGATGCAGTTGAATGCAGTCTGCATCTTAGTACATACGATAATACCGGTTTTTGCTAGTACTGTTAACTATCTGTGCTCAATCAGTTGGTGGATGCTTGAAACACGGATGCATAAGTTTATAACTTGCGGAACCCACCGCTCATCTTTATTACATTGCAATTTCCTGGTCAACTGTGAAAATTAATTGGCTTTTATTTAAAGCTAGCTTTCGTCTGCTAATTTTTCTTGATAAAATTTCATATATATCAAACTCAATTTTTTTTTAATGAGTAAACCTTTTTAATAGTGCATTTTCTAACGTGTCAGTAGAATATAAAATAACAATCATATTGAAAAAGTGTCCGTGTGGTGACGGATTAAGAATACGGAGGACCACCCGAATTTGTTCGGTGTGTGTCGTAAGAGCCGACTAATTGAACAAACTACACAGAACAACAGCACTGCAAAGAAAAGGAAAACTTGGAAAACCCTTTTTTTTTTTTTTTTTTTTTTTTTAACGTGTGGAAATCCCCTCGGACCGTCACCCCTCCGGGGTTTGCGGCGGGGTGGTGTGTCGGACTCGGACCGACTAAAACCACACGGTGTGCCACTCTGCGCCTGTAACAGGAGGGATCCGGGAACAGCTGTTAAGACATCCGGACCCCTCCTAGCGCCAGCCCGCTCCTGGTGCGGGCTCCGTCTCAATGTTTTTCCTCTCTTTATAGGCGACGTCCGGCACACGCGGACGCCGCCCCCTCGCGGCTGGCCAACTAATGCGGGTGGAGGGGAAACCCACCCCGTCCACCCGCGGCCAACTTGGAAACTTGGAAAACCCTATACCAACCCGTCTGGCCAGCGTGATATAGCAGGCGAAAACCTCTTTTCTAAGGCCCAGGCCCAGCAGTGAACTGTTATAGGCTGTTGATGATGATTAAAAAGAAACGAGACACTAGAACAGTAGTCATCTCTATGAATGACGATGAATCTGATGACCTAAACCTAGAAGATAAATTATAAACTTTAAATAACTGAAATTACCCACATAATAATTACTAACTATTATAAACACATTATAGATATAAAATATCTAAATATGGCTTTAAAACATTTTTTTTATAATTATTAACTTATTAGACGACAAAGGTAGAAAAAATTGACTTGCCTACTTGCATTTAATAAATATTACCATATAATTAAAAACTATGCAATAAATTTATATATAGTAACTAGTAAACTTGTAATGACATTGTGCAATAATAAATTTATTAAATTATCAACAACTACATACTATTATAAATATGAAATTTTAATAAAATATTTAATTTAATTAATTTATCTCGATTAAAGCAGATATCGTATTAAAATAAAACTAGCACAACTAAGCAGCTCCTCCTCTAATGATAGTGCTGTTCTAGACAGGGTCCATAATTGTTACCTAGTTTTAAGCCTAACACCTGGATTTACATTAAATGCAATAAATAAATTGAAATTGACCTAAGTCATAAGAGTCACGTTAACACATTTGTATCCCCTTTACAAGGCCTAAAATCGACTAGTCTGCCGTCATCAGGTGGACTTATAACAAATTCCCCATACAAACTTCCACCCCCCCTTTCACCCCCTTAAAGACTGATTTCTGGGATAATATATCCTATCTCCTATCCCGGGACTCAAACTATCTCTACCAAATTTCATCGAAATCGGACAGACAGACACTAGTATGGATGAGCATAAATTAAAAATGATACTGTAATAACCAGGAATTTTAACTAACATAGCTTTCGTGCTAGTCTAAAGCTTTTTAAATTATTTATTTTCCAAAACACATAATAATAATAATATTCTACCACATACACACAACGCCATCTAGTCCCAAACTAAGCAGAGCTTGTACTATGGGTACTAGACAACTGATAGAAATACATAATAAAATAACCAACATAATCAGTTCATCTTAAAAAATTGAAATCAACACGACTTCCAACGAACGAAATAAAGAAAAAAATAGGGCAACTACCTTTACAGATGGATGTTTAGTACACAATATATTACCTTTTAAACCTCAGTGTCCTATAAATTAAGTTCTACAAAGTTATAAAGTTATTAACATATCAACATTTAAAACCCACAATTCGCTAAAACTTAAAATGTTGTTTCTAGCTGACGAAACTACAAGGTCACATTGCCCGAGTGGGCGCGCTGGCGTGGAACGGCGATATACTCAGCTCAGGGTCCAGAGACAGACATATACGACAAAGAGACACTAGAACACCCCGTAAGTATTGTATTCAACATGTATTAATTCAAATAACCATGGTAGTTTTCACTTGATAGTTTTATTAACATCATCCGTGATCATGGCGCTTGCAAGTGTCCAAAATATCGGCAAGTAATTCCCGAAAATAAATCCTTTTATAATAGCTTATAAGGTGTATACAACATGTTATAAATCTGAAGGTTGTCTATTTGCTGAATTCAACCTTATAGTCCTCTTTTTAAGCTCTATATTTAGGTTTACTTGTTACTTTGTTGTTCAGTAAAAGATCTTAGAAGTCAATGTCTTATCGTAATGAAATTTTGAGCTGTCTGATGATGGAATCAGTAGGCAAACAATAGGCAGTAAATCCGTAGTGTACCTTGGATGGATGTTTTAGTGATTATATATTTCGACTTTTTTAAAAGTGACTATGCAATTTTTAAGTTTTTTAACTTTTAAAAATGTATCACCAACAGAATTGGAAATGAGTTAAAAATCAAATGCAAATGCGGAAGTATTATAATAATTGTGCAAAAATAAACAAGTGGGGAGAAGGTATAAAATACCTGACCTCGGTTACAAGAAGGGTTCACGATGCACGATTGAAGCTGGGCCGTGAGTCTGTGTTAGATAGTTTGAGAGGGCGCTTAGCTAGTGCAAAACTTGTTTAGCTACCTACTGGCTTTTAGATACTGCAATGGCTCTCAAAGTTTTCTAGTTAATAATAAGACCGATAGTATATTAGGCATTTTATAATTCTGAAAAATTAACATTGCGATTGAATATGATTTGGAATTACTTTCTTTATAAGACAATGTTAAATGTCTAAGTTAATTGTCTAGTCTTGAAATTGATTAACTATATATATAAAAACGGATCGCTGCCGTGGTATCAAAAATCATAGAAAAGATTATTTTGAATAATTTACTTATCCTATGTTTGCAAGACACTCCTTCTAATGATTCACTTAAATATCTTAATAGCTCTTGCCCACGTGTTCGCTCGCGTGATTGTTTTTTATTTCGTGTTACTAACTTTGGAAATGACAACGTTCTATACAACCATTCGTCCCTTATTTTACCTTCATTTTTTTTTTTTTTTCTGTGTGGAAATCCCCTCTGATACCACCCACCAGCGGGGTGGCTATGTGGGACTCAAAAACTGACCATAAACTGCACACCGTCTCAGGTACCAGTAGCCGAAGAACCAGCTGTCCCCTAGAAAGGAAATCCCTGGTACTCCCTTATGTTGAAATTTACTCCCCTGGGTTGAAATTTACTAAAGTACTTAGTGGATTTTCCGTGTGGTGACGGATTAAGAATACAGAGTGTCACCACTCCTATTCATCCCGTGGGTGTCGTAAGAGGCGACTAAGGAAGCAAACTACGCAGGACAGCAGCACTGCAGAGAGAAGGAAAACTTGAAACAAACCCTATAGCAACCCGTCTGGCCAGCGTGGTATAGTAGGCCAAAACCTCCTTCCTAAGGAGAGGCCTATGTCCAGCAGTGGACTAGTAAAGGCTGTTGATGATGATGATGATGACTTAGTGGATGCTTACAACATAAAAAGCATCAGCTGCCCAAATTGCAAGTTTGTAGTCCCAGCAGTTTAGGCTCTGCGTTGATGAATCAGTCAGTCAGTCAAGTAATTTTATATGTAAATACTTTACGTTCGTAATTGCATTACCCATAGAAAGTTTGAGAGTCTTGTACTGAAACACCGTTGCTTGTGGCTCTAAGGCTGCACACGAGTGCACGACTCAAAGTTCAACGACAATGCAATTATGCAGCGCTGTATTTACAGACTTAGTAACTATATACGTAGCCGTACGGTGCATCGGGCTAAATTTGCGAGAATGCGATGTGATTGCTAGACTTACTTTGTCTTTGTTCTTTGTATACATCATTTACTTTTCTATAATTGAGTTTATATATCAGGCGGGTTCCTCTTAGTTTTAAACAGTCGTACAATTATATACCTTTTAAGCAAAAGCAACTAATAAAAAAAAAAGCAAACTTTCTCAGATCTTGTATATATTGGAGCTTTTTCTTGTATACCTTTGTTTGTCTTTTTTATTTGTTATAGCTTAAATTAATAATTTTTCATTGGTGTCATGAATTGAATATAGTTTTAATAAATAGAGTAAAAATTAAATTTAGAACTATATTTTGCTGATTTTTTTAACACTGAGCGTGGTTATATTTTAACATGTATTTACGAGTATACTAAATTTTTGTTCATTAATCTTTGTTTTTTTGAATATATATTTTATTATTACTGTATTATTTTAATAACAACAATAATAATAATAATTTATTTAGATAAAGATTACAGTTGTTGTTTGTTTGCCCTAACTAGGTAGAACCTGTCTCGACTCTCGGATTATATATGCCATTATATCATTTATGACTTTAAAGCAATAGACTTACCGAATAATACTAACTTTTAATAAAGTTTGTACTATGTCACTATTGTATTTACAGAATTTAAAAGTTGCTGCTTATATTTAATAAAAATAATAATTTATTTTTACAGCGTCACAAGCGTCACGCATATTACAGGGGCATAGACAAGAGGTTTGCGGTCTGAAATGGTCGCCCGACGGTCAGTCACTGGCTTCCGGCGGCAACGATAACAAACTCTTTGTGTGGTCTATGGTGAGTTCCCTATTCATAAAATTATTATCTAGCAATGTCGGGGTCGCATTATATTGAGCAACATTTGATAAACATTACCTATCAAGTTAAGAAAATAAACTGTAATACGACTAATAACGTTCATATTTTAATTGTTATCAATTCGATGAATGCGTTCTATTTTATTGCATTTTCTTCTTTATATAATGGTATTGGTTGTGGGCTCCGGTTTCCGCATTTAGACTCAAGATGGTCCTTTATGCGTAGAGGAAACGTTGGCTAGGTGAGCCAACCAAGCTCAATTGGCATATGCATTTAATAATATACAATTTATAATATTTATTAGGAATATTTTTTATACTCTTTATACTTTTCTATACTCTTGGCATCGAATTAGCTCCATGACCAATTACCCTACTTGAGTTCGCAATTGTTTTAATGCAACTGGCATTAAAACAAACCTACATGTATGTATATAATTAATTGATAATGTATTTCCATATACTTTATTCTATTGTTTCTATCGTGAGAATGCGGTTACGGTGTGAGTGATAAACTGATAAGGGTTGTGGTTATAGTATTTATTGTTTCCAAGTACCGTATTACATAAAACTTATTGCACAATCAATACCAATTAGTTTTAACATACGTCTGCGAGTTATATTTGTTCGAACAGGTTTATTTAAATCAGGAAAAGAAGAGGGTCACTGCTATATGGGCATTGCGTTGGCGCATCCGAACCACACGATGTGCTATCCTGCACCTATGTAGAAGTTTGCTCATGTAACAACTGTTAAAAGGAAGCCTTTCTTCTTCTTATCGTCTAGATGTAAAAGTTTAAAATTCGAAAACATTAAATTTAGCAACACGGCCGACCTTTGTAGGTTGTGTATATGACATATCTATATAAATAAAAACGAATTGCCAAATGCGTTGCTATTGTTGCTAAGCGCAAAACTCGAAAACGGCTCTACCAATTCGGCTAAATTTATTTTTGATATTTTCGTTAAGGCACAAGGAAGGTTTTGGAAGGAAGAAGGCAGGAAAAGTGAAACAAAACAAAACCGCGTTAGGATGCGATTGGAAAATAACTTTTGTCAGAACGAAGTCTTTCGGGACAGCTAGTTATATTTTTATAAGTTCGTAGGACACACTTCACTAGTATCTTTACTAGGTGGATAGTAGTAATATGCATCCAAATTAACGAACTACTTGTAATACTGGTTTGCGACAGTAGTAAACTGGTTGGTACAATCATTTTGATCTCAAGTCCGACGTCCTAGCTACCGTCGCTGTGACTCTGCCTCAATGGTATACAAATAGAATGTATCTATCTGTCTGTTGTTCCAGCACTCGACTTCCCCGGTACAGACGTACGGTGCTCACGTAGCGGCGGTTAAAGCCATCGCGTGGTCGCCGCACCAGCACGGCCTGCTCGCCTCGGGCGGAGGGACCGCAGACAGGTGCATTCGCTTCTGGAACACGCTCACCTCGCAGCCGATGCAGTGTGTTGACACAGGTTAGTTGTACTTTCAAGACTGTTTTTCTTAATATGTCCGACCGCTTGCCTATCGCCAATCTTTCTTTTGAAATTAATCGTTATATGACTGGACAAAGGCAGAAGGTAAGTTAAGGGCGAGGAAAACGGAAGCTAGGAGACTAGCGGAATTGCTGTCCTGTGATTCAATATGTATGTCTGTGGAAAATTGTAAGCATATCAGACACCTTAGGACAGGCTTGCATTGTTAGTAATAACGTTGAAATAAATTATTTTTATTATTATATATTAATAGGCCACAAGAACTGAGCTGATCGGCACTGACACGATCAAACTACACAGTTTTTAAATAGTGAGTAAGCGTGACGCTTAAATAGAAAAGCTAATAAAGCTTTATAAAGGTATAAAATACATATATAATAAACAAAATCATTGAAATTTATACAAAAAATAATAACTGATATTTTATATTCATGTTTATCTGAAAACAGTAAAGTAATTTAAAGAAAAATAAATAAAAATATTTTTTCTCTTTCAGTTTGTGTTTTGTCTGTATGTATAAATAATGTATCGGTGCACATTTCAGTAAAACTACAAGTTGTATGTAAAATATCCTCTTTCAAATGTATTCTGACATTAAAATTTGGTTGCAGGATCACAAGTGTGCAACTTAGCGTGGTCGAAGCACTCGAGCGAGCTGGTGTCTACGCACGGGTATTCACAGAACCAAATATTGGTGTGGAAGTATCCTTCGCTCACGCAGGTACCTTCAAATTTCTTTTTGTTTTATTTATTCTTATAAACTCGTTTCATGTCACCACAGCGTTGTCGTACGAATTCGTAGCGACACTGTCCTAAAGTATCTTTCTATTACATTTTTTATTAACTGATAATGCAAGCTTTCTTTGAATATTTTGGTTTCTCGAAGCACGCTACTGCGATAACAAAAACTTAAATAAATCTTAATTAAATATTTTTTAAATATTTTATAACGTTAATTATGTCCAAACCCTTTTCAAGCAATATTTCCAACAGTGAAATACATGCAGGAATGTTAATGGTAAAGATGGGAAAACTGGAAGTATATCGAGAGGGAAGAAAAGGTGAAAGTTTATTTAGAAATGTATAAGTGTATTTATCAGAAGGCTGGTTACCATAGTACAGGTTCTGCTTAGTTTGAGATCAGACTGCCGTGTGTAAGATGTGTCTAGTTATTATTATTGTAGGCACAGAACTCCGTCATTCATGAACCAATGTAGAAAGTACTGATTTATTTACAAGGCTATAACTTCCTGTTTGGAAGAAAATAAAAACCACCCTTAATTAAGGTGGAAAATTCGAGAATGAAGAATACATTTTATTAAAAAAATTCATGATCTTAGCCTGATTGTGGTCGGTTAGTTTTTTAAAGTTAATTATTTTTATGCAGGTCGCGAAGCTAACAGGCCACTCGTACCGCGTGCTGTACCTGGCGCTGTCGCCCGACGGCGAGGCCATCGTGACGGGCGCGGGCGACGAGACCCTACGCTTCTGGAACGTCTTCTCAAAAACACCCTCACACAAAGAAAACAAGAGTGTTCTCAACTTATACACCGCACTCAGATAGATATATTATTATTTATAATAAACAAAACACACACGCGTTTTTGTATTCTCAATTTTGAATGCAAAAATTGTGATATAAATTATAAAATAAGTTCGAGTTGTAGAAAAATAATGAGTTTAAAATGCCTGTGTGTTTCTGAACTTATATTATTAAAGATTTGTAAATACTAGCTTTATTTATTATTAAAGAAACGGTTAGTGGTGTATCGTTTATATCGATATTTTGATGTTTATAAGCTGGACTGTTAGGTCTTTTTGGTGATTTTTGTTGATCAATATTAAAAAGTATTAGTTGTTCGCTGTGTGACAGAGATGGAACGAGTTGTCATTGTTTCTCTTTCACGCAAGGACACAACAATTAGTAAATTTCTTAAACAGGTTCGTTTATGAAAATTCGAGTAAAAATTGTTTTACGAACTGTATCAAAATCTTTTTTATACATTATGTACACACGTTTGTATATAAATTATATATTGGAACTCATGTATATTGCTTATTTTAGAGTTCGATTGGTTGTGTGACAGTCAAAGATACAAATATGAGTAGTTTTTAGAGTTCGAACGTTAAATAACATCAGTTGTGCATATCGATTTATTATTGATCATGTAAATAAGCTTTTACAAAATTGTACAAAAAAAAAACTACGGACGATTCAAATCTGTAACATTGCATGATGAGGGCTCTACTGTAACTAACCAGCTTGTTGGAATATAGAATATTTAAAGCTAAGGTCTCTCAAAGCTTAGTTTAGAGCTTAGAGAAAAGGTTCAGTAAGGAGCTATTAAGTGTGCGAGTCTCTTCTTTAAACAGTAGATGTATCATAAAATTGCTTTAAAAAGATTACCAGGAAACCTTCTCTAATCTTTTTCAGGACTAATATTGTATTTTTGATTGTCGCGTCCTGGCGACTGAAGCAATTCTTCGATAGAGCTGCTACGTTGCTTTCTTTCGATGTGTTTATTTAGACAGAGTGTAATATTAAGACTGTAGGAAAAAATAGTAATAATGTCCGGGTTCATTCGCATCTAAACAATAAAAACATCTAAAAACAAACATGTGAATTAAAAAGAAAATAAAATGTAAAAAATAACAGCTGCTATTGCAGTAAATTGTTTCTGTTGAACACAACAATTGAACAAAACTGCTGGGCAGAGTATGTCTTTAGTTTACACTCTGATTCGTGAAACTAGATGTTGGAGAGATTTTCATAACCCACACAAGTTTAAATAAAAAAATAATTGATCATAAACCATAACCTTTTTTATTCAAATAGTAATATGTAAAAGTTTTTCACTCAGTTTCAGTATTTATTCAACCAGTGAAGCTAATTTTACTAGGGTTTGTGTAGCATGTTCAAAGTGTATTATTTAATTCCTCTAAATGAACAAAAAATGTTTGCGTTACGAGTCATATCAATATTCAGAGTTTATTAAGTGTGCGCAAAAGCTATACCTAACAGATTTTATTGACACAACTTCATTGTTTTCTGTTAATGTACACTTTAATTATTAGGGAATGCTTAATAGGTATTTAGTAGAGTGTCATTAAGTCCAATCACTGACAATTAAAACAGTAATTGCTTACCACAGAGCATTTGAGCAATGTAAAAATTGTTTTACACGTATTATATTAAACAGAAGAAAAAATAAATAATTTGAAAATAGCACGACGTCACAAATGTAGTATTTTATAAAACATAGTTTTTTATTTATTTATAAATTGATTAGACTCGACGATCAAATAAAGAGCTTCGTATCTGATAACATATTGTGCAGTCTCTCCATCATCTACTTGAAAATTTCGACCTAACCATGTAATCATTTTGTAGTGTCACTTTTTCGTTTTAAAACTATTATTTTCTTATAAAATTGTAGTTACTTTGGTAATACATTTTTGGTTTATAATTGTTTGTAAAACTAATTTTATGGTATTTTTCTTTCAGATTTATAAGTCGTGTGTCGTTTGATAGATAATTATAATATAGAATTCTTTCAAATGATTGTGACTTGCGGGTAGTTCGAGAATAATTTTTATTTACCAGCGTAAAAATGCCGGAATCAGGAGAAAAGGTATACAGACGTACAGTAGTACAATTTTTTTACATGTATCATTCATTTAAACTTTAGTATGTAATGTATGTTTATTATAATCGGTATGGCATTTAATTTTTAGATGTAATAAGTGATTTGGAGGTGCCGTTTGATCTCATTACAACTATGATCTTAGTATGGCAACACTTTATATTCTATCTTATTTATTTTCTTCTCTTTTTCTTTACTTTTTTATTCAACACTTGTAGTGTTTTATCACATTTTTTTTTTCAAAACAATAAATTCTTAGTCAACATTTAAAACTTGTTAAATATTTTTCAACATACTTCCAATCATAGACTAAATTAGTCGTGTATTTTAACATTACAAGTGTATATTATCTAAAGGTGACCTCTAAATTGTTTAAATTTGTGTAAAATATTGTAATAATCCTATTAGTTATAAATTAGTCTTAAAATAAATTCAATTTGACGAGTGCAATGTTCTTAGTTAATTAAATTATATTTGTAAACCACTGTGTGACTAATTATATAATCTTAAATGTATTTTGCTTTGTCCTATTGAGACGACATGATACATGTTTATAAGTGATAACAGACAAATACAATAAAATCAATTCTCTTCATAACATACAAAAATGTTATGGTACAATATTTTTTTCTAGATAACTATAGTTAATTATTACTATGCTAAAGTTAGTTCACCATAATCAGTAATATTAAGGATTAAAATAGTGATTAATTTTGCCTTCGCCTAAAATAGGGTGGACGCGCGTAACCCAATGTAACCCTTTTCAATTAAGTTTTAAATTTGTAACAAATTGTAGAAAACATTTTAGTTTTCTGTAATTCCTATCGATTTTACACTCCCTAAAAAATCCTAAAATCTGTGTACGAAAAAACATCTTCAATATTTGTGTGTTCAGAATTATTCTAAATTGTAATCAAGGCCACATTACTTTGTTTCATAAAAATTAAACAGATAAATAATATGATAATAAATTTCGCCTTAGAAAATTGTTTGTTTCATGTATTATCTCTTCTCTGTAGGACATATTTTGTGAAGGACTAATATGTTCTATTTTTAATGTGTAGTGTTGTAAACACAAAAAATTATGATGGTTCTGTCTAAGAGGTTCTCTTGGATCAGTTTATTTAGTCATTTCTGTATTTGTTAGGTTATTTTTAATGTTAAAAAATAAATATAAAAAATATATGTTGTTTAAAAGCGGGCAATCCTATAACATAGAACACTCGCTTACTCTGGATGCCATGAATGTATTCTTGAGCCACATCAATAATAATAGTTTTATATTGTTTTATTATAATTAAGAGTTATAAACATAATAAAGAAAACTACCTGAATTGTAGACCTTAACTCATACCAGAAAAAAAAAAGTTCTAGAATGTGCTATCGGTCAGGTTCTATAGTTCAGATACACAAAAAGCGTCCTTCAGGAGAACACTGTAAGGCTTTTTTTTGTATGCATCGAACTGTCGGTTATAACTATTTAAAAGTAAGAGGTGTTCTAGATGTTGTACTGAGGACTAAAATATATGATATACATGATCTATTTTTGCTTCGTATTTAATAATACTGTACTCATAACTCACATCCCGTTTTAGTTGAACAAGAAGTAAATTCGTATACTTAAACTTTCCACAGATTTCTCGTATAATATGTACCTTACTGTATCTACATTATTTCTGATCTTTCTAACAACTTATGTCTAAAAGTCCTGTTTAAATATAGTATAGTTTAATTAAGTGTTAGTAACCGAGTTCTATTTGTATAAAAGAGCTATTTATATGAAATACAGAGTGAATAATATATTAAACTTGTATAGACTGATGAGATCCTTGCAATGTACTTTAGAATTAAATGTTTTGATTGTGTGCTCTAAATTATTATTTTCTTGTAAAACCTTATCCACATCATTGAGTCCGAATTCATTGAAAAACATAAATAAATTAGAAATATATAAATTAATTTTCTCATCCTCCGGGGTGAGGGGGGCACCGATGGACCGGCAGCACACTTAGGAGTTGAGTTACAGCGGTCCATGGGCGGCGGTTATCACTTAACATCGGGTAATCCGTCTGTTCGTTTGTCTTCTGCTATGTCTTAAAAAGGAAATCGTACCCCACACCACACGTTTTTTGGCTCTACACGAGGCCCCTTCGAAAGTGTAGATTCTGTAGCTTTAACATGCTTAGAAATCTGAGTTGCTCTTTTATAAACTTCTAAGTTACTTAAAATAACCAATATCAAAATATGTAGTAAAATTGTTGTACTGTTTTAATAATTTATTTAGAGTAACCGAGTTTATTGCGCTTAAGTCAAAGATTAAGATAAATTTATTTGTTAGAACAGTACATTAGGTTTTATGTAAAATTTCTTACATTCTACTATTTTTGGTGCACTATTTTCCTATTTTCACTTAGGTGCTTTAATGGTTATAATTAAAATACGAAAAGAAATGAGTTAAATGAAATCAAATACTAAAATAATAAATTAATTAACATTTTGAGAGGAATTAGAATACAACAATAAAAATAGTTAAATAGAACATAGTCAAAAAGCAAATATGAAATAAAAAAAATTCAGTCAAATCGCTCATTTAGAAAGTCATTTAAGGAATGGACTGGTGAAAGGACTTCAAAGACTGCGTTTAAATCTTTGAAAAGTTAACGATTTAACAATGTCAGGCAATTTATTGTTAATGCGAATGGACATAAAATACACATTATTGGAGCATAGTTTTAGATTTTGTCTAGGATCAAGCAGCTTTATACATAGCCACATCAATTAATGAGTTCAAATAAATTGATGTGGCTATTTACAAAGACACAAATTTTAAATATACACAAATTTTGAACAAAGGAACACAGCTGTCCAATGGCTGCGCTCTGCAGATCGCACGTATGTATTTTTTTTTGTGCCCGAAAGGCTCTATTTACATCAACAGAACTACCCCACACTATCAAATCGTACTGCAATACTGATGAGTCGTTACCATGATACGTGCAAAGTGCCGCTTCAACACCGGCTACCCGCCCTTTTTTTATTTTTTTTATTTCTATAGTACGTATACAAATCTATCTATTTTAGAACATACAGATTCATTGTTGCCTTCCAATTGCAGTTTTTATCCATTATCACACCATGAACCTTTGTGTCGTTTACTTCTTCAATAATCTCATAAGCATGTTCTATTTGCAATTTCGGACGTTTATTATTATAAGGCTGAAATTGAACAATTTAGTTTTGCCGATATTAATTTGTAGGATAATTGACTTAAACCACGAAATCACTCTATTCAAAGACAAATTTATCTCCTCTTATTTCTAATTTTTATTTGTAGATTTAATAGTGATGTCTGATCAGCATATACAATATACTTGTGTGGAATTCCAACATCAACAACCAATCACTTATATAAAGTACGAACAAAAGAGGTCCCAATATGCTACCATGGAGTACACCACATTTGTTTTGACGATACAAGGACTATATATTATTATACACTGGTGGACAAAAAAATTAGGCCACTTCTAATTTTACTACGGTATTTTTCAAAATTAAAATAAATTCGTCTTTGTACGTTCATCAGCAATCTTAGTAGAGCGTATATTGATAAAAATATCAAGTGTAAATGTGTGAAATGTAATTTATTCAGTTTTTTAGAGACCCACACTATTATTCTTTTAAGTTTAAATTCCTGTCGCTAGGATACTATTTAAAACTATCGTTTAATTCGTATTACTGATTTAAGTTCTGTGCCTCGCACTTTCTTTTTACTGAAAAATATGGAACGCGAAGCAGAAGTTGTTCGAATCGTAACGTTGTTACAAACTGGCATGAGCCAGCGTAATGTCGCTGGACAATGTTAAGTTAGTCAAATCGATCAACAGTTCAATTTGTCTACAAAAGGTATCTCTGAAGGACCTGTTGTCTAGTGGTTAGTTACCCTGACTGCTAAGCCGAAGGTCGTGGGTTCGATTCCCACCCAGGACAAATATTTGTGTGATGAGAACAGTTATTTGTTCTGTGTCTGGGTATAATTTATCTATAATATGTATGTATTTAGTAATATATAAGTATGTACCATAGTACAGGCTCTACCTAGTTTGGGATCAGACAGACGTGTGTGAGATGTGTGAGGTTATGTGTGAGGTGAGGCATCTGGAGACCGGTGGTTACATCAGAAGAGTTAAATTAGGCCGGCGAAGAATGACATCTGAACGGGATGATTGATTTATAGTGTCAACAAGCCTCAGAAATCGTCATCGTTCTACTCGTAGAGTAAAATTGAAGCACCTGCTCAGAGATGTCCGAGGTGTTACTGTAAGTGATAACACAATAAGAAGGCGCCTTAAAGAACGAAGGTTAAACCAAACAGACCCGCAACAGGTCCTAAACTTACCATAGCTCAAGGTAGCAAGGTTAAATTGTGCTCGTCGTGTTACTGGACATTGGCACAATGGGAGCAAGTACTCTTTTCTGATGAGTCCCGTATGTGTCTATATGGTGCTGATGATAACAAAAGAGTATATCGTAGACCAGGAGAACGATATGCACAATGTGCCATATCTGAAAGGTAAGCTTTTAGGTGGTTCAGTTTTGTTCTGGGGAGGTATAAGGTCAGAAGTCCGTACAGAGCTGGTTATCGTAGAAAGAGAAACCGTGACTACTGAATGGTACATCACTAACTTTCTTCATCACTAACTAAAATATTGTGCCATACTCAGGATTTCTCTTTCAAGAATTTAAATGCGCACGGTAATGCACGCCCCCACACTGCGATGTGAGTGAGAGATTACTTGCGAGAGTGGGAATACAAGTTCTGGACTGGCCAGCACAAAGTCCAGAACTTAACCCAATAGAGCATTTATGTGACGAGCTAAAACGGCGAGTAAGACAGCGAGAACCAGCTCCAAAGAACATGCAACAACTGAAAGCAGCTTTATTGGAAGAATGGACACATACCCGAATCTACCATTAAAAAGTTGAAACAATCCATGAATAGAAAGTGGTACCTATGTGTTCTCAAAGCCAGAGGAGGCAATACCTTTTAGTGAAGAAAGATGACATCAGCGAAACCATTCTAAATCACTGTGAAGTTGTTGTAAATTTTTCTTTATTTTTGATATTTCTTGTGTATTACTAAAAAATATAGTTGGTTAATTTAAAAATGCATTATTGCATGCATGCAAGAATTAACACACATTTTTTTTTATTGTTTTCGTTTTGTGCTTGTGCCACCAGATTTGCAGACATTCACTGGTACCGGTTATTGACTTTCGAACATGTGATCCTGCTGCTCGTTTTCCCCCTATATCATAAAAAGAGGTATGGGCAAATATATTTACGTTTTAACTTTTTAAACTCAATTTTTCTTATAAAATAACTAGCCAGCAAAAGCGTGGAGAAAGAGTTCACTCGTGACTGACTATTATGGCGGGTGGAGGACAGCCCGTCCTGTCCTCCTACGACCAGCCTCAGAGTGGCATGAGATCCTGGGAGGCACACCAGCTTCGCGTCTGGTATGCTAGCGCTAAATAAGTTCGAGTCGTGATCTTCTTATCCCTTTGATCTTCTCTCCTTCTGTTCGTCGACACGATCTGATAATCGCGAATGGGTTTAAACGTCAATTTCCTCTGAAGGCGCTAGGGATGCTCTCTGGAGCATCATCCCTTTTCTACCATTAACTTTCTTTTATTATACTAAAAATGTTACCATCTAATTTCCAAAGCGCCAGGTTAAAGGCAATAGACTTGCACCCTGTTACGTAGGTGGAAGTAAAATAGTAGTCAGGACCCCTTACATTATAATATTGACCGAGTAAGTATTGCATGTCAATATTTGGCTAAACAACATTAAAACTTTGAAATCGAAGTTCTAGAAGACGATACTCTTTAAATTCCCTACTTGTTTCGTCAATAACATTACTCATTTATGATGCATTGATGATTCGTTTAAATTTTCCAACTAATTTTGGTGTTTTACGTCTAAAATATCTTTTGAAACTAAAATGATTGAGTTACAGTTCAGTACAGTACAGTTCTAACATGTAGTCACCCTAATGGACGAGTAATTAGTGTCCGACCGAATCAGGAATTTCAACCGAAAGCGAAACCGAACTTCCGGCACCTGTTTCAGTTTCGGATGACTCAAAACTCGAAACTCAACTACCATTTTAAATTTTTGATTGTGTAATGAAATCTAGTGTATTTTTATCTGCTAATACCTAAGTGTCACTTAAAACCACTGTAATATGGTAGACACACGGCATTAAAGTTATTAAGGTAGGTAAATAAAAATAAAAGCATTACGTAGGTAGGTACTACTAAGTATTAGAAATTCACCTATATATTATCGAACTAGATAGAATGACTGGAAAGTTTGAACGTATTATACGAGTTTTCTCATAGATAAAGTTAACTGCAGATCATACGTAGTATAAGTTTTTTGGGTGGTTTTATAAATATATATCTTTTTCTTTTTTTTTAAGCCTACTTTCGCCCTAGCAATATCTTCTGTGTCGCGGGGGACTTATAAACATATGTGGAACGGACACAAAGAATACCCAGACTCAGAAGAACGATTTGTGCAAGTGTCGTCTCATGTGGGGATCGAACCCACAACATTCAGCGTCGAAGAAAGCGGCTTGGCGACCACTTCAACCACTACTTCATCCGTGCAGTCTAATATATATATATATATATATATATATATATTAACTACTATTATATTAACTATTTTTGATTTATTAAAACATAAAGTAAGGAAATGGAAAATTAAAAACAAATTATGCTCTATTTTATTTGAAGAAGTAGCACTGACACCCCATCTCACATATGTTGAGGCACATGATCAAATAATAGGCTTCAAAGATTTTTTGAATGAACGCCAATTTAAATACTGTGATCATGCACTAGCATTCAAGGTATTTGTTCACACTGGCGTCAGCCTATTTCCTTTTATTTCTGTGAGGGAACTACTGCTGCTGTTACAGTTACACAGATTTACCACTGGCGATTGTATGTGACCAAGGATCAACGTTTGGAACAGCCATAAATATGCTAAAGACAGATAATGAACGCAAAAGAAATTTAAATGGGGAACATAATGGTAGATGCCTGCGCTGTTCATTTATTGCACATTTTGTTACTGGTATCCTTTAGATTAACATTATCTAATAAATAACTTTTGGTTTGCAGATGGAACTGTTGAGATAGCAGGCCAAGAATCGAGTGTGGTGTATGATCCACCACATCTACTTAATGGCCTTAGAAATAACCTGCTTACCAAAGATATGGTTATCAAAGGCAAGGTTGCTTCTTGGAAAGATATCTTGACAGTATTCAAAGCTGATTGCCAACTAGGCCACAGAAGAATGAACAAAAAACTAACTGAGCACCACCTTTATTCCGACAAAATGAAAAAAAATAAGGTTAGTGTGGCTGCGCAAGCGCTGAGTGCAGCAACGAGTGCAATGCTTAAATACACTACATTATTTAATAAGTTTTAAACTATATTGTTAATATGTGATATTCCAATAATATTTATTATGCATCTCCTTTATGTATCTATATAAAATTTCAGAAACCACAACGACAGGTGAAATCGTTAGTGAAACAATGGCTCCGACTGGAGAAGCAGTGGAATTCGTGGATAAACTCTTTGACAGCCTCAATGGATCACGAAGACGCACTGTTAAGTGAAAGTTACGAGGACCAATAAAGCCAAACTCAAAACACTATGAGTTTTGGCAAGAAGCTAAAACTATATTAAAAAATATTAAATTTGTAGACAACAAAAGTAAGAGGGCACGAAAAAATAAAAAAACATTTGAGATCCGACTTCCTTCCCTTGACGATTGGATAACAACGATAGAAAGTTTTGAAAGGTTGTCTAAGCTCTTTTTTGAAAAGTATGGAGTAGTATATTTTTATCCTAGAAATATTAATCAGGATACTTTGGAAAACTTTTTTGGCAGGTTCAGAGCAATCAACTACAGAAATGTCAATCCTGACGCAAGTACTTTCATTAATAGTTTTAAATCCCTATTAATGTCCAATGTTACGGGTCCACACTCAATGTATGCTAATTGTGAGGATGATGAACGAGACACGGTGGTTGATTTTTTAAAACTTCTGACAAGTAGTCACAAAAAGACAGATGATAGTAATTTTTGTTTCACCCACAACAACAACAAGTATTAGGGAAAGTAGTAGCATCAACCGGTCGCTAAATGCTGTGAATGAAAGAATACGTGTGAACTCTTCAACATATACAGCAGGATATCTATGTAGGAGACTGACAAGCAAACTTAATTGTAAGGATTGCCCTGATAAATATGTTGTAAAAGAAAAAGATTTTATTCATAAATGGATCGAACAACGAGAGTACAATCTTTTAAAACATTTAAATTAAACTTATCCATCAAAGAATTTTTTAATATTGAATAGGGAGATCTTGGGTCTTATACGAGACTATTAGAATAAATAATATGAATAACATCGCACTTCAAAAATGTTTGAAAAAATAGTTAAAGTATGAAATATTTAAAAGCCATGACTTTAAATGGTTTGGGTGCCCTGAACACAACATAAGCACAGCATTTCAAGCATTATATAGTATAGTAAAACAATTATTTTTTTACAGTCACATCAATAGAAATGGGGATTGAGAGAACATTAGAAAAAAGCCGTGTGGTGTCGTGGGACACCCGATAGGAACGAAGTTGTGACGATCGAGTAAAACTGATTTGACACGATTTTAATTACAACGCCATCTATGAAAGCGGCTATTACCTACATATTAAAAACAATTAAAACAATTTATACATTGGTAAAATCTCCTTGCGAAATGATTTCCTATCTATTCGATAGATGGCGCTGAATGTCTGACAAGATGACACGAAAAAAAAAAAGCGAAAAGCCAACATCACGTGGTATTCCCAGGCGGTCACCCATCCAAGTACTAACCACGCCCGATGTTGCTTAACTTCGGTGATCGGACGAGAACCGGTGTATTCAACATGGTATGGACGTTGGCGAACGTTAAAGCAAATTTAATGTATGGTATCCACAGTTAGACGTCAATTTATATTAATAAAAAAGTGTCGTTCCAAATTTTAGTACGAATTTTTTCCGTCTAGCCCCCTTTCACAACGCGCGATAAGGAACTTCGTTCCAATATAATAATAATATAATATCTTCTCCCAGTAATTCCACACAGCTTCATTTGCTGATCATCAATTATTTGCATTGGGCACCCACATCTGTAGGAAAATTAAAAGACAACTAAACATATCATGGTTTAAAGTAATGGAATGGTTTGAATGAAATGAAATGAAATTTATTTACCTTTAACCATAGTATTTCACATTATTGATACACGGTTTGTACAACAAGATTATTCTAATACGGAACGTTTACTCACCTACATTAGGAAATAAGTAATAGACACACACACTCTACACACACTCTTTAATATTCTTAAACGTCTAGTTTTTTTTGGAAAAATCAAATTTTCATAAGTAACCTAACATTTCAGATACAGGGATACGTAGTTTAAAAGGCAGAACTTAATCTATATATATATATATATAAGAGATTTCCACGTATATAGTCACTCATCACGATATCTCTGGAACCATTAGAGCTAAAGACTTGAAATTTGGTAAGAAAATTCTTATCACCGAGTAGTGGTCAGCTAAGAACGGATTTTAAGAAATTCAAAAAAAATATATTTAAATAATGTAAATAGCAAAACAACGTTGGCAGGGTCAGCTAGTATTTTATCTAGATTTCTGCAACGGATTTTGATGCCTACGGTAAACTTGTTGTATTTGTATGTGTAAGTTAAATAAAATGTTATTCAAACCTATCATTTATTTCTTCATCCTTCCTCCACAATAACAACTTAGTACGAAGTTGTTATTGTGGAGGAATATTATATATAAGGAATATATATATATATAAATTGAAGTAGTGGTTTTATTTTATAAGAAAGTTTTTAGTTTTTGAATACTTACGATTGAAATAATATATTCAATGAACTTTGCAAATAAGTGCATCATCATCATCATCAACAGCCTATACTAGTCCACTGCTGGACATAGGCCTCTCCTTAGAAAGGAGGTTTAATAAGTGCATAATAAACATAAACCGAAATATAACCTACTCCCTACTCTTCCTTTTATTTGTCATCAGTACATCACTATCCATTCATGTCGACATCTGAATCTGCTAAATCCCAACACTATTTGCGACACTAGCCACATGCGAACTCATTGGAACTAACAGGTAACATTTGCAGTGTCCCATCTGTCTCTGACTAGTATATAGTTATCTGTGGTTGTTATCCTTCATAGTCCGTATTAGTTAAACCATTGTTAAAAAGCTAAATTATTTTTAAATTAAATACTTCCTTTTTCTTTTCGAAAAGATGAAAAATGTATGTTTACTGTTGTTTATAGGCTTATTTATTTTTTTGTGTTTCGCGAGAGATGGTAAGTTTATTTTCAGTGTCTGCCAATTATTAATTTAATTTTTTGTTATGATGTTATTACGCTATACTCTATTTTTTTCTTTAAGCTAATAATATAGATTACCTACCATAAAGCATGTAGATTTTATGACCAGACACTACAAGGTTTTTAAGCTAGATACGTGTTCAGAAATATGTTTTAATGTTTCGCTAAGACTCATGATTTTGCCTTCAAGACTTGCATCACTCACATATAGAAGATCTAAAACTAACTGTTGCCACAATATAACGTCCCCTTGGTTGCTGTTTGTCAAAGCATAGGGGCAAGCGAGCAGACGGGTCACCTGAGGGCCAAGTGCGAGTTTATTTCACATCAACTCGCTCGTCACGGTGAGCGCGTTTAGCGTTGCAATTTTCCCGCACTGAAATCTCCACCAATCAAAACTCACACTTTGCCCTCTGGTCTTAAGTGTCTACCGCCGCCCAAGTGCGTTGTCGCCCTTTAAGTCCCTTACTCACTCGATTAAAAAGAACGAAAGAACTGCTCAACACCGGTGTTGTGTGAGGCCGTGGCATCACTCCGGTCAAACCTGGCCCAAATATGCATGACTCTCCCACGTACAAATACAAAAAGCAACCAAAAAAAGTTAAAGCGTAGAAAATTCTGTTACTTACAAATAATACTTCGACAAACTATTGTTGTATTGCGTTACTAGATGGTCAAGACGAATTCGAAGTGTGCTGATTTGTGCTGATTGCAGGCTATTGCAGTCTTTGAATTTAGGCCATGTATTTATAGCAGAGGTTCCTAGACTTTTTTTCTCATCGACCCCTTTCAAATTTTAGCTGGTTTCGGTGGACCCCCTGAAGATACATTTCTAACGTTTTACAAAAACTCGACAAAAATGTGAAGATTAGATCTAACTATAGATAGTATATTTGCGTTGCGTTTGAGTTCCAACCACGATTTAATAGTTTTTGAAAAAAGTGAGAATTGATTGGTTAATTAATTAATTGATTGTGCTGTGAGTGGATGTCAAAAAAATAAAGTCGGCCAATTAAAAAAATTATTCCATCTAACTGTACTTTTTTACATCTCCTCACAGTACAAGGAACCAATCAATTCTCACTTATTTAATTTAGAAAACTCTCCATTCGGAGTGGTAAAAAGAAAAATAAAAATAGTATTTTTTGTGTATTATATTTATTCAAATATGTAATTATTACACTAATAATTATTATTGTAATCATATTACATTGTCATATGATAACAGTCGTAATATAATTAAAATTAAACGTTGATAACGTATGGTAACTCCTACAACGACAATCACTTCTTGAAATATTATCTGCCTACGGTGATATGTGAAGTCAAGTCAACATTTTAATTCTTCACTATCACGCCAACGTAGACCCCCGTCGAGTCTCCCGTGGACCCCTGGGAGTCCACCTGGATAACACTTAGTTGCTTCCGATGTATCTTTTCATAGTACAAAATAAAGTCGCTTTTTTATACTGTACGCTTAGATCTTTTAAACTAAGCAATGGATTTTAATGCGGTTTTCACCAATAGAGAGTGATTCAAGAGAAAGCCTTTTTTTTTCTTCTTATGTTAGAGAGGGCAGACGAGCGGACGGGTCACCTGATGGAAAGTAACCACTCTACTTATATGTATAATACATGCATATAATAGTACAGAAAATCCGAGAATTTTAAAGATTAGTAGTAAAAAATATGCGCTTACATTGCAATAATTTACTACGGAGTTGTATATCATAAAAATGTTTACAATAAAGTTAGCGATGGTATATGTCTATTTCCTAAGGCTATCCTTAGGAGAAAGACATATACCATATATAGATAAAAATGGTTCAAATTCAAATTGTGGGTTATCCCACGTCGTTGAGTCGCCACGTCGGGCCGTACGTTCGTCCCGGTCGGCAACGGCCCGCAGGAGCCGTAATTAATTAAGGTAATAAGTAAGGTAATTAATTACTCCACACTGACACCACATTAGTAGTACTAGTAGTATCTACAGTAACTAAGTTGAATGCTTCTGCTAGAAGTAGGTTCACATCCGAAGCAACTAAGTCGAATGCTTGTGTTGTATTATATCGGCTCAACATACACATTTTGCCAACTGTAATTATAGTTTCTCAGCTGTCAGTGCCACCGAGAAGGCATTGGGTGACTGTTATTTTGTCTATCGTAATACCGTAGGGTGTGTCGTGATTATGTCTTAGCCGTGGTTTTGGCTTAGCCGCCCGGACTACGAGGTAGACAACCTCTAAAATAAAATACCCCGTATCCCGTGTTTTGGTGCGTGGCCAGGGGATGCATGGCTGATGGCTGTTCTCCCGCACTCGTTGGTTTAATATTGGAGCTTAATAATTCAAAAACAAATATAGAAAGAAAGAGAAGAAGGCGAAGAATACTAAACTATGGAGGCAAACAACTCCTCACAGCATGACATTTCAATGGAGACGCCTATCGCGAAAGAGGTCCTAGAAGTGAATCTGATTTATGAGAGCAGAAAAATATCGGAACGTCCCCGTTCCAGGTCGTTTCGTCGGGAGGGAACTCCAGTACAGCGATCGACGAGCTTTAGAGCTTGGAGCTTATCATTGATAGTCGGAAACGCGAACGCTCGATGGACGACGATGAAGATACGTCCCATGAGTGTACTTTACCACCTCGCCGCAAACCCCCGTGGGATACGACCCGAGGGGGTTTTCACACGTAAAAAAATGGTGTTTGTTTCAAATTTTCCTTATTTTTGCAATGCTGTTGTTCTGCGTAGTTTGCTACCTTAGTCGGCTCTTACGATACCTATGGAATGAATAGGGGTGGTGACACTCCGTATTCTTACTCCGTCACCACACAGATATATTTATATAAATAATAGGTAAATTACACCCAGACACAGAACAAATGCACATCACAATATTTGTTCACAATATTTGTTTGTTCGGGATTCCCAAAGTGGTCGATGGTCGATATCGACTCCTTGGGGTCGACATCGGTTTCCTAGGGGTCAATATAAACAAAAACTGATTTTGGACTTCGACGAGATCTAAAAATCGACCCCTGTAACACAAGTTCTCATTTAAAACTATCTAGATCTTGAAAGTATTAGTTGTGTTACGTGTACTAACTTGTTATAAGAATGACTTATATTTTAGTAGAAAGTAGCACTGTTGTACTTTTAAAAAACTCAACTAGTCGATAAGCGTGCAGCAATTTGGCTATGGGGTTATTAGGTTCATTTTAGAATAGGATAGTCTTGTTTAAAATAGTTTGGGAATGCCTGAACTAGACCAAGAGGCCAGTCTGTCAGCCTCGAAATATAATTAATAATTATTATGTTTATTGCAGATGTTCAGAAATTGCGAAAAAAGTCATCTCATCGCAAGGATGTAATATTTGACGGGTTTAATAAAAATTATGTTGGGTAAGTTTTGATTTTCAACATTGACATTTCTAATATGAAAAGACAGAGGCGAATTTTTTAAGAATTTTTATTCTGATAAAAGCACTGTTTAATTAGCCATGTATATAGTTCAACACAAAATGTATGTTATGGTAAGTTCACAATTATTATTATTAGTAATTTTTTAGGTAATGCGTTGTAAATAATTGGTGTTATGTACACACAGCTTGCTCTGACCACCTGAACGAGGTACAGGCATTTTTAAATCACTTTTGTTAATTTTACGCTTATTTGTGTTATTTCACTTATTATTTCACTTCAAACAATCCTATTTCATACTTAACTTTTGAACTGAGCCAAATGCGGATACAAATCTGTAAAATGATTGCAATGCTAACTTCCATCGATAATAAACAAAAAGATTTCATTAACAAAAGTACATTATTGATATTTTGGAATGGTTGGGGAGTAATTTTGCACGAATTGCTTTAATTATCAGTATAAAAGTACTATCATTTATGTGGTAGAATACAATATTTATTTATTGCGCTATCGTACACAAACATGACAATTTATCGAGACGCTGTCACCATCCATGGATGCGCGTGGCACGCTGTAACATAAATACACGAACATTCGCGCAAGCGCCCTGCGCCGCCTAAACGAAACAGCAGGCGCAGGCATACATTTTCGCAGCGCCGTAGAAACAGAGGGGGATACTTCCTCTCCTACGCCGCTTCGGCTGTCTACTCTCCATCCGTCTTACGAATTTTCGATCAGGTCACGTGTCCTGACGCGAGTTTAACATTTGTTACCCATTACAAAAAAAAGTGTACAACGCCGCTAGAGAAGTTTTCACTTCAAAAATTCGTCTTGGGAAATACATATGATCCTATGAAAAATCGACCTAATAAAATAATCTCTAAAAAGAAAGAGTTTGTCTTAGAGTTGCTGCGTAACAAAAAAAATTTAACAAGTTGGAACATTTAAATATATTCTGACCAGACACCCTCCAACACCTAAAAGAACATCGGGAACAAATGAATCGAGAGTACGAAAATGACAATACACACTTGATAATTAAGTATGTCAAAGGTATCCCAAAATAATAGACACAGTTTCAAAAAAACTAAAGGCCATTGAAAATAATCACAACTGTCAAGCCACAGATCTCATAACTACTTACATTTATCTGATTCATATAAAATGTCAAGACAAGTTAAAAGGTATTACAATATATTATTTTATAAAAATGCTCAAAATATCATAAACTCTGGCAAACTAGATGAACTAAAATGTGTGGAACAATCTTTTAATAATCCTTTAGACGTTATCATTGTTACCGAAACCTGGATAAAATCTACCGATGAAGCTAAAGGGATGCAGATCTCTGGATACAAACATTTTTTTCTAGTTTTTGTTTTAAAAAAGACAACTCCCGCATTAGGAATATATTCTGTGCTGCGGGGGACTTTACAAACATACATATGTACATGAAACGGACACAAAAAACACCAAGACTTAGAACAACAATCTGTGGATCACACAAACTGTCGTCCCATGTGGGTAGTAGTAAGCGGCGAGGTGACCGCCCAAACCACTACGCCATCCGTTCAGTCAATATTATTATAATCGTAGATGTAACACGAGAGGTGGTGGCGTCTCGGCATTTATACGTAAGGATCTAAAACACAACTTAATTGAAGAATGCCTACAGGACGACCATTGCCTATGGATACACCTAAAAACGACTCTCTAGATATTGGTGTGATATACAGAAATCCAGTATCTCAACGCTAAAAACTTTTTAGATATATATAGTCACCAACATCACAACAGGAAAAGGGCAATTGTTTTTGGCGATTTTAACTGCAACTTATTGAATTCAGATCATTTAACCACTATGAGGTCGATAAATAATGGTAAATAGGTAATTAATAATGTTATAAATAAATGTGTGCAGTTACATATATATAAGGCATATAGGCATATAGTTACATATACATATATATATATATATATAAGGCAAGGCGAGCCGCACACTACACCTCCCCTTTTTATAACAAAATATTTATCCTATAAATTATTTTTATACATCAAACATTGAAATATAAAAAATACAAGCTTTACATAACATATGTTAAATACAATTTAACTAATTTTACATAACAAACAATGTATTATTTTAATGAAAAATATAGTATTTTCTATATTTTAAAATTTTTGTTAAGAGTGTGTCTCCCGGTAAGTGGAAAACAACAGCGTACTTCTCACAAATGCTTTGAATACTTCATTATCCCTCCGTATTTAAATATAAATTTAATTCTAAAGTACTAAGCAAAGTTTTGATGGTAGTAACGGTATTGTCGTCAAACCGGCAAAGGTCAAAATTCTCTAAACAACTAGTACTTATATCCGAGAAAAAATATATTTAAATAACTATTAGTAGTATTTAAAACCCTAACAGGAATGAAATCATTGCATGGTTTCGAGAGAACACCCGCTGTGTAAACACCTTTATAAATTTCTTTAGACAAAATAACGCAATCACTATCTTGTGACGTCGGGAAATGTTTTATTACTTCGCAACGAGGCGGAATTGTAAACATATTGTTACTACTACTATTAACTGAATTACTAATTGATTGGTATGTTTTCTAAACTTAAAGTACCATCTTTATAATTTAATATCTCATTATATCTGATAAAAAATTCTTAAAACCGAGAATGCCTTCTGCGGTATAGATGGACTGTTCGTCTACCGTGGCTCTAATGGCCTCGGGCAATGACGCAAATTCCTTTGATGCAATGATGCAACAGAGACGTTGGTCGGCCAAACCATCACTAAACCTCTTGATTGCAGTCTTCTCATTGAGGGGACGCAATATTTCGTAGGCATCACGATTATCGTTCATTTGGGCTATCGTGAGCTTCACGAACAACTCCTCGAGCTCTGTACCGAATTTCTCGATACTTCTACAAACTTGAGAAGCCCTAAACAATTGTGTTTGCCAAGCGACCGTAGAGTTTATAGGCAATATATATTTTCGATTTTCCTGTACAAAACTTTCCACATCCTTATATGTAGACATAAGCCCAAGTCTGGAGCTAGGTGACAAACGAGTTTTTAAAACAAATTCGATTAATTTGCTTCTACTGTCCTCATTTAAAATAGAATTATAAAATAAAATACCATATACGGGCTGCTTAGTCACCTGCTTCTGGCCATTCATTACCGGCAAAATTGCAGTTTTAATATCATACGAGTGAGCCATTTTTGAAATACCTAATAATAATATTTTGCCACATTACACAACGCCATCTAGTCCCACACTAAACAGAAATTGTACTATAGGTACTAGACAACTGATATAAATACTTATATACTTTTTTTTTGTAAATACATACATATAATACAAAGAAACACCCAGACAGTCAGACATTAAATGTTCGTTCACACAAATGTTTGACTTGAGCGGAAATCGAACCCGCGATCTTTGGAATAGCAGTCCGTTACACAAACTACTACGCCATTCGGTCGTCAAAATCCCAAGAACTAGTTTGACTACTATTGTCTATCATAAAAATAAACCTTTTATATTTTTAAAAATTAAAGTTAAGATGAAAACACGCACAAGTTTCTTAGCTTATCCAGCGATCTGTAACTTCTAGGTTCATCTGAGTCAAAAATATAATCCAATTTTTTATACTCTGTTTCAGCTTCCTCTAATTTCATAAAACCTAATTCTTGCTATCTGTACCAAGTTTCACTAAATATTCCTTTAAATAATTTAACTTTGAATGCAATTCGTCTAATTGTAGAGACATACCTTAAATATAATATAAAAATGCAGTACAATAATACATTAACTATTGAAATAGTAAGAATGACATTTCAAAAGAAACGATTGACATTTCAAAATTATGGGTGAATGCATTACCGACACCGGATATGTAAGGAGGTCACGAATAACGTCGAAAGTGGTGTAATTGATTGTTATGAAATTCAACGTTTGAAGTGAAACTGACTCCCGGCTGCTCCAAATCGGACTCGTACTATTATCTCCCGGCAGCCAGCACATCCTCTCATGATAGCCTTGGGCATTCTACAGACACCCGGCACCAACACACAACATCATCAAAAATATCAAGAATCGAGAGAGAGATCGATTAATCGAATCATATTTATTTTTGATCTTCTTTCATGGTTTTCTTCTGTTAGGGTTTTCTGAGTTCTGTCTTCTCTAAAATCTTGTACAAGTAGTCTTCATTGTCTTTCTTCAAAATCAATTTCTCTTTAACATTTCTTCTAACGTTCCTCAATTTTCATTCTTCAATAATCTTCTAGTCTTCTAAACAACTGTACGCCCTCTTTCTTTATAATGCTAAAATTTCAATAAAAATTTCAATGAATGAAAAATTGCTGGCTAAGGGTTCCGTTCTATAATTGGTTTAATAATGTGATAAATAAATGGGTGCAGTTACATTTAAGGTAAGGCGAGCCGCACACTAAACCACCATGTACAAAGAAGTCTTTCAAGAGCACCATTACCTAATACTGAACAACATCAATGAAAAGTACTGCACGCGGGAAACACCTACTACCAAAACCATAACTGACCATGTGTATTCGAAAATTATAGCAGAAAGTTAACTGGAAACAAAAAATTGTGATTATCAAGTATTTGTAAACAAATCAAAAGCAAGTACAGCTAAGAGCAAAATGACAAAATAAAAGGAATTAGGCTGGAATGGACAAGCGAAATAATAAATGAAAAAAAGAACAGAAACATCTTATGGAATCGACATAAAAGTAAAAACTGAGAAATATTTAAAAGATCTTTCATTAAAAAGAGAAATGCCGTAACGAATTAAATACAGTCAACAAAGATTAAATACCATCAATCTGCTTTTAACAACTGCAAAATTACCTTTGTTTCAATATATAATATAAATTCTAGTTGTTATTAGGTCACTGTTAAATAAATCAATTTTTCCCTTTTGTATTGAAATACCTATCTATACCTGCATATCTGTAAGTCTTCAATATTATATTATTATATAAATAATTATCAATCGACCAACCAAACATTCCCATTATATGTAACAGATTTCGACCGCGGCTTCGCTTATATTTAGATGTTTTAATAATATAGTTATCTTTTATCTACCTCCAACAAAATGTAAGTAAAATACAGCGAGATCGCATTTACTAATTAAAAGCGTTACACACAAACTCACAAACAACTACAAACAAACTGATTGCCTCATTTAAAATATAATGTTAGTATTACTAAAACTGATCACAAATCATATCATATTTAATGAAAATAAATAAATAAATATCCATTGGATTAAGATCGGGACTAGATAACGTTCGTGTCCAACCACGCTTGGGATAATCGAGTTTATGACCCGGTGCTGAGTCTTGATGAAATAATCATTTTTGGTTATGGAACATGGGATTGTTAAAAGGCTTAACTACCTTTTCAATAACCATATCTTGATACACTTGTGTCGATGTTTTGACACTTTTTTTACAAAAATATGGCTCAGTCACTCTTTGATAGACAAAAAACCATCACTGAATTGGGAAGCATCTGTGGCACGTTGTCATTCTGCTCTGTTGAAATATGCTGCTGTTAAAACATTGCTCAATAGTAAAAAAAAATCTTTTATTCATTTCCCGAGATAAAATCTTTTGTCTTCGCACAGGATATTCGGCTATTCGCACTTTTTCGGCCTGTCAGATCTTTCTCAGTCACAAACAGAGGAGGTTTCATTGTAACTATCAATAGCAAACAAACACCGACCGGTCCACTAACACTAGACTAATGCCAAGCGGACGGAGAGTTTCAAAAATTGCATTTGGATATAATTGGGATCAATTTTAATATCACAAAAATATTTAACACAAAATAAAAAAACACAGTGATCATATTATATTTCAAAATATATACATACATACCAGGTACATGTCACCTAAAAATTGAAAATATCGCGAAACTTTAATCAGTTTTTATTGTTTTGCAGTTGCCGGATAGAAAAAGTCAAACCGGTTTTTTTTTCTGGTGAACACAAGCTCATTATTTGCAATAATAGCACTGCTGTTTTACGAGTAAGTTCAGAAACACTTATAATAATTAATATTTTTAAGTTGACATTTTGAAAAAATACTAATATGACATAGTAAACAACAGTGAAACAGTAAATAAAAGCATAAAATAAAGGATATAAGTTCTAAAAAAATTGTATTAGGCAAAATTTCGGCGATTTTTATAAAAAATCTTAAAACTCCAATATCTTGAAAATGGTTAGATTTGGGATATGGTATTTTATGGTGAAATCTATCAGAAATGATGCAACCACTCAAAGCATCTAGATCGACTCACCCAGTAACCCTGTGTATCTAGATTAATATAGATAGGTTTGGTTTCTTTTTTTAATGGTATAAGAGGGTAAACAAGCAGACGGGACACCCGATGGTTCTAGAATTAAAAGTTGCTCTACTTAGTTTAGATTTAGCTAGCGATGATTATGTGACCCAGTATTTTATTGTCATTGATATAAACTACTATCGAGACTACTTCAGCGGTCCTTTACGCTTCGTCCCATAATGAGAATGCACAGGACAGAATTTATCAGACGAAATAAAAGTTCCGTTGGATTTGCATTGCTTTCAGACTCCTGGATTGAAAGGCTATTTGGAAACCAGATTTACATGTCCAGTTAAAAGTACAAAAACCGTAAGTAAGTATTACCAAAAAACAAAGAAGAAAATAATATGAAACTGGTTTTTCTTAACCATAAGCCATGCTTCGGCATAAATAGGCCGCCTCTACACGAGTAGTACAACGGCCTCACACAAAACCGGTGTAAAGCAATCCTTTCATTGCTTTTCTCCGAGTAACTGAAGAAGCTCCCGCTCGAAATCAGTGGGCCTAGTGCGAGTGAAATAAATTTAGACTAGGCTCTGAGGACGTCCACAACCCGTTTTATATTGAACAAAAAGGTACATGAGGAAATTATGTACCTTCTTGTTGAATATAAAATTCTTAATGAAATGGCAGAATAAACTAATTGATAGTGCGCCTTATATTCTAGTATTCATAGAGTACGAATATAGTGTAAATATGTGTATATGTCTTTATATTTATATATGTGAGTCAAAAAGTAACCGGAAACTTACGAACACTATTTCGCCTCAAAAATTTCCTGCTTCCTAAAACCAAAACTACTCTCATGCAGTCCCTAATCTTTCCTTTAATCGACTATAGTGATGTATGTTATTTGGACCTGAATACAGACGTCCTTAATAAGCTGGACCGCCTTCTTAATAACTGCATTCGGTACATTTACAACCTTCGCAAGTATGACCACGTGTCTGCCTTACATTCCCAAGTAAACTGGTTATCCATTCGCCTGCGCCGCAATCAGCGAGCTCTGACTTCTTTCTGACTTCCCATCCTCACCTACTTACCTTGCTACCTACTTCCGTTTCTTGTCGTCTAAAAACGACAGGAATCTTCGCTCTGCAAAAAATTTGATTCTCTTAAGAGTTCATGAAGTCGGAATTGTGAGAGGGGTCACATTTCCGACTTCGTGAACTCTTTCTTCTTCGTTCAAGCAGTTCTACTCTGGAACGCTCTTCAGTCTGAAGTCAGAATGTCCACAAACCGTTCCGTATTTAAAAAGAAAGTATACAACCTTCTTCTTAATGAGACGGCAGAATCATCGAATCGATAGCGCAGCAGCCAATTTTCCTACACTCATGGTGGACGAATATAATGGCGAATATATGTTTGTATATGTGTAGATACATATATATATATGTATAGTGTATGTATGTGTCTTTCTATATATGTGTTTTTTTTTTATTTATATATATTTTATGTGTGTGTATGTATGTGTATATAAATGTGTAATATCTTAGTGATTAGTGATATAACCTATATGCGCCTACCACTCACGATTTCTACATTACCTAAAGGTTGACTGGCAGAGAATGCCTTGGGCATTAAGTCCGCCGATGTACAAAAGTGCATTAAGTTATAAATAAATATATACTACCCAGTATATATCCAGTCCAACCCTCTCCAGTAAAAATTGGAGACTACGCTCGAGGTTGTTGATGACTACGTGTACCTTGGACAAACTATCCAGTTAGGTAGGCAGGTCCAATTTCGAAAAAGAGATCAATCGTCGAATCCAACTCGGCTGGGTAGCGTTCGGGAAGCTGCTTGTCATTTTCTTGTCTGAAATACCGCAGCAGTCACTGGCAACAATGGTCTTTGAATTAAAATTTTGGGTTCGTTAATCGCAGTTGTGACTCGAAGTCGAGACATCTTTTCTTCCATGCACTGTTGGAGCGATTAACGTCTCATTATTGCATCGTGCTCGACATATATTGTGAACCTAACGATTTTATTCTTGCCAAGTGTACCTTGCTGTGCTTTCGTTTAATACTTGACTTACGAAACGTCTCCAATCCTTTTTGCTTCACTTTCTTTTAATGGATTTTTACTAATGTTTAAATTTACTATATTAGATACTCACTAAATTTACGATATTAGACACCATGGCTCTATTAATGTAAACGACACTGTGTAACATTAAAAGTATACTGACGACTCAGACAAAACGGGGCTCTGCCAGCAGATCTCAATAGAAATGTTTGATTGAAGAGAGAGAGAGGCGTCTCACGCAAAGTCGATCCCTTATACCTACTACGGCTACCATTCTAGTGACCTTGGCACCTACAACGCATGGTTGAAAAAATTTCTAATATGGCGAAGCGAGTGGCGAAGATGGCAAAGTTTGAAATCTATATCAATACCAATTCTCAAAACTCAAACTTTCTAGGTATGCTCGGTTTTTCGAAGCAAATTACTGAACTCAATATGTTTAATAAGCTGGACCGCCTTCTTAATAACTGCATTCGGTACATTTACAACCTTCGCAAGTATGACCACGTGTCTGCCTATGCTCGGTTTTTCGAAGCAAATTACTGAACTCAATATGTTTAATGAAGTTTTAGCAGACAGAACATTATCAGCTATTGATGGCAAGCTATCACAATTTGAATTCAAGGAAACACCAGAATATGAAGGTATGGACTCAATATGTATGCGACATGTGTGGTGGGTGGAGGGGAAAACCCGTCCCGTCCACCCGCGGCCACACTCAGGGCGGTCGTAAGCACGCCTCTGCCGCCCGGTTCCTTCTGCCGCCTCCATCTGCGAGATGACGTCTTCGCAGAACGATGCGACCGTGGTGAAACATCTGTCACGTCGCTGGTAGCGAGAGATCTCTTCCGATGACTGTAATGAGGACACGGCGCTGCGGTGCCCAAGCCGGGCAAATTGCCAGCGTGTGCTGAGCCAAGTCCTCACTGCAATCGTAGTGGTGACGGTATGCCTAGAAACCAGCCAAAACCTTTCTTCAATATTACACAATGTATCAACCCTAAATTAAGTCTAGAAAAATCCAAGAAGATTCGTTAAAGCAAAGCGTTTTAAGCTCAAAGCATGGTGTGCAGCGTTTGAAAGACAAGTTCATTTTTTTTACAGATGTTTTTATTATAACCATAAATGGTTTCGAGTTAAAATCATCAGGTTAACATCGCTTATATGGAGCGTATTCGAAACTATTTATATGTATCTACCATTACAAGTTCATTTATAATACATTAAATATCACTTGTGAAAAAAGTGATAAAAGCATAACTTCTGATATTGATACAAGTTTAAAATTCAGTCCTCAAATGACCAATCTTTTTACGGATGCTGAATCAATGGGTAAGGAACACAACAATTACAAATCTATCACTCTAAAGATTCTGTAATTATTGTTCTAGTAAAGCAATAACTCATGAAAACTTGAACAATGAAAACAAAATGCAGGGTCCAGAGGTTTTTTGAATATGACTGTGTCTATCATGAACACATCACAAACATCTAATGATTTCGGAACAGAACCATATGAATACAGACTTTAAACGAGAATGATCATCGAGCAAACAATATGTTCAAATATACTTGGTAGAAATCAATAATTTGGACGGAGACATTAAGAAATTTAAGCTAATGGATTTCAATGAAAAAAGCACTACGATGCTAACATTAAATTTTATCTAATATGTTCACATCATAGTATGTAAGAAATGAAACCTAATCATTAACTCAATTTTGGATGAAAAGTTCACCTCATGTATCGATAGATGGCGATTTAGATGCGCGATGATTTAGAAGTAGCGCTATCGGTTTGCTACCGTGCAATGTATAAGAAGTTACGATAATATTTCATTGAATACCTACGTTTTTAGTATGTGGTGTGGGTTTATTGCTATAAAATACTCCCTACTCGTATAAAAGGGTCTTATGATCCGGAACGTTTTTTGAAAAAGCTAAAAGCACCTACTAGTGTCAGAGTTGAGAGTTGAGTAGCAGCAGTAGCAGCTAGTTAGTCGAATTGATCCAAGTTTGGAGCTGATCTAAGCTGAGTTGGGAGCGGAGCGTGATCGACGGAGCAGAGCTGAGCGGAGCGGAGTGAGGTTGATAGTGCCTAGTGCAGTGTTAAATGAGAGTGATTTTAAATTGATCAGTGCAACGTAAAAACTGTGAGTACATTTACTTTATTAACAGTTCCAAGTGTTAGAGACGTGTAAAAATTTAAACTTAATGCATTACAAGAATTTGAACGAGCTTAGGACTTAAAATAATTTGCAAAACATTGAAGAGATCCCAAATCTTTGCCCGATTTATCTTAGAATTAAAGTGCAGTTCAAACATTAAGAAAAGTTACGACATTCAAACACTTTGTAAAATTTAACTACGGTGACACTTAGCAAATTAGGCACATAAAATGATTGGCTTATTACATCGAAGTATTCGTAATTGGAATCAATAAGGCTAAGTTAAGATATTGGAAGGTGTTGGAAGATATTAAAAGTCGTATCCAAAAGGGGCTTATTAACTTTAAAAGTCACCAAAAGACAGATTAAATCAGGTATATTTAGACTCACATTTTCAAATATTAGACAAACAGTATGAAGAATTCACAAGAAAACATGAGAAGCTTTTGGCGGTTACAGACACTTTTATAACTTATAAAGTAGAATTAAAAAATGTTTTACTAAAATCTCAGCGTTCTAAAATGAGTGATAATGCCTCACCAGACCATGCACAAGCGAGAATAATGGCAATTGCTAAATTATCAAAAATAACAATCCCGATTTTTGTTGTGGTAAATATCAGGAATGGTCAACGTTTAGAGATTTGTTTTTATCACTAATCGATAATAATCAAGCTCTTGATTGATAGATAGATAGGTACTCGTTATTGCATACCATATATAGAAAACATATAATGCAATATAAACATTAAATTTAAAAAAAAAAACAGTGGTACAATGGGCTGGCTTATCGCAGTCTGCAATGATGTAAAACGCTTTCACTATTCAAGATCTTAGCTGTCGGGTGAGGCATCACAGCTCATTAAGTATATACCGATCGCGAATGCAAATTATAAAAATGTTGGACGCACTCAAGCATTTACTAAACCAAAAACAAATAACGGCTGCGTCATCTGTGGCGCACAACGTTTTTTAAATACTAAAACCGATTATTTACACGAATTAGCACATCTAGGGGTTAAAGTAGAAAGTCGGGGCACCAGGGACTTCCTTTCTAGGGTATACCTGGTTCCCCGGCTATTAGTACCCGAGACGGAGTGCGGTTTTAGTCGGTTCAAGTCCGACATGCCACCGACAGGTGGTAGCCGAGGAATTTACGCACGGAAAAAAAAAGCGGTGAAAGTAGACGCTTGGAATATCATTATTATTTATTTAATAAGCTCCAAGTTGGACGTTGAGACTCGGAAGCAGAATTGCAAGTGAGTCAATCTTGCGAGGACCTTCCTACCTTCAAGGATTTCTATTTACTTTCTCCGATTATCGTCCAATTTCTATCCTACCCTTCCTATCTACAACTCTTAAACGTCTTGTCTACAACCAAATTAATCGATATCTGTATGAAAATTCCCTTCTAAATCCCCTCCAATCTGGTTTTCGTCCTGGATGTAGTAGGTACAACCACCGCACTGGTTCATATCACGGACGATATACGGTTAGTCTTTGAGGATGGCAAGCTAACGGTGCTGGCCATGCTTAATTTCATAAACGCCTTTAACACTGTTGACTTTGACGTCTTGCTTGTCATTATATGCTCTCTTAACATATCTCCGACGACTGTTGACTGGTTTCGTAACTACCTATTCGGACCACGACAGCGTATTCGAATCGACCTTAAGCACCCGTGGAACAACTAGGAGCAGCGATCTCAATTATTAACCGGGATGTAAAGCAGATTTGTATATGGAGCAGGCAACACTGGTTAAACGTGAATCTATCTAAAACACAAGCAATCATAATCGCTGGCACTAGGACTTTATCTAAAGTTCACATATTACATAAATTGGTCACATCAGCCCCAAATATTCTGCGATGGAGCCTTAGTTCCGATTTCGAACACCATCAAAAATCTGGGAATTCACCGCGATAAAAACTTATCCTGCAACTACAAGAAGTCAGTAAGAAACTGTTTGCTTCTGCCGGATCTCTGAGAAGGCTGCGTAACTTCTTACCAATTATGACCAAAATTGCGTTTGCAGAATCCCTTCTTCTTCCAATTATTGATTACCAGATATGCCTATCTCACCGAAGGCCAACTTAATAAGGTTGGTGGCTTCAAAACTTTTGCATAAGGTTCATTTTTGAATTGCGCAAATTTGACCATATTTCTGAATTTCGGAATAAGCTAAACTGGTTACCCATTCGTCTTCCTAGGAATATTGATATACTTTCACTACTATACAATATTCTCTTTAATCCTAACACTCTCTTTTATTTAGAAGAACGCTTTAGATTCCTATGTGATAAGCATTCGAAGTCCTTAAGATCGTCAGAGCCGAAGCACACCACGACTTTTATGGACAAATCGTTTACAGTGCATTTCATACGCTTGTGGAATGCATTGCCACTGCCATTAGATGAGCACAAACATTGGCTAGTTTTAAAAAAATTGCTGAAGGAGCATATCCGAAATTGCTGAGCGAGGGTCTCCTCGTTCAGTCTGGGATCTTGTGTTTATCTGTCTCTTATTTCTGTAGTTTTTTTTTCGATGTATATTTTGTATAATTAATACAAAATATATATTTAAAGTGAGTGATGTTAGTATGTGTTTAGTGTATATATTTTAATAAGTTTGTTTAATCTAATAGTCTTAAGTTAATATAATAATAATATATTAATAGTTTACAAAATACTCAGAAAACTCCGATCTACGAATTGCAAACTTTCTGTCTCATTCCTATTCTTCTTTTACATCCAGCGGTTCAACCACTGGATGCCTGGAAGAGATTGCAAATCGCGATAAGGTAGACCATTGTACAACTTTTCACATTTTACTTTCTATGTTTCATTTATATAACTTTAGATTATAAGACTCACACCAATGTATACAAACTGTTTTATGATTATGTATTTATTGTACAATAAAGAGTATTCTATCTATCTATCTATCTATGGATTGCTGGTTTGGATTGGGATGAAGAACTGTCAGAAGATTTAACTTAACTTTAGAATTCTAAGGTGGCTAAAAAGAAAAAGTGATCATGAAACGATAGAACTTCATGGTTTCTTAGATGCATCTAACGTAGCGCACGCCGCGGTTGTTTATATCAGAGTCATCGATGTTTTAGGTCGGGTCCACCGTAACCTGGTAACCGCAAAAATGAAAGTGCCTCCAAGTAATCAAATTTCTATACCACGACTGAAACTATGTGGCGCGGTTTCAGTTATCAAATTGCTTTTGGAAGTGACTCGTGTCTTAAATATCCAAAAAAGCCGACTTACATGTATTGTACATATTCTACGGTCGTGTTGACTTGGTTGAGCGATCATCCGAGTCGATGGAAAACGTTGGTCGCAAACCGGACGTATGAAATTCTTAATGCGTTTGATTCCACTCAATGTTATGTCTATACAAAAAACATTCCCGCTGTGATATTGCTTCAAGAGGAACCACATCAACATCTTTGTTAGACGCGACCAAATATTTTAGTATAACACTAAAGTTGTTTGCCAACAATTCGTTCGTGATCCATATACGATATGGACCTGTCGTGAAAATAACCTGTAGGCGGTAGCTGGAACTGAACCCCAAACAGTAATGCAATATGCAATTAGTGACTGGCAAAACTTCAAAGAAATCCGCTTTCGCAGATCAGTGTCTTATGTTCTTTAACCGACTACAAGAAAGGAGGAGGTTATCAATTCGGATGTGTATTTTTCGTTTATCTCTCTGATCGTTTCCAGACAAATAAACTCAGTTATTTGCCTCGTATGTCAATTGTTTCAGGGGCACTAGGGCCTTTTTAATCTTTTTTTAATGTTTAAATAATAAGTTTTGATCGTCAATATGTAATGCAATACGGTAGCTTGAGTTCTTTTCTGTAATTATTTTATTAGAAATAATACTCATTTATTTTATTTACAGTTTAATGTCAATTATTGCGAAGTGTTCGCAATATATTTTGACTTTATTCAATTCATGAGGTTGATATTCCCAGTAAATGTAACTTTTTCTTGAAAATTGGTTTTCAGGAATTTTAGTTTTCCTGTTGACTTTTGAATCATTTTTATTTTCGGGTGATGGTAAATCTGGTATCATATGAAGAACTATAGATTTATTTTGATTTTCTACTCGGACGTTTGTAGTTTCACAAGTGTTGGGCTTTTTTTTTTAGTGTGATTTTTTTCTAAAATGATAAAAAAAAACATGATTGAAAATATTGTATGACATTTCACAAGAAATAACAGGGATGTTATTTCTTGTGAAATGTCATACAATATTTTCAATCATGTTTTTTTTTATCATTTTAGAAAAAAATCACACTAAAAAAAAAAGCCCAACACTTGTGAAACTACAAACGTCCGAGTAGAAAATCAAAATAAATCTATAGTTCTTCATATGATACCAGATTTACCATCACCCGAAAATAAAAATGATTCAAAAGTCAACAGGAAAACTAAAATTCCTGAAACCCTTCCGGGTAATTCGAGTAAGTTATTTATTTATTTTACTGTCATTAAGGACACTAAATACACAAAAATGCAATGCAATTAATTTTAATAATTATAATTTGTGACAAATAAACGCTTCATAAGGGCTGTTTAAATATTTATATTTATATGTATGTAAATGTAACTTTTTCTTCCTCACTGTTATTTGTTGTGTAATGTCATAAAATATTTTCAATCATGTTTTTTTTTATCATTTTAGAAAATATTCATACTATAAAAAAAAGACCATTACTTGTAAAAACTACAAACGTCCGAGTAGAAAATCGAAATGACTCTATAGTTCTTCATATGATACCAGATTTACCATCACCCGAAAATAAAAATGATTCAAAAGTCAACAGGGAAACTAAAATTCCTGAAACCCTTCCGGGTAATTCGAGTAAGTTATTTATTTATTTTACTGTCATTAACAATAATAATAATAATATAGTATATTTTACCACATACACACAACGCCATCTAGTCCCAAACTAAGCAGAGCTTGTACTATGGGTACTAAACAACTGATATAAATACATATATACTTTTTTTTTTAGTAAATACATACGGTCATTAAGGGCACTAAATACACAAAAATGCAATGCAATTAATTTTAATAATTATAATTTGTGACAAATAAACGCTTCATAAGGGCTCTTTAAATATTTATATTTATATGTATGTAAATGTAACTTTTTCTTCCTCACTGTTATTTGTTGTGTAATGTCATAAAATATTTTCAATCATGTTTTTTTTTATCATTTTAGAAAATATTCATACTAAAAAAAAAGACCATCACTTGTAAAAACTACAAACGTCCGAGTAGAAAATCGAAATAAATCTATAGTTCTTCATATGATACCAGATTTACCATCACCTGAAAATATAAATGATTCAAAAGTCAACAGGGAAACTAAAATTCCTGAAACTATTTCAATATTTGTATGATGTGCCAATATTTGTTTCGTAGTTTGGGTGTTTTCTGTGTATAATATGAATGTATTTACGAAAAAAGAATATAAGTATTCTGTCAGTCAATCTAGCTTTCATAGTACTAGCTCTGCTTGGTTTAGGATTAGAGGGCGTTTTGTGTTAGATATCCATCACACATCATCACATCAACAGCCTATACTAGTCCACTGCTGGACAAAGGCCTCTCCTTAGAAAGGAGGTTTTGGCCTACTATAATACGCAGGCCAGCCGGGTTGGTAAAAATAAAGAAATATCTGGGCCTGATCCTCGACGGGAGGTGGCTCTTCGACGAGCACTTCCGACAGCTTGCTCCAAAGCTGGTCGGCGCTGCGTCTGCCCTAGGGCGACTTTTGCCCAATTTGGGTGGACCTAGCGTCGCGACAAGACGGCTGTACACGGGGGTTGTCCGGTCAATGGCACTATACGGTGCACCGGTGTGGGCGGCGGCTCTGACCGCCCAGAATAGGGCACGCCTCTGGCGCCCTCAGAGGGTAATGGCGGTCAGAGCCATACGCGGTTATCGCACCGTTTCGACGGAGTTGGCGTGCGCGTTGGCCGGAACTCCCCCGTGGGATTTGGAAGCGGAAGTGCTCGCCGAAGTTTATCGGCGAGTGGCTGACTCCCGGGCGGAGAGCGGATTTCGCCCTCCGCCCGAAGACGTGCGCGAGTGGCGCGAAGCCGCTCGCCGAGCCACGATGGCTCGTTGGTCGTTCCGGCTGGAGACTCCACGCGCTGGCTTCGCCGCCGTGGAGGCTCTCCAGCCGGTCATCGCCGAGTGGGCAGGGCGGCAGCACGGGACCCTTACCTTCCGGCTGACGCAGGTGCTTTCCGGGCACGGTTGCTTCGGAAAGTACCTGCACTCGGTCGCTAGGAGGGAACTGGGTCCCGCCTGCCACCACTGCGACTGCAGTGAGGACTCGGCCCAGCACACGCTGGCGGTCTGCCCCGCATGGGCGACGCAGCGCCGGGTCCTCACTGCAGTCATCGGAGTGGATCTCTCGCTACCGGCCGTAGTACGCTCCATGGCCGGTAGCGACAGTTGTTTTACCGCGGTCGCAACCTTCTGCGAGGAGGAAATCTCGCAGAAGGTGGCGGCGGAGAAGGCCCGGGAGGACGACCTCCACTCGGACCCGATCCGCCGCCGGCGAACCGGGCGGCGGAGGCGCGCTTATCACCGCCTCATGCCGCCCTGAGTGTGGCCGCGGGTGGACGAGGTGGGTTTCCCCTCCACCCGCATTAGTTTGGCCCGCCGCGAGGGGGCGACGTCTGCGTGTGCCGGACGTCGCCTAAAGAGAGGAAAAGAAAAAACAATTTTTGAGACGGAGCCCGCAACAGGAGCGGGCCAGCGCTAGGAGGGGTCCGGATGTCTTAATAACAGCTGTTCCCGGATCCCTCCTATTACAGGCGCAGAGTGGCACACCGTGTGGTTTTAGTCGGTCCGAGTCCGACACACCACCCCGCCGCGAGAGGATTTCCACACGTAAAAAAAAAAAAAAAAAAAAAGGGTTTGTTTCAAGTTATCCTTCTCTTTGCAGTGCTGTTGTCCTGCTTATTTTGCTCCCTTAGTCGGTTCTTACGACACCCACTTGATGAATTGGGGTGGTGACAATTTGTATTCTTAATCCGTCACCACACGGACGGTTAGATATCCGAAATATTATATTTGAGTGGTAATTTTATTTTGCAGAGACACAATCCAAGGCACTTGAAATCACTGGTATTGTGGTTGGTTACCTATTGGCGGTTATGTGTGTATTTTATTGCTGGCGGTTAAAAAAACGTGCAGAAGTTACTAAAGATTTGGTATGTAGGTACATAAATACATGTACATATATTCATCATGTAAACTTAAGTTAGAAGTCAATACGTAATTATATATTTGTATGTAGGTATATTATATATGCAGTACCTAGGCGACCGCTCCCTTGAGCTATTTTTCTGTAATTCTTTTTCCAGGAATAACACTTAGATGCATAATTCTAAAAACCTTTTGTAATTTTTATTTTATTTTATTGAATCTCCAACAAGAAATACACCTTACATGCTAGTTATAAAGCAAATAAAATTTTAAGTCTTGTGCTTCCTCAATTATAGGAGACCACAACATGGACATTACAAAAAAAAGATTAATGACAGTGGCCACAAATGGCCTTTGTAAATAAGAGAAAAAAAAAAACAATTAAAGAACTATAACAATCAATTGTGCAAAAATTTGTAAATTAGCAGCAGTCAAAATTCAAAATTTAAATGGTAAGGAATGGTACTTCAACAATCACACAGTGTTCAATATATGAGTGCGAACATTTTTTTAAATTTACTCAGACTATTAGAAAAGATGTCTATGTCCTCCGAAGCAACTGAAATGGTGTCATATTCGCGAGTCATCCTAGCAATTGGTGCTTGCTTCCCTAAATTCTTCCGGGCTCGTGGGATTCTAGTTGGAACACCTATACCGACCTTACTGAGGAGGTCTGGACAGTCAATGTAGTTATGGAACAGTTTGTATAAGAATACTAGATCAAAGATAGTACGACGGTCCCTAAGAGATATAAGGTTAAAGTGCGCTAGTTTATCCTCATAAGTCCTTAAGTTCCTAACCCCAAAACGGTAAGCTAGATGTCGGACTAGTCTCTTTTGGATTAACAAAATTGATTCAAATAATTAAAGCTAATTAAAATTAAAATTATTAGGTACACAATAAATATATATTTATATACTCGAGTTAGTTTTATTTAATTATATAACAATTTGTAAATTACACAAATTGAGCTATACATTTACAAAGCCTTATTATTAAACGCACATACCTTTTTTGATGTAGCTTAATGAAAAAAAAATCTCATTTTATTTAATAATATATAGGTTTCTGCACTTATTTTACATATAAACTGAAATATTCCGAATTTCACATTCCTGCGTGTGTAAAATTAGTTTACATACGGGTAGAAAAAAATTACTTCACTCATTAATATATTGAAGAAACATAATGATGATGGCGTAGCGGTTTAAGCTGTCGCCAAGCCAATTACTACTACGCTGAGTGTTGTGGGTCTGATCCCCACATGGGACAAAACAAGATATATACTTAATGCATAAGTTGTCTGTAAAAAGAAAAAACAAAACTAATGTGTGTATTATTAATATCGAAATGAATATCGGAATCGAATCGGTCGCTCTGTGATTTGACTCTAACAAAAAAGTGAGCTTACGATCAGGCCAGGTGGGGTTAAGTGCAACGAATAAATAAATGGTACATGTATTTTCAGCAACTGAGCAGGAGTGCTGGTGACGATTATAACCGGGTTAAAGAACTCACTAATCAGACGGAAAGTCCTGAGTATGAATATATCGAATCGAAATATAACGCATTGAATGCTAATCAAGAAAGCAGTATCCCGATCAGGGCACCCGAGCCTACTCCGCACTCATCGCTGCCTTCTAAAAATACTCGCTTTCAGATATCACAACGAGGTGGCATCAGAGAAATGGTAAAAACACATATTATCTCAAGCTTATTCCTCGCCTGAGTAGTACACTTAATTAAATGTCTATCAAGAAGCTAGTGCATAAGTAAATTTCGCCACAATGCCAGGACATGCTGTAAATTAAGTAGTAACAATACATACTTTTAAAGGCTTTGGCAGATCCGAAAATATTTCTTCCACCGCAATGCCGTCTAATTATAAGTCAAGGAGCTTTTTGAAAAGCAAAAAAATAGATAGGAAGGTAAGGGTAATAGAAGCAAAAGTATATCTTTTGAGCGAAAGCGTTGGGTAGAGCTAAAGCACGAGTAGGACAGAGGAACTGGCCGTTGCCGGGATGTCCAAGCCCTCAACCTAACATTGCTTAAATTATTAATTATGTAATTAAGTTATAAATAAATAAATTAAAATTGAGTTAAATTCCATACTTGTTTACAGGAGCAGTGCAGATCCTCCACTAATCCGAGAAGCGGTCTAGAATGTACACATGTTGAAAATGAATATGACTATGTATACGGAGTTAAAAAAAAATGTCCATGTGTTGCTGCGTCGAATCGAGGAGCGAGAAAACCTCTTCGACGGAATGGCGGCGCGGTCATACCTCATCGGGTTCCAGCACATCAGTAATAAGCATAAGAGTTCTTATAAACTAGATGTTTATTTCAGTATTTTGACAACGTCTGAGTAGAAAGTCTGCGTTGTCGAGCACTCTTTATGTATCGATAAATAGCCGGCATGAACAATAATTAATACTTCCGTTATAACGGTAATTTTCCCTACAAATGCTAAAGTGTATACAAAAACATTCAATTGCACAAACTCCATAAAAATTGCTATTCAATACTCTACTACTTGGAACAATGATTTAATTTAATCTTACTTCCAAAGATTACGGTAGAGTGGAGTTAGGATAAAGCATAAAAATCGTACATAATTGAATATATTTGTACATACACATCCGTAGGTTTTCTGATTAATTATTTAAAACAACATTAATTATTTTAATTACTACCATAGGCATTAATTACCTTACTTAGGCGGACGCCTAAGTGTAATTATATTTAGATATTTTATTTGCTTTCTCGTAATTATTTGTAGTTTTAAAAATAAAGTATAACCAGCCGGTAATCAATACATGGAACAGATTTTAACTTGATATTACAGCTAGACGTATACTAAGGTTGGCTTTTACGCATAAGTTACACTGCTAAACATACTAAGATATTTTATACATCACACATTACACATGCTTTTAGTCTTTAGATTTCATTGCACTCTTTTAAATCTTTATTATGTAGGTTCACTAACACATTATCTTTAAGGACTAAATAATAAATTTAACATTAGATGATTAGTTTATTGTTATTATATTAAAGAAAAATGTCTGAGTAATTTTTTTACCTTAAACATCTATTTTTGTATCAAAACCGTATAAAAATAAATGAGGATTGTAGAAATGTGGTTACCATAAGTTGCGTACCATGAGATAAGCGTGCTGACTCGTACTCTACGCGTCAGTATGCTTATGTTAAGCGTTAGATTTAGTATTCAGATATTTTATACATTCATGTTTCCTCATCCCCGAAGAGGGGCTGAGTATTACACATTGCCTGAGAGAGATCTTTTGGAAAAGTGGAGGGCTCCGAGGAATTGTTCAGACTAATACCAGCCGCAACTTTCCACCTTCGTTCCACACGGTAAAATTTTCATCCTTATCACTTGGATTTTTGGCATTACACCACTGCGCGCGTTTCCAGAATACTTTTTGCATCGCACAACCAATCCAAACCAATAAAAAGGTAGTAGGTAATTCTACAACTGTTAAGATCTTCACAAAAACTTTTGAGATGCCGAAATTATGTACTTAAGAGAAACAAACGATCTAACGGGTATGAGAAGCAAACCTACTACTGCTACTCCTGTTCTGGTCTGTCGATGATTCCAGATTTTGGGGCAACCAAGCAATATCCCAAATCCTTATTAGCGTTACTACACTAGTAAAGTCTTGTGTAAATATGAGTAGGCGTCGTGATCTACAAACCCATACAGACGAGAACTGTCTTTTGGGCAATTCTTGTATGGCATCAACAACAGCATCAGGTACTAATGATACAACAGACAGAATTGTATATCTGTGGTTAGTGTGGCTCCTTTACTGGCCTAACCACAACGGGGATGGGGGCCTCTATCGAAGGTGAGTGACATTACAAAGTGTTTGTAGGTTGTCAATCAAATGAAATCAAAATATCAAAAGGAAATGAGATACTGTTTGTTATGTTTTTTAACAAGTCCCTATTAAATTGTAGATAGGCTTGTCACGCTTATGGCCATCATGAACATCTAGGTATAGCAAACAGCACCTATGATCCATATAAGGAGAACGTCTATCTCCAGTCTTAGTCTCAGTAAGAATTTACATAATACATAGAAAATAGAGAAAAAGGTGACAAGAAAATGACGATTTCACAGAAGAGGCCAATTGCAACACGTTAAACATAATGGCTTACATTTAAGTTCACAGATATATATGAACATCAGAGATTCATGGAAAAGTCTAAGTAAATATTAAAAATTAATGTACATATTTGCACTAAGAACACGCAGTCTTCAAATGCCTGGTTCAATAACGTTTACTGACAGTAACTTCACTAATTCAAGTTCGGCACAAGTTTTTTATTAGCTGTTAATGTTAGGGTCACTTTAGCTCCCAAATGTCTTTAAAATATTACCTAGTAATATATGGTTATTTCAAAAGAAAACGAATGAAGTATGTTTTACATTTTTTTTTTTAAATAATAATACGTATATTTCACAAAAGCATACAGGGTTGCAAATTATAGATAGGCTGATATTTCTTGAGTACAAGTAACTGAAGTTAGCATCTGTTACCGAACTAGGCAAAGCCAGTATTTCGGCTATCAGCGCCAATCCTCTCGGATATAATATTGTCTAATTATCTTAGCCATTTACATAGGGGTAATAAAATTTGTATACACATTATTTTAATTTAACAGAAGTGTGTGTGTGTGTATGTATGTATGTGTATGTGTGTGTGTGTGTGTGTGTGTGTGTGTGTGTGCACGTGCATGCGTGTGTGTGTGTGTGTGTGTGTGCTTGCAAGTGTATATGTTTGGTTATTTATGAAGAGCTACTTAGCTATATATAGGAGTAGTTCCGTTTCTTCATAATTCAGCTTTAGTAAGTATTCACATAGCTGTTTCTTTAGTAGCACTTTTGTCAAGGGATATATGTTTATAGCTCTATTAATTCTATTGTATATAAAAGGGGCAATGAAATTAGCGAAACGTACGAATGTTGTAGCAGACAAGCGCTTAGGATAAATAGTTGACGAACAGTCAGAACTCCAGCTATCTGGTACAGCATTGTAGTAGGGAAGAATATGGGCTGAAAGGTACAGACTTTTAATATCGCACGCTGTGCGATCTCGATCGGTTTCATTACTGTTTTAGGGCGCCACCCCAGGTAGAGATGCAGTACGTCAAGAGCGCCTGACAAAGAGAATAGTATATCTGTTTTAACAATCCGGGGTCAGCAACATGCCTGAGATTTTTAAAGATATATATCAACTTTCTTACTCTTCCACACATTACCTTTATGTGTTCTTTAAAGTTAAGATTGCTGTCCATGATAACGCCTAAATATTTTATTGCATGTACACGTTCCACTGTGGGGCATGAGCAGTTACAGCCGGATTGACATTGATGTGATACGATTTTATGATTATTAAAATTCTCCTGGACACCCTTTATACTGAATCAGATATATTTCGTCTTATCTACGTTAAGGGTAAGGATGTTTCTATCAAGCCAGTCCCCAACAGCACCAAAACCCGCCTGTGCAGCAATAAAAACCTCATTCCAAGTGTTGGCGCTAAAGGAAAGTGCAGTATCATCCGCGAAAGATATGATTACGCCTTTGGAGAGTCTTAAGCTTGTAAGTTCGTTTATGTACACGAGGAAAAGCGTAGAGCCAAGTATGCTGCCTTGTGGAACCCCGTGCAATACCTCAAGGTTACCGCTTTTATGACTTCCTACTCGAACACATTGCAGTCTCCCAGTTAGGTAACTCCTAAAAAGTTTTAGTTGCATTCCTCTAACACCCAGTCTTTCGAGTTTGTCCAATAGGATGGAAACAGAAATCGTGTCAAAGGCCTTGGCTAAATCTAGAAAAATGTGAGGCATTTTTTACCATTATCCAAGTTTGATGTTATATAATCGGTGAGTTTATTGACAGCTAGATCAGTTGATTGATCTCTTCGAAAACCGTACTGGTTAGTTGAAAACAAACTATTACCTTCCAAATACTTAACAAGCCTCACGTTTATAATACGTTCAAGTATTTTTGAAATAGAAGGAATTATTAATCTTATGTGGTTCAAACAAGAGATCAACTGTCTGCAAAGTTAAAACTTAAGCCGACAATTCGATGTTTAAATTTTATATATAAGCTATAATAATAATAACGTTTATTTCTCCTCACAATAAAGACTTATTATACACAAAATAGTGAATAATATTGATATTTATTAGCAGTCTAAAATATGTGAGAAGCTGGTGTCCGAAGTAGGTTGATCCTGAATTACGGATCACCAGGACCCCACCCCACAGTAGTTAGATTTACAGGTTTTACATGTAAGTTTTTTATTTTGTTAAGAATGAATACACATAATTGCTCTTAAAGGAGAAGCTAAACAACAAAGATAAACTAAATAATAATTCCACCTTGTGTGAGCACATGAACATGTGCGTGTGTGTGTGTTTGTCTATTTATGTGCACGTGTGTCTGAGTGTGTGTGTTATTAGTACGTGTGTTAATGGCTGTTGGAAGTGTGGGCTGGATTGTATGCGCGTGTTTCTACTACTTTATTAATTTTTCCGTGGCTCTGTAGTCAAGAGTTTGTAACCAGTCTGTTACCATACATTTACACTTATTTTTTGTCTGTGAATAAATTGACAAAGTTTTGTTTAATTTGTTGTAAAGATGGCTACTTTGGTAACAGTAGAATCGGTGTGAAAAGCTTGTATTAAACCGTTCTATTTCACAGATCCTGTGTTTCCTGCGTACATTTTGTATTTTGTCAGGTATTTTATTTCGGAACGTTTTTTAATTACGGTGTGCAACACAAACAGCTGGCGAACCGAAAGCACTTTCGTTAGATTATAAAGGTCGGTGGTAGGATGAAAGAATGAGAGAAAGTGACTTACTTTCAGGATCGCTCTTTGAGCTCTTTCAATTTTAAGGAAGTAGGTTTTTGTAGCGCCTCCCCACGTGGTTATGCAATATGTAAATAGCGATTGGCAAAGTGCTAAATAAACGGATTTGATCAAATGGTAATCCGCCACATGACTCAGGTTTAAAAAAATAAATATAAGCTTTCGTGTACACGTTGCATGTATAGCAACATGGGAATGAAAGTTGAGTTTCTCGTCTATCATAATACCTAAGTATTTAATTGAAGTGGTTCTTTGGAGTCTGGGGCAAGTACAGATAGAGTGGTTGAAGTTATCACATGTGTGAGAAATTATTTTACTATTTGAGATTATGCCATCATCCGGCGTTCTTAAGGAAAACATTACATATTTGGTTTTTCCTACGTTGAGTGTTAGCAAGTTGTCCCTTAACCACTCAGTTACAACGTTCAATTCTTGCTGCGAACTAACGAGAACTTCAACTCAAGAATCACCGAATCCACTGAAAACTAGAGCTGTGTCATCTGCGAATGTTATAATCCTTGCCTTAGGAAGTTCCAGTTCACATAGATCATTAATGTAAGTGAGAAAAAGTGACGGACCCAGTATACTACCCTGAGGTACGCCAAAGTTTACTTGAACCCAATGTGTGGGGATTGATCGTGTTGTTAGTGACGAACTTACAACACGATCAATCCCCACACATTGGGTTCGCCCGGTCAAGTAACTTTTGAAAAGTTTTAGCTGGAGGCCCCTCACTCCAAGACGCTCGAGTTTTATAATCAGAATTGGGACAGACACTGAGACAAAAGCCTTTGCTAAATCCAGAAATATCGCAATAGTCTTCTTTGTACTGTCAATGTTAGTTACTATTAAGTTTGTCAATTCCTGTACTGCGTCAGAGGTTGACTTTTTTGCTCTAAAACCAAATTGCGACGTGGATAATAAATTGTTTTCTTCCAAGAATTTAACTAGCCTCTTATTTATTACACGCTCTAAGATTTTGGATAATGTTGGAAGGATCGAAATGGGCCTATAGTTGTTGACACAGCCTTTGTCCCCGCTTTTATGAATCGGATGGATTCTTGCTTTCTTGAAAGATGCCGGCAAAACCCCAGTAGACATCGATAGATTGCGGATATATGTTAAAGGTCCTGTTAGTAAAACTTTATTTGACTTTATAACATCCACCGGGAGCATGTCCACGCCGACAGCACTGTCAGATTTTAGGTTGGAAATAATTGTGTCAACCTCACTTTCGTCCGTAGGTAGCATTACAAAGGATTTGGGATTTGATTTCAACTTAGGTCGTTAGTAAAATCAGTATGATTTATGCGTTTAAAAAAATGTGTAAAATAAAAATGGTGGTCAGCACCACAGCGTGGGTTTTTATTAGTTAAGGGTATGGGTATGGGTTTTTATTATTTTTATTTGTTAAGGATAGTCTGGAGGATCAAACAACGAGCTGCTAGTCTTGTCCTTAATAGAATATGATCAAGACAGGTTTTTTTATGTGTAGGGAGTGTGTGTCCAGGCAAGATGCCGTGAAATGCTAACATATCCAAATATAGGTTCGAATTCCTGTCAACACTATTTTCGCCAATGTCTATGTTGATGTCGCCCACAAGTACAATGTTTAGCATAGATGAGTATTTTAATAATATATTGTTAAGTGATTCAATGAAATTGCTGACATTTTTGTATCCTGGGGGGCGATAGATTGCCAATATTCGATGTTGTTGTTGGGTTTTAAGGCCAGACAGTTAGCTTCAGCCAGCTTTGGTTCTTCTACTTGCTCAAGCAAAGCTTGTCGATAGTACACTACAATGCCTTCATTTTGGGTTTGATTATTTGTAGTGGCTACATAATTGTGGCCATCCACATTGGGAATGCTGTGAGTGGATGGAAACCAGCATTCTGTCAATACCATGTAATCCCAACATACATTGCTACTGCCGATTAATATTACGTTTAAGACTTCTTATATTCTGTTGGTATAGTTTAAGATAGCCATTTGAATCTGGCAGTCGTGAGAATTACATTCATCAACGTTACACAGAACGGACGTAGCTAGTCTAAAGGCATTAATATCATTAAATATGTTATGTAACTCATTGAATTTTGTTATCTAAGTTGACGGTAAGTTGAAGATTATCTGTCAATTTGAAGAAGAAGAGCTTTAATAAAAAGGCAATTCGGTTATAGTAATTAAAATCAATATAATTCATATATTGATGAGAACTTATGTTGGTTGATAGTAGTGTAAATTATTATGTGATATGGGTATGTGTTTAGTAAAATGGTTGTTTTGTTTGTGAGTAGGAAAAGGTGTATGCGAGTACGTTGAGTATCATGACGAGATTTGAGAGTTGCGATGAGTGATTGAGGTATAAGTATTGTCAGTAAAATTTTGTTCCCTAGAGTAGATGTAGAATAGAGTGATCGAGTGTTTATTTTAGTGTGACACAAGGGGATATAAAAGAAATTGAGATAACATGCAATTAATTGAAAATTAAAAAAAGAGATACCATACGGATTTTCTAGTCATGCGGTTCTTTTCAGTTTCTCCAGATTTTCTTCATTATCAATACGTATGCGAGGTTCGTCTGCTTTCCTTCTTAGAAACACTTTACCATAGGAAGTCCAGCAACTCTCGATTTGTTATTTTTTTTGAAAACTCTTGCCAAAAACTGTAGATGTTTTGTCCTTTTAGTCAACGCTTTTGCAACATCACATCACACATCAACAGCCTATACTAGTCCACTGCTGGACATAGGCCTCTCCTTAGAAAGGAGGTTTTGGCCTACTATACCACGCTGGCCAGACGGGTTGGTATAGGGTTTGTTTCAAGTTTTCCTTCTCTTTGCAGTGCTGTTGTCCTGCTTAGTTTGCTCCCTTAGTCGGCTCTTACGACACCTACGGGATGAATTGGGGTGGTGACAATTTGTATTCTTAATCCGTCACCACACGGACTTAATCCGTCACCACACGGACTACATAGATTGCAACATATATGCAACATAGATTGGTTTTATTGGTCCATTCATTTTCAAATGTTCCGTATTCAACCGAGAGTCAGAGCCTTTTTCCTTATTGTAGGTTATTGTTGATTTTATAAAGTTTTCTTTCTTAATTGTTGTGTTTAGTTCGACAATAATTGGATCTTTAAGATATCCTTAAGCTTAAATCGATAGACATCACGAATATCCACATCTTGTACGGGTACGCCAACCACGGAGCCAATTTGTTTTGTTATGTCTACTAGACTTTGCTTACTTTCAGAATTCATTTTGTTATACTTCAGCATTTAAAACATCCCCATGTGATGAAAATAGTGTAATATTCTACTCTAGACATTATTTTTTAGCATTGCTAGATGATTGATTGCATAAAGAGTATATGTCCTCATCTAGGGAAGACCTAAGTTTAAACTCTAAAGATAGATTACTTAGAGTTTAATCTTCGAGATGGATCCCTCCATACTGACACCTTTGAAATAACCAGGTATTCTGCCAGCGGCTCTTTCTGTAAAGTTGTTCAATGACGTATTATTCTAGCAGCGCAGGCTCATATATATATTTTTTTACAACGTTGGTTGTGAGCGCGTGATATATTTATTTAGTGTGATAATAATGTTTATCGTATCGTTTTTATATTTCGAGTTTTGTCATAACTAAAATATTCTGTGAGTAATAAGGAATGAACTCGTTAATATTATTTTTCCTCTCGTTATTGTACACTATTTAAGGATAATTTAATACAGATATGTTTCATACACTCATGTTCAACAATTCATGTTTTGATTACTGGGATTTCTCCTCAATATTCCAATTTTTTGTATGGCCATTGGACTGGCTTATTTAATCTAATTCAGTTTAGTTGTCGCCAGCAATTTTGACTCCTGAGTTGCAGGTGTTCCTGAATGACGACAGTCACATCATTTGTATCCCCCATATCATTAAAAAAAACTAATAATGAGATAGGCAGAATTGCTACTCGGAAGCGACATCTCAAGAAAAAATAGGTAAGCGGACTCTGATTAGCAGAGATCGGAATAAGTAGATTAAATTTACTGTGGTCCCAGTCTCGAAATACCCACAACCCGAGGTAATGTTCTATTCTATGCTACTTACTTCCACGAACTTTAGGTAAAATACACTTTACCTATTCCAATCTTAGCTGATTAGAAACTTGACTAGGTCTGAAGATAAGAAAATAGTTTGTTTTAGGATTTTAGGAAATCCAAAGGGTTTTTGTTTTTGCCATGTCCTGAAATTAGTCACCTATCATGGTCACCCTACCTTATATAAATAGATATGTTATAAGCATAATAAATTTATAATAATGAGTGGAATTATAACAGTTTAGTATTGAACTTTCAAATCAAATATACGCGTACAATATATACGACGAAATTTATTTTTTATAAGAAAACGACATGATATTATTGGTGAATAGAGTTGACGTGTAAATATGTAACAATGAATTTACAGTATGCAGTGTATTTTATAATTGTATATACATTTGTGCATAGTGGTGCTACAGGTAAGAGTTCTACAACGTTTTTTCAATAATCTCCAACCGATGTTGGAGATCTCGGATTTTCCAGCCAATTGGGGTTTAGAAGGCCAAAGGCGAAAATACCTTTTATGACAGTTGTAAAAACAAGAGTTGATCGGAACTGAACTGTGACCAAACTTTTATTACGAGAATTGACCTTCGGATATATCGATTTATTATGCTTACATTACGTATTCTTAATCCGTCACCACACGGACAAGACGGTGACGGATTAAGAATACGTAATGTCACCACCCCTATTCCTTCCGTGGGTGTCGTAAAAGTCGACTAAGGAAACAACTACGCTAGACAACAGCACTGCAAAGAGAAGGAAAACTTGAAACAAATCCTTTTTTTTTTTTTTTTTTTTTTTTTTAACGTGTGGAAATCCCCTCGGACCGTCACCCCTCCGGGGTTTGCGGCGGGGTGGTGTGTCGGACTCGGACCGACTAAAACCACACGGTGTGCCACTCTGCGCCTGTAACAGGAGGGATCCGGGAACAGCTGTTGTTAAGACATCCGGACCCCTCCTAGCGCCAGCCCGCTCCTGGTGCGGGCTCCGTCAATATATTTTCCTCTCTTTAGGCGACGTCCGGCACACGCGGACGCCGCCCCCTCGCGGCTGGCCAAACTAATGCGGGTGGAGGGGAAACCCACCCCGTCCACACGCGGCCACACTCAGGGCGGCATGAGGCTGTGATAGGCGGGCCTCCGCCGCCCGGTTCGCCGGCGGCGGATCGGGTCCGAGTGGAGGTCGTCCTCCCGGGCCCTCTCCGCCGCCTCCTTCCGCGAGATTACTACCTACCTAACTGTCGCTACCGGCCATGGAGCGTACTACGGCCGGTAGCGAGAGATCCACTCCGATGACTGCAGTGAGGGCCCGGCGCTGCGCCGCCCATGCGGGGCAGACCGCCAGCGTGTGCTGGGCCGAGTCCTCACTGCAGTCGCAGTGGTGGCAGGCGGGACTCAGTTCCCTCCTAGCGACCGAGTGCAGGTACTTTCCGAAGCAACCGTGCCCGGAAAGCACCTGCGTCAGCCGGAAGGAAAGGGTCCCGTGCTGCCGCCCTGCCCACTCGGCGATGACCGGCTGGAGAGCCTCCACGGCGGCGAAGCCAGCGCGTGGAGTCTCCAGCCGGAACGACCAACGAGCCATCGTGGCTCGGCGAGCGGCTTCGCGCCACTCGCGCACATCCTCGGGCGGAGGGCGAAATCCGCTCTCCGCCCGGGAGTCAGCCACTCGCCGATAAACTTCGGCGAGCACTTCCGCCTCCAAATCCCACGGGGGAGTTCCGGCCAACGCCACGGGGGAGTTCCGGCCAACGAAACAAATCCTATACCAACCCGTCTGGCCAGCGTGGTATAGTAGGCCAAAACCTCCTTTCAGAGGAGAGGCCTATGTCCAGCAGTGGACTATCATAGGCTGCTGATGATAATGATGATGATGATGCTTACATTTCCTTATCTATCCATATAAGGAAGGTCTATTTGCCACCATTAGTAAACGTCTGACTACCCCTGATAGATGCAATAAATTTAAATGTTTTTCTTGTTTGTTTAAATTTATTTTATGGCCTAGGGGGCAAAAGAGCAGTCGACTCATTTATCAATTATCGTAGTTACTGCGTTCAAGCCCTTTGAGACCCACTTCCCAGAATTAGGAGGATTTAAGAGTAACCTCACTTGGTGAATAGCAACTGAATATAGCTTTGTGACGCCATGGTATCTATGCATACGTATCGAAAGACGAAAAGCAACGAAGGATTAGTTTTGTGATGCCATGTTTTCTATGCATACGTGTCGAAAGACGAAAAGCAACGAAGGAATAGTTTTGTGATGCCGTGTTATGTATGCATACGTGTCGATATTCCAATGATATTATCCTAGATATAAATCTGATACTATCCTAAACTATTATACTTTGTTAGATAGCTGAGAATACGTCCATTTTTTTAACAAATCTGCGGTTTAACTGTCATAGTTTAGTTTTTGTGATGACGACTGTTTTTTTTAAATTACAGATGTCCAGACAATCCAAATACCTATCAACAAACCAGATGAGGAATATTTGGTTCAGTTAAATAAGCCGCTCGTAATATATTTTGAAGGAACAGTTATTAGTCGGTAAAACAGATTTAATAATTTTATGTAAAAACGTATTAAATATTTTTTTAACAAGCAGACTTGATGGAAAGCGACTACCGCCGCTCATGAATACCAGCAATTCAGGAGTAAGAAGCGCATTGCCGTCCTTTTAGGAATGAGTTTGCTCTTTTCTTGAAGGTTTGACGGTTGTATCGGTCCCCTAATAGCGGAGATTTACACTACATTTGAGAGCAATGAGTCCGGACCGGATTGTGAACTACATTTGAGCTGGTAAACATAAACTATCTGGAGTGGTCCGCACACAGCCTGGACCTACAAAGTGATTAATAAGTTTTAAGGCATACTTAATTGACATAATTAACCAACGAGATTTTCAGGTATCTTCATATCACCCTAGCAGAAGCAGGCCGGGGTGGCGGCGAGCGCGTTGAGAAGCGCGCTCGCTTCCAGGGAGCACAGAGAACATGGGGTTCCCACACGGGGGGGGGTTCCTACTCGTCTGTAGATGACCCGAGGTATGTCGGGGTACCAGGGACTTCCTTTCTAGGGTATACCTGGTTCCCCGGCTATTAGTACCCGAGACGGCGTGCGATTTTAGTCGGTTCGAGTCCGACATGCCACCGACAGGTGGTATCCGAGGGGATTTCCGCACGGAAAAAAAAAAAAAAAGGTATCTTCATATGACCAAGATTCATTTATGTGATCCAAAATCATTACTCTCTAGTGACAATTTTTTTTTGTATAATACAGCTTGCCTTGAAGCCTTCTTTCAAGCGTTTGTTTTTTTCTCTCCCGCTCTCTCTCTTTCTCTCGACTTCTCTCTGAGTGTCTGTGGCTTGTCTCTGGTGCAAGCAAATCGATGCATTTACTTGGAAAAGCAAAAACCACTCGGAAAAACATTAGTATATTTGTTTTTTTTTAGATGTGTTTGGAACTCGACGCATGAAAATATTGATGCAAGTGAAAAATCCATTACTTACAACTCATTCCCTAACATCGAATTCTCTTCGTTAAGTGTAGGTGGATTTTATTATTAATAATATTTGCTTAACCTTTGTCAATATTTGATTGTGATAATGTAGGTGAGCCACTCGTCGGAGCATATAGGCCTTCTCAACCGGAACGATACCATGTCATCATCAACAGCCTTTAACAGTCCACTGCTGGACATAAGCCTTTCCTTAGAAAGGAGATTTTGGCCTACTATACCACGCTGGCCAGACGGGTTGGTATAGAGTTTGTGTCAAGTTTTCCTTCTCTTTGCAGTGTTGTTGTCCTGCGTAGTGTGTTCCCTTAGTCACCTCTTACGACACCCACGGGATGAATGGGAGTGGGGACAATCCATATTCTTAATCACACGGACCATACCTTTATACGGATACCATGACTTTATATGAAATCGGTATCAAGTGGACATGGAAATTATTGCTACTTTTAAAAAGTATTCATTTGGTGAAATGATTGGTGGCATTGAAATCACTCAAAATTCTTTTTATCAAAGATTACGACCTTGTTTTTTAGATTTAGACCTTTTGCTAGTCTGCGCTAGCGTAATAATAATAATTAAGTAGCAGTAGTAGTAGTAACAGCTAAGGTTTTCTCAATTAGTAAAGCTTTAGGTGGTATGATTTATAAATAACTAGCTGACCCGGCGAACTCTGTTCCGCCTTAAAGGCAATAAATAAGCCGATTTTCGAATTTAGTAAGTTAATTTATTTCTTAGAAAAAAAAATGAAGTACATTAATCATTTATTATAGTTTCTGCATTTCAGTACATAGGTTGCTCTTCACTTAAGTACCTTGTGATACACGACATTTTTTCTTTTCTTATCAGGCGCAAAAACAAACAACGCAGATGGTCTTCCGACCAATACTTAACGTTGCAATGTGTCTTGAACGTTTTAGAAATAAGTGGCCAATATGGAACAAGCCAACTGTTGTCGACAACGAAATCCATTCTTTACACTTTTGTGGTGACAGTTCCAGTATCCTATGTCCGTCTCCTGGCTCTAAGCTACCTCCTCACCAATTTTCAGCCATATCGGTAAAGCCGTTCTTGAGTTATAAATAGTGTAACTAACACGACTTTCTTTTATATATATAGATATGATTATTCACATGTGACTGTGATTTTATTCCATCCCTAGTATCAAGCAATTATTTCATTGTTTTTACCGGTGAGTATGGCTATTGGAACCACTCCCACTAATACAGAGGGGGTTGCATTTAAAGCCCACTTGCAATCAAGCAATCAAATGAATATACACAAGAATGTTGACATTATACAATACTTAAATCTGAAGTCCAGTTATAACTATACACAACGTTCTATAACAAAGCTGATATGAGTATGTTAACAGACTAAAGTATTCACATAATAAACTTAAGTTCCATTATTTATTACAAATAATTGGTTTAAGATTTAATTAAAAAACAAAACTAAGAATAAGAAAAAAAAAGCCGAAGAAATAATACCAATGCTATTATGGGGCACATTCTTTTAGTAATAAACTTTTGAATAAATTGTATCTGTTGTAAGAAATGTAGACCTCAGAGCAAATAGCGTTATATTGACTGCACATTCAGGAGCCTGGATTGTTTTGTGATACATAAATGTTGCTTCTAGCCATTGAGAACAGCTGTGGTATACGTACGGACTGTGTTGGTATCTTAAAGTATAGCAAACCAACAAGCTCACCATTAAATGAGCCATTTACTATTTTATGTAGGGTGCACATGTCAGCCAACTTCTCTTCTCTAGGCTCATCAGTTCAGTCAAATGTCGTAATCTAGTATTTTTTCGACTCAAGCCAATTTTAGAGGACAATGCCATAACAAAATGCCTTTGGACTGCCTCTATTCGATCTATATGGGTTTGATAGATGGGAGCCCGTACTGATGAGCAGTACTCTGCTATGCTTCTTACTAAACAGTAGTATAGAGTTACTAAGGAACTAGCTTGTTTAAAAGGTCTAGCATTTCGAAACACAAACTTCAATATACGATTAGCCTTATAACAAATGTAGTCGTAATGAGGTCTGAACGACATAGTGGAGTCCAAGATCACCCTCAAGTAGCACACCTCCTTAACTATTTCTATAATGAATCCTTTGACCTGGTAACAGTAATCAAGTGACTTTTTATAATGAGTTAGTCCATGGACTGCATAAGACTTTAATACCTACATATTTATTTTTCAGATTTCATCAGTAACTAAAGACATGAGCACACAGTGGAAGTGCACAAACGTGAATAAGGAAAATTTTGTTTTCAATATTCGAGTCAAATGTGCATGTAAGTAATTTTAGTAAAGTAATACATTTGTATATCGCAGTCCCCGACGAACACTATGGTAACCGCTATTACGATAGAATCGGGTTTATTAGATATTCGTTATCTACACACCTTATTACAATCATTGAGTTTTTTTTATGATCGGGCGATGAATACTTTTAGATTTATCCATTCAATAATGATCTTTATGTTTTTGTTCAACGTATAACATAAGTGAAAAATTTACACGATCAATAACGCAAAAACCTATTACCAAATTTCAAAAGTCAACATTTTAGAGTAAGCGGCTATTACCATATTGTTCGAGGGAAAAATGACAGAATCTTATTAGTGGAGAGAATTGGTTAAACGACACCCAAGGCCGATAAATTCAGTGGTCGAAATTGATGGAGGTGGGAGTTTCTCATTTAAAACCAACTATTTTACAGTATAAGTATGACTTCGACAATGATTCATTCGAGTTGGATACAAAACTTCAACTAAACAAACCCAAACGAGGACGGAAACGCGTCCCTGGCCAGGTTGATGTACAAACACTCAAAAATGTTTACAGCCACCCTTTACCTATCACCAAGGCTCTCTTACAACCCTTTTTTGCATTTAAAAGTAGTATATGTCCGTCCTAAGGCTCTAGGGTATCTGTGTACTAATTTAATGTAAATCGGTTCAGTACTTTTAGCGTGAAAGCTACACAGACAGACAGAGTTACTTTCGCATTTATAGTATTAGTAAGGATTGTATGTCTTGCCCAATTGAAAACTCGCTAGATTATAAGCTGACAATATTTAGGTTCAATTTACAGTGCTACAAATAACCCTTTTTCTTTTTCCGTGCGGCAATCCCCTCGGATACCACCTATCGGTGGCATGTCGGACACGAACCGACTAAAACCGCACGCCGTCTCGGGTACTAATAGCCGGGGAACCAGGTATAACCCTAGAAAGGAAGTCCCTTATGCCTCGGGCCATCTACAGACGAGTAGACGACCCCACGTGTGGGAACCCTATGTTCCCTCTGCTCCCTGGAAGCGAGCGCGCTTCGCAACGCGTTCGCCGCCACCCCGGCCTGCCTCGGCTAGGGTGACAGATGGCCTCACCTGTCACCCCGAGGCCCGCGCTTATGGAGGGCGGAGGTGGTTCCGCTACCTCCGGCGCCTGAGTCGCCTGCGGTACCTGGCCCGGGAAAGGTCCTGGCGGGCCGGGAGAGTTCTAAACCTCTCCCGGTCCCGCTCCGCCGTCTCCTTCGCGAGCATAACTTGCTCGCAGAAGGAGACGGCAGAGTTCCACGCACTCTCGCTCCGCACGATAGCCGCAATCAGGCTATCGAGCGAGAGAACTCCCACTCCGATGGCCGCCACGAGGTCTCGCCTCTGCTCAACCCACGCCGGGCACTCTGCCAGCGTGTGGAGATCCGTGTCCACGGTCTGGCCATCGCAGTGGTGGCACTCAGGCGTTGGCTCCTTGCGGATCAGACACAGGTGATCCCCGAAACATCCTTTCCCAGTGAACACCTGTGTCAGTCGGTATGAGAGGGTCCCGTGACGCCTCTCGAGCCAATCCTCCATAACGGGTCTTACCGCCGCGTTGACGGCGTGCCCGGCTACAAATAACCCTGTAAAATTAATACAATATGCATCAAGACATAAATAGATAAATAATGTCAAATTTAAAGTAATAGACACATAAAAACTTTATTTATGCATAGGTACCGAAATGGTTATAACACCTAAAAATGATCATCGCCTAAGCATGTAATTTATGTTTACCGTAATATTAAAGTCAGTTATATCATCGAATACGATTGCAATGTCATTTTACGAATTTAAAGTGTATTCATATTTACCATGGAACAATATCATAATGAACGATTACTACAGCAACACCGATTTGTGATTACAGTCGAACACTATCGTAAAGTTAGTTTGCGTTAATTTTTTCCATAGCTCATTTCAGTAATGGATATTTTCACAATTTTCTTACTGATAAAGAAAATTTATGATAAAAATTTAGTAAAAATCTAGTGCAAAAAAATATTCCCTTATTTTTGATAAAAGAATCTTCTTTTTAGTCTTGATAGTATTCAAGATATTCAGTTTTTATTTGCTCCTGTAAAATTGTTATTTTCCTGTTACGATTTTGTTCGTCGGGGACTGCGAATTATATTTAACTGTATAGTATGTCATATATATTTGAACTTTGATGCAGATGCAGTTGAAGTGAATCTCGTTGGATCAATTATATCATTTAAGATGACAAATGAGTCAGTGAAAGAATATGATGGCATTTATAACTATGAATGCGAGATGGGAGATACTATAGATATAACTTGCAGAAACTTGTACAATAATGGCCACATAACATTACAGTACCACGATGCGCAGGGTAACATTTAATATATATTATAATTATATTTTGTTAAATATATTACATCCAGTTGTCTCATTCTTCTTCATCTATTTATCTTGTAAAGGAATATTCAATTTAATAACAGATCGTATCCAAACTTTTTCAATGGCTTTTCTCAACCATACAAAACTAATAATATGCCAGATTTTAAAGTAAAGTAAAATAAGAGAGATGAATAAGATTTAGTTAAAGTGTCTTAACAAGAATATAAACAGATTTGAATTTGATCAAGTATTTGTTTTTCTTAGCAAAAATGCTTGAATTAAAAACAAAACTACATATCGTAAAGATACTTAAGCATGAAGTGATACTTTGTATATAATTCCAGGGGCTATCATTACGAGCAGCCAATCTTACGAAAAAGAAAAGTCCGATTTGACTTTTCGAATGTTGGTTAGAGGTAAAAATGTTAGCCGATCATACGTAGACTGTACGTACGTAACACCAATAGAAACTATAGTACAAGAATTCACGTACAGAACTATATTTCAAATCACAAATAGAAATCCGAGAAGAAGTGGTAAGTAAAGCAAAAAAAGTGATGAAAGTATGTGCTACAGAAAACTATAGACATTACCTTTAGGCAATATAGTAATTGAATAGTAACCTTATTTTCAAACATAACCTAAGTACCTTAAAATATAAATAAATTGGCCTCGAAGAAGGTGTGCTGAATAAATCGAGGCAGTATTTCACTTCGAAATGGCGATGGTCACTTTCCATCAGGTGACCCGTCTGCTCGTCTGCCCCTCTAACATAAAAAAAATATTAGTACTTCAAACTAACGTACAATCTTATTTAGTTAATCCTTTGCAGATGGTTTTATTATAACTATCAACAGAATGAAGTTAACCAGATTGCCACCCGGTTTGTCAACAATAGACAGATATGTGTACAAATTCCTTAGCATGGAACATTTAAAAATTACATGTTCAAAGAGCAGGGAGCAACCAGGTGCTATATATGGAAAAATAAAAGAAAGCAATAATAAGACTGTGCTCAGTACAGGTAAAGTATGTCAATAGATAGTATTAGAATCAATTCATAGTTTCTATTTATGTGAGATGAAGTCAGAATTAGATATTTAGGATTTTTTGTCATTGTTATGAATGGGTTGCCTCAACATTCACATAATTGCAAGCCTTCAAATGCCTGTGGTTCAAATTAAGCATCAGCTATCTTTTCTGTCATCTGTGTCCTTATTGATATGAATCCAATTCCTAGATCTAGTCTGACGAATTGTTTTTGTTTACTTACAAAGTATCTTTTTTGTTGTTTAGAACAATGATGATATTTACGAAAAGATGAATGCTACAAGTACTTATTTTTTTGCACAGATTGAGTGAATCTTAACTAAAAAGTGTAAATTTGAGTTTGTTTATTAGTTTCTTGATTATCTGACTTTATTGATGGGAGAGGAAGAACATGTAACAGGACGCTGGAGAGCGCAGAAAAAACATCAGTCTCTACAAGAGCTGTCCGTTTGGGTACGTCTGAGAATTAGGTCTGAGACGGTGGTGCGACCTTTACTGTGTGTGCTTCTCTTAACAGGATGTAACGAAGGGTGCTGTGGCAGAGGTTTCTAATGGCCTCTGGTTTTTGAAGTAATACATATAAAAAAATTAAATAGTACGATTTCAGATGTAAAAACTGAGCAAACGTTCACCACTTTAATTGAACCTGTAAATCTAGATAATGTGACTTTTCAATGTGATTCTAAAAAAGGACCTGATAATTTGGTTTCTGAAATCAAATTTATAAAGGAACCTAACCGTGGTAAGTAAGACTTATTAGGTATTAAATGTATTTATTTCAAATTATATATTTAAACAGTTGATTATTTTTAGATACTTATATACTTGGTTTATCTGCAAGTAATGTACTCTACGAGTACAATACTAGAAGGAGCTGGATAACTCATTATGAGTATACCGTCAATCAGATACTGAACCTTACCTGTATCACAACTAGGGATAGATCGCCACAATGGGCAAATAGAAGTAAGTGTTTTTAAAAATTTGCGAATATTTTAATTTAAGTATTAGGTCCTGAGACTCTTAGCGAAGAAATTAAATTATTAACTTTTCGAAATTCTCGTTAGTTATACTCTGAAGTGTAAAAAAAATCTCTAGATATAGTTTTTTTCTACTCGAATATGAAACTATATTTTCTACTCCTTTGGTTCTTCTGATTACCGAAGAAATTCCGCCGAATTTACAAGAACTATGAAACTGTTACAGTGAGTACTAAAGTATAACGTTTAATAGTGTGGCTACCTATAGCGACCGACATCTACTAGGGTTCTCGGAGACTTTCCTCCTACGGTGTACCTGAGTTCATTTCAATAGACTCAAATGTGACGAAAAACCGTGTGATTTTATTCGGTTAAAACTTTACCGTGAGGGTAAAAGAGGTTATTATTATCGAAATACAATTTTGATATGCTCGTGATATGTGTTTATCTGGTAAATATTAATACAAATGTGGAAATCATTCCATTTTTAATAGAAACAAACAAATTGTTTACTATCCTAATGTAAGAATAATGAAGACGTAATAGGCTGCCATTTGAAATTGAAATCATCAAAAATGAGTTATAGTTTTGTTAGTTAATAAAATATCACATTTTCTTGTTAATGTATGTTGCTCTTCATTTCAGAAGAAATAATTTCGACCATACATGAGAATGTTGAGTACGGAACTAAATATATTAATTATATGTTTCCGATGAATATTGAAACAATTAAAATTATTACTTGTGAATCTAAGAAGAATGGAACAATAACACAAATAGTGACTATTATTCTTCATCAGGTTTTAGAAATACCAGCAGAAGAACAAGATTTGAATAGCAATTATGAAAATAACATTCCTGAAAACTGTAAGCATAATTTTTGTAGTAAATTATTTATTTATTTATTTAACTTAATGCACAAGTTGTACACAGGCGGGCTTACTATAATTGTATACTATAAATTTTGTCAAAATAAAACACTAATAAAATAATAATATTCTTATAGTAATGTTAAGTGATGATGTTAAAAATTTAGTGATTTATGTAGTTATAAATCACTAAATATAAACAAGATAGACAAAGTGTTTGTTTTTAAAAGATTATAAGTTAATAGTGAATACAGTAGATAGTCACTATTACTTATTTTTAAGTTTTAGTCTTGTCTGGATTTTTTATGTATTTCTTGTAACGATCTAACTTTCCTCCTTTTGATATCTCGGATTCTAATTTGGGGATACAGTCTTTTTAATATTTTGTTTTGGCAATTACGGTTCCTACTCTTGTTCTCTAATTCTCACTAGTTCACCTAACTGCTAAGTTTACAACGCTTTTAAGCGCTATCGAGTCGAGTACTGTTTGCGGGATATTATTAACCGACTTCAAAAAAAGGAGGAGGTTCTCAATTCGACTGTATTTTTTTTATGTTTGTTACCTCAGAACTTTTGACTAGGTGAACCGATTTTGATAATTATTTTTATTTGAACGTCTCCAAAAATAACAATAATTGTAACTACATTACATTATCGTAATAATTTGATTGACTTTTAAGTAGTCTAGTATTTTTCATTTCATTTTACTTAGGAGAACTCTAAAAAATATTATGGTCGTTGTTTGTTATTCATAGGTATATTTTGAGTTAGATTTGAAGTGGGTAGGTACCTACCTACCTTCTTGCGTGGTAAACACATATATCGTACCTACATATTGATGAGTGGAAAAAGTAAGTTAATTTTTAAGTTGTAGAAGAATACGCATTTATTTTTTTACTTTTTAGTGCATATTAATTTGTTTTGGAATAGTGTTTTTTGAAGTTGTTTTTTTTTTGTTAATTTTTTTTTAATTGGTATAGGGAATCATTTTAATTTTATTGACATGTGCTTCTTTCTTTAGTATTTTATTTGTAGCTTGTCTGCAATTGGCGCATAACGAACCAGTATACTCGTAATACCTGTGACACTACTTCGATTCTACCATTTAACCTTTTTCTTATTAAAAGTGTAAACTAATTATAATTAATTATACTAGTCACATCATTACTTCAATCGAATGGTGCATGTAATAAGTCTTGTCATATCTGGTAAAGTTGTCTTTAATTAAGTCACATATCACCGCACACGCACTGGATTTTGAAAAAGAGAAATTAACACAATGTAATAAATAGCCACAGTTCTCTTGTAATGATATGTAAATTAGATAACTATTATTAAGATCTTAGAATATATCATTTAAGATAGTTTAATTCATTTCCAGTCACAAGTTTCACTGTATTTGAGATCATTGGTACAATCGCAGGCATCTTGTTCGCCACAATTGGTGCTGTTTGCGCATTATACTTGTGGAAGAAGAAAATAAATATTTTAGCTAAGGTATGTGAAGGATGATCACGAACGTAAGCAGTTATATCCGATATGATGGTATACATTAGGATTATTATGCTACTAGCAAACTTCATAGACGGAACTATGAAGGAGTACCACAAGGCAGTATTGCAGGTCCTTTTAATTCAGAATTGCTTAAATTATAACTATTTATGTATAAACAAACATTCTCTTTTCAAAGTAGAAATATGTTGTATGTACTATGTAATATTTTATTTTTAAAATATTATTTTTATACTTCTTACTATAGTGTAAACTAAATTAATTAATCCAAATTAATCATCTGACCAAGTCAGTTGGTATCTTACGTATATGTTTTATCTGTTGTATAATTGCAATGGAGTAAATATCACATATTTCTTTCCGCAGCTGCACACATGTTTAAAAAAAGATGACAATCAACTACATTCTCTAACAAACGAAGTTGTAAATGAATACACGTATATTGAAAATGAATATAATTACATCCAAAATCAGGATGTTTATATGATAACGAATGTCGCATACTGTGGGAGTACTCAGAATTATGTCACACAGAAAACCACCTCTCAGAGTGATCACAAAGAGGACTATTACACAGAAATTGATGATAAAACAACAAATAATGAAATCAAAACCACATATGCTGTACCTTACGAGACTCATCATATAAACAAAGATAAGGTTTCGAATTGTGTTAAGGATTATGAAAATGTCCAAAATAAAAGCAATACAGGTTACAGGAACTTGCAAATAAAAGATTATAATATAAGTTACAGCAATTTGACTAACGATGATTTGAATGCAAGTTAAACAAAAATCTATTATCAAAAAGAAGAAAACTATGAAGAGAATCAATAAGGAATAAAAACTTATTTCAAGTTTAAGAAATACAGTGAAAAATCGCTTTTGGAGTATAAAACTAATGCGAAATATTCGGCATCAAACCATCAATCGGCAATCAAGATTAAAATTCTGCAATTGAAAACAAACCAGATAGGGCTACACCATCTATTGTTTATTTAATATGTATATGTTTCTTTAAAAATGTTTTAAAAGAATCCATGTACATGCCTTACCTGAAACCTACCTTAAAATAGAAGAAGAAATTATGCCTAATAGGTTTAATTCTTCTCTTCGCATTTCTTAAATTACCGCAATTAAGAAAGCCAAAACTTCAATGAAAATGCCTTTTTTTAGTCTTAATTTGTAGATAAGTATAGAGATCGAGTGTGCATCAATAAATTTCATTTAAGAAAGAAAACGGTTGTATAGAACTTACGAACATAATCACATCAACTCATCACATTAACAGCCTTTAATAGGGCACTGCTGGACATAGGCCTTTCCATAACGAGGAGGTTTTGGCGTAGTATATCACGTTCTCCGCGGTTAAGGGCTTGTTTCAAGTTTTGCTTCTTTTTGCAGTGCTGTTATCTTGCGTAGTTTGCTCACTTAGTCGGCTCTTACGACACCTCCGGGATAAATAAGGGTGGTGGACACTCCGTATTCTGAACTTGTCACCACACAATGCCGAACGTTTTCGTAATATATAGATATTTTGCAAATTAAGCTGTTCATATGGTTGAATATTACATAAGGTTAGTCATTGATTATGCGCACATGAGTGTGATGTTTATTTCATTTATAAAGTGAAGCGTTGTAAGTAAATTATAACATTAAAGAAATAAAATATATTACTTACTTTTTTTTCTTTTAAATGTGTAAAATTAAATGTGTATATTTTCAGATTACCTTTATATGTATATTTATTGACTGTGATAGCGTTTAATTTTATATTAAATATGATTCATATTATTATATTATATTTTGATTACTTGTTCTGCATTTAAATCTAAAACACCATGCCGCAATATTATGTAACGTTATATTATTGTCATAATATATACCATTTTGGTTACCGATACCCAAAAATGCAATTTAATGGGTTTTTGATCCTTCCCTGCACGTCCTTGTGGTATTACATGTTGTGTAATCTAAATTAGTTTTACGCTCATATAAATTGAATATACAATCAACATCAAATCAAACAAAAAACGATTAATATTTATATTTATAAGGTTTTGAAATGTGACTTCACACACATTAGGACCCTTCCCAAACGGAACGTGTGACGTAATTTATGGATTGCCTTACAACAACACTTACCTTTCTACAAAAGTCTACTAGTTCTGGCCAATCCAGCGATGCATGACATTAAGATGGGTGCGCATTTTTTCACATAACTTTTTAAGTCCTATTCACAGGCCAAAAAATTTTTTTGTCAGAAACCAAAGTATACTTTTTAGTAGGATTTTGGCCGATACACAGGCCAACAAAATTTGACAAAGTTTCTTTCTCAGAAACCAGAGTATACTTTCCCGAAGGATTTATGTGTGCTGGATTCAAATTTGGCGCAGAATTGCTCTATCACGTCAGGTTTTTGAGATATTCTAACGTAAAAGTGTATTGTTTTTATTTATGAGTTGCATTATATCTTTTACTAAATAATAAATTAACATTAATAAATCATATTTTGAATAGTTACCGTTGTGAAAATTAATATTATGATTAAAAATTTTCTTAGTGATGAAATTATTAATAATAAAATTATGATAATGACGGTTATAAAGAAACTGTTCTAAAAAACAACATTACGAGTTAAAAAATGTTTTAAGTATTGATAGTAATAATAAAAAAATATGATAACTGTCTGTTATGAGTTACGTTGGTAGTAATAAATACTTATGAACAAAAAAGTATGAAGGAAAAATTTTGAAGAGTGATTATTATGAACACAAAATATGTATTAAAACAAAAAAAAAAATAAGAATTAGATTTTTATGTGAGCCAATATTATGGACCCTAGCGAAAGTAGTAAAATACGCACTTATAAGAAATGGTGTCGTCAGACAAACCCTGCGTATGATATTTGTTTAAGAAGTGTTCCTGACTTTGTTCCTTGTAAAAGTGAAGCATCCATAATTTGCCGCAGCCGGGCAAGTATAGTAACACGAGTTCTCCCGTAGAGCTGTAAAACGTGTGTGTGTGTGTGTGTGTGTGTGTGTGTGTGTGTGTGTGTGTGTGTGTGTGTGTGTGTGTGTGTGTGTGTGTGGGTGGGTGGGTGTGTGTTTGAGTGCGAGCAGTTACCGTGGCAATATTCTAAAAAAAAACCGATCAAAATTTGAACTTTTTAAATCGATAAGATAAAAAAATACGATTGTTGGATTTAAAAATTATATTTTCGCCCTAATATTGGTTTGAGAATAATAATAAATTTACACATCTCACACTCGGCCGTCTGATTCCAAACTAGGCAGAACCAGCAGTATGGTAACTAGACTACTGATAAACATACTTGTATATTTCTAAATAGATACATATGGCGTAGTCGTTTAAGCGGTCGCCACACCGCTTCATACTGCGCCGAGTGTTGTGGGTTCAAACCCCACATGGGACGACACTTTGTGTGATCCACAAATTGTTGTTCTGAGTCTGGGTGTTCTTTGTGTCCGTTTCATGAATGTTTGTAAAGTCCCCAGGATATGTTCCTAATGCGGGAGTTGTCTTTTTTAATAGAAAAAAAATATTATAGATCTATTACACCCATACACAGAACAAATGATCCTGGTCACCGCACAATTGATTGTCCTGGGTGGGAATCGAACCCACGACCACTGACTTCGCAGTCAGGGTCACTAACCAATAGACCTACAAGCCCTTCAATCCATAAATTCTACTTATTATTGTCACCCTCAGGACACAATACCTACAAATTATAATAAGAGGATAATGTACAAATTGTGTACTGACTGCATGTAGAATTGTTATACTCGTAATAAATAAACTATATTATTGTTAATTCAGAATTCATTTACATAGCAAATACATGTATTATATCGAACTTACTAGAGGTTATATTTTCCTTGCTAAAAAGTAAGGTTAACGTGATCGTGCTTGGGTCTTGTTGATCTTTGTGCGTTTTTAGGTCTTGTATGCTGGGATATTGTGGTTTTACAATAATGATAGCCAGTCTACGTAGCATCATCTACTTTATAACTGTATATTTATATGTAAATATTAACACTAAAGGTAAGTTTGATTGCAGTATTTGTACATTTAATATGGATTGGTTATTTCTTTATAGCCTTTAGGAGATAAAATACACTTTAGTGGCTATAGTTCTTGCATTGTTTAATGTTTCCTTCCTAGATAGCATGTTATAATAATAATAATAAACACAGAACAGTATCGTACTTGGTGATGACAAAGAAAAAGTTATAAGTATAAACCGTAACACCCAAACTTGTAAAAAATACTAAAGTTGATTATATTTAGTTTTAGTCAATCTATATTTGTAAAAATTGTTTGTGCAAAAGTTGGTTTGTGTATGCTTTAAAAGCTCTAGAAGTTCTGCACTGTTTGAACTTAAATTTTGACACGATGTACAGCCTTCTTCAGAGATTGTTTTTCATCAGTTTTGTTCTTCATTTCTCGTCAACGCTACCAAAATACGCCACAGCAAAACGTGGCAGGGTACTTTATATTTATTTTAATTCAACAATACAAGCTCGGCTTAGTTTAAAATTAGATGCGTTGTGTGTCAATGTACGAAAATATGACTATTATAACATGTAATAGATGGTACAACTAAAAATATTATCATCTTGGACACAGAATGTAATGTTTATTGTCTTTGAAAAAGGAGTTGTCTTTAAAAACGAAAAAAATACGTAACGGGCTTATTGTGGGAATTAGATGGGAAAATCGGGTATATATGGAAAAGAAGGGAAGAATGAATGGTAGGAAAGTGATAAACATTGTAAGGGTGGATATGGGAATGTGAGTAATAGCTTGAACACCTGACTGCAACTCCAACTCGCCGTTATCGGTACATCCAAGCCCTCTCTCAGCAAACAATAATAACATCGCACATCTAACACACAGCCAAGATACCAAAGTAGGCGGGGTCTGTACTAAATGTTTCTAAATACATACATACTATAGATGACTGCCTTATTGGTGCAGTGGTAGCGTATGCGACTGCTGTGCTGAAGTCTCGGGTTTGATTCCCGGACCAAATGTTTGTGGTACCTATCTATAATTTTTTTTTTTTGGAGTTTGCGTGTTTTCTATGTATAATATGTATGCATTTATTAAAAAACACTATCAGACAATCTAGCTTTTATAGTAAAAGCCATACTTAGCTTCAAACTAAATGGCGTTGTATGTCAGATGTCCGAAAATATTATTATAATTTACACCCAAAAATCGAACAATCTGCTGACTGCTGTGCTGAAGTCTCGGGTTTGATTCCCGGACCAAATGTTTGTGGTACCTATCTATAATTTTTTTTTTTGGAGTTTGCGTGTTTTCTATGTATAATATGTATGCATTTATTAAAAAACACTATCAGACAATCTAGCTTTTATAGTAAAAGCCATACTTAGCTTCAAACTAAATGGCGTTGTATGTCAGATGTCCGAAAATATTATTATAATTTACACCCAAACATCGAACAATCGATCGTGCTCATCACAATATTTATCCTGGGTGGGAATCGAACTCACGACCTCCGGCTTAGCGGTCATTGTCACTAACTACTAAATCAACAACTAGTTTTATTGTTCGATTGTTAACTTGTCAATTTTAATGTTTATACGTTATTTCAGAGTTCGTTGATGTGACTATTGGTGGAGAGACTATCATCTTTAACACAAAAGAACATTCAGTCGACTCGTACAACCTCATTAATTATTACGTGTGTGAAGAGGGTGACACTATAGACTTACATTGCAAAAAAAATTACGATGAGGGTCACATAAGATTACGATTTTATGATAGATTTGGTAAGGATGGTTATTAACGTTTAATACCGAACAACAGTCTATGCTTATAGATTCTGCCATTTCACAATCTTGTTATTGCTAAATGGTAGAAAAATATTTAATACTAAAATTAGTATTAAAATACTAATTTATCTAACGGTAATTACTCTTGCCAAGGTTTCAACTGTAAGATCTAAACTGTTTGTGCTTTATATAGCACGTAAGGAATTGGAATTAAATGTACATAAGCTCATAGTTTGTATGTTTTAAGTTTATCTTTTGTATGTTTAGTGTAAACGCCAACGTGTGGTGGTGCCGTTCGTGTGGTGACGGATTAAGAATACGGATTGTCATGACCTATAAATATATATATATGTCATGAGGTACGACACCCACGAGATATCCCGTGGGTGTCGTACCTCATGCCTGCGTTACTCACAAATAGTATCCGAGGGGCATTTCTTTTTTTAACAGCTTTAAATTACTTTTTAACATAAATGCCTGCACGAAGAAAATTTTATTGATAAAAAATATAGACTATTATTACAGGTACTGAAGTCATTGACATTGCCACGCAAGATAGAAGACATAAAGACATCAATTTAAATGTTCGGATGGTGATGAATGATAAACAATTTAACCAATCATATGCTGATTGCACTTTCTTTTCACCAATTAATCGTGGACAACAAGATTTTACGTATAGAACTGTATTTAAAATGTTTCCAAGAGGCAATAGTAAGCACCTATCTATAAAATAAGATATTCAGGGTGACCGTGACAGAACAGACGATAATACTACTTATACCTTTTGATGTTGGGTAAAAAAAAAACACAAAAAAAGGAAAAAATATAAAATTAATGATCTAGTGTAATGTTATTATTGATGTCCATATATATGTATATATATTTTAAATATTTTTTTAAAATATTATCATATAAACCCAAAAATACAGGAAGTATTAAAACATAACACGATAAACCACAAAGGTTTGTGGAGTGTTACACAGACAGTCAGTATCGCAAAATTTACAATTATTTTTATATTAGTAGGTATATACGTCTCGCTAGGCCATCTATTAGCGTATTAAATAACTATGAGAACTAGATAAACGTATCTCTTAAATGTGAATACTTTAATTACATGTAAAAATGATTCAAAATGATTAGTACAGTTGTTTGTGAAAAATTCTTTAAGTTTTAATTTAATGTTACCCTCTGTAATTTTATTAACTAAATCCGCGGGTAGCTTGTTTATCAGTCGAGGAATTATGTAGGCAGTAGGCTTTAGCCGTACGTGTTGTTTGCGCGTAGTGTGCCAAACCGGTTTTGCGCTGCCGCTTTTTTTAAATAAAAAAAAATGAAAGAATAAAAATAAAAAAAATAAAAATAAAAGAACATTCTGTGTATACACAGAATGTTCTTTTATTTTATTTTTTATTTGCTTTAAAAAAGCTTTTCTTTTAAATAATAAAGTTAAATTTAGTATGTATGGGTAAGATTTTGCAATGTTTAAAGAGGCCAATCTCGTCGTTATAAAATGATAATTTAATTTTTTGGGACCCAATATTCTTCGAAAATTTTAATTGCTATTTGTAGATTTGGTTGATTGAAAATTACGTCAATGAGTTTACTAAATGAAGTATGTATTTTGAACACGACTAATTATTATTTTCCTTTTAACCTATTCAGATACTATGAGAGGTTCCAATATGGAATATAACTGTTATAAGATCGACCATAACTACTAAGCCCATACTGGATATCAGATTCTGCTAATTAATGATACAACATTATTTTCACTTTAAATGGAATTCCGTTTTTATGAACAATAAAGTTGGCCAGAAACTACCGTAGTTTATTGCAGACATATTCAATATGACCCCCAGTTACATTTACTATCCATTACTAGACCAAGGTAGGTTTGTGATTTGACAATTTATATGTCTGGGCATCTTTACTAAATTTTTGCAAGCAGCTATGAGTGTGAGCAATCAGCGCAGAAGTGACGGTATGCCACTGATACGGTGATTTAATAACTAACAATTTAGTTTTGTCCCAATTTATTACCAGTCCAGCATCATGGCAGCATCTTAATAAGGTGTTTCACACTTACTAATTTCACAGACGTAAACAGCGCCATTTCGAAAGTAGTTCATTGGTTTGACCTCAACTACGTAAACGACGTTTCACTATGCAAAACGTCAAGCCAGTGAAAATACTGTGATGATTAAGGATGTCGAAATGGACCTTGTGGATACTACGACATTTTTAGGTATAACACTAGATTCTAAGCCACAGTGGGGCCCACATATTGATAAATTGTCGAGTAGACTCAGCTCAGCAGCATACGCAGTAAGAAAAACTCGAGAGATAACTGATGTTGATACAGCACGACTTGTCAACTTCAGTTATTTTCACAGCACAATGTCGTATGGTATACTGCAAAATAGAGCAATTTATAATTGAGGCAATTGTTTTTCATTGAAGCAGAAATTAAAAGAAATAAACATAATGACAGTTTAAAACTATTGACGATATAGGTATAAAATAGTGTGGGCACCAGGGACTTCCTTTCTAGGGTATACCTGCTTCCCCGGCTATTAGTACCCGAGACGGCGTGCCACCGGTGGTATCCGAGGGGATTTCCGCACACAAAAAAAAAAGGGTATTAAATAGTGTTCTATATAATAATAGTACTCATGATTGCTCACAAAAAATTCTGCGATAGTATATGCCTAACTATTAAAGTTACACCACAATAACAGTCTTTGTTTAAATTATTAATAATAGTCGAATCGGGCTTTTCACGGTTTGAACAAACTGAACTACGTTTAGTCTAATAACAAATACTAATTTACGTTAAATAATAGTTTTTAAATTCGAAAGTTTAATTATTTAGTAGGTATATGTTCCAAGGCCAAACATTCTACTCATGGCCAATTGCATGTTAGCCTATCGCGAGTTGAAGTTTGAAAAAACAATATATCACCCCATGTTAATGTAACATGAAAGAAAAAACAATAACAAATAATAACATTTAGAGCTTCTCTGTAAACATGTCGTTTACAGAGAAGCTCTAAATAATTAATTATCAATCCTTCTCACGCATGCATAAACCGGGGCTGGCTGCTAGTAATATATAAATAGTAATATATTTATATATTCTGGTTCTGCATCACCCAAAGGTTAAGTCCGTTTTATACATTGTATTTGCAGGAATAATTAAAAAAAAACTTTTTTTTCTAAATCTGTTCACAAATAATTTTGAGGAAAAAACATAAAAAAATTACAACCGAATCGAGATCTTCTTTCTTCTGTTAAAGTCGATTAAATTTTTTTATCAACATTTTACAGATGGTTTTATTGTAACAGTAAATGACAAGAAATTAACGACGAAAATTCACAGCATGGATGGAGCTGACATATACACATACAAATATACAAGTTACGAGCACTTATTAAATGTTACGTGTGCGAAGAAAACTCAATTGTTTCCGGGTAATATATATGGCAGTATAATAAATAGGAAGAATGAGGATATTGTCATCGAAGGTAAAAATCCAAAATTTAACTAGCAAGTGTCAGAAAATATTTAAAAAAAGAAAATAACACTCTAAAACTATTTAAATTGCTTATAGGTTCCATACTAGCACGTAGAAGAATTAACAAAACAAAACAAAAAGTATTAATGCTTTTCAACCCTAATCTTCCCCAGTTATGTAGCAGTATGACTTTAATAAAGTGAAATGACTACAGCTAGTAGTCATTTCACTTTATTAAAGTGACAACTCATAGGAGCTCATAATATGTATCAACTCATATTAAAATAATTTCAGATGTCATACAGACGTCCGGATATACGAGTACAGCGTTGATTGAAACCAGAAATCTCGATGGCAAGATTTTTCAATGTTATTCTGAATTTGAGACGTACAAGCTACTGGCTAACATAAAATTCTTATTAGAAACTAATCGTGGTAAGTAAACACATAATACAGTAAACACACTGACACACGCATATATCCTTTAAGAGGTAGATAGAGATGTATTAAACGTGTACCAACTATACTAAAAGAATCACGTACGCATTAGGACTTTAGTTATTCATCATCATGGGGTGCCATCCTCAAAATGAAGTTTGAAGGTCAGCAGACGGTACACCTCTCGATCATGAGGGGCCTCCTTTAGTTGGCGATATCGCAGTCCGGTCCAGGCCACGATGTCATCTATCCACTTCCTTCGTGCACTTTAGTTATTGCATGGGAAAATTTGGAGTAAATTGAAAAGAAAAGTAGATTAGAAGGAAGGCAACGATAGAAAAGAGAGAGCTTTCTCCGCCCTTGACAAGGATCGCACCAGTCTTCGAAAACGTTTAACAAAATTATAACTCTCAATTTCAAGTCTGGGTAACCATCCAGTTTTCTGCAATGAAATTTTCCCTTAAAACGGGATCAGCTCTGAACATATTTTGTACTAGCAGGTATCTTGCCTGCCATTACAAAATTATAACACTGAATATCAAGTCTAGGTAACCATCCAGTTTTCTGCGATGAAATCCCCCCGGGGTTTCCGCACGGAAAAAAAATAGGATATTTCAATTATTATTTAAAATGCGACTAGCTTTGAAAATAAAGTTTAGTTTTTACACTTTGATTTAAATCATGTAAGGGCTTAAACTCTGTCATAAACACATCTCAGGTTCATAACTATAGTATTGATTCTCCGTGTCACAGATATTTTTTACTTCATTTGGAGACGCAGCCGTTATGATTATGAATTTAATTCTAGTGTATTGTTTTCAGATCCAATAGTACTAGGTTTGACTGATGAAAACATATTATACGAATACAATACAGGTAATATAGACTGGAAAATACATTATCAGTATACAGTCGACGAGGTACTGAACCTCACTTGTGTTACCGGGGACGATAAATTTCTTAAATGGGTGTATCCAGGTAAGAGTTTTGGTATTTGATCAGTTATTTCATCTAATAGACGGAGAAGCTTAAGCATATCTCAAGCTTCTCTGACCCTTTACTGAGTCGCCTACTGCCTTTAAGAGATTCTCAATAAGACTATCTTTGTCATGTTTTAGCAATAAGCTGAATACAAACGGCTACTCTGTTTTTGAACTTCTTCTTTAATTCTTTTAATTCCTTAACAGTACAGCTCCGACGATCTTTTTGTCTTTAATAATGGTAAAGGATTATGTACCTATCTATAGATTATGGATTGTATGCAATGAACTCATTCAGGGAAGAAAGTGTCTCTTGTTAATCGGTCCTTAAATATTTATTTACGTTTTCTAAGACAAGAGTTATTGCTTTTAAAGAATGTAAGTTTTTTTTTATCATTTTAGAAAACATTACGTCAGAAATTCATACACATTCAGTTTACAAAACTAATTATATAAATGACGTCTTTCAAATCAATACGGAGTTAAATAATAATATCACTTGTGAATCCATAAAGTTGAATCAGAAGCGAAAGGTTGTCATTGTGCTTCATCAGGTGCCAGATTTAACGGCACAAGAAAAATATTTTAATACTAATGGTAGCAATGATATTCATCTACATGATAATGGTAAATTCTTAAATTTCTTTTATTTTTATATTTGATATATAATTTCCTATAAGGCCATTAGATCGGCCACATGGGTTTCCGTTCTCGAAGCTTGTTTATAACATAGAACGCAATTCACGCATATTAAAATTTACATTTTGTGAAACAAAAGTGCTTGGAGAAAGAATCCTATGTGGCCCATCTAATGGCCTTGTTGTAATATTTGTATATATTTTTAAATACGTTGATTTATGAAGCGTTATTCTAACTCTAAATTATTTAAATTTTTACACAGAATTAATGCAATTAATATGTTTTACCTACCTTTGATTGCCTGACGTTGCCAGGATGCACTGGCGGTATTCACAAATCGCCATTATACTAATATGTATTAATGCTGATCGTGTTAATTTCCATATCTATCAATCGTAAGTCAAAAAGTTAGTGCTAATGGTACAGAGGGCAAAAGAGCGGGCTGGTTACCATCGTCTGACTGGTTACTATCGTTGTCCATTTATACTTGTATCTAGATTTTTTGAAACTTATACGAAGCTATCACTAACTCATCTTAGCAACTAGCTTTAGCCGACGGTTTCGCTCGTATTAATGTCGATTTCGTTAATCATATTCCCACTGAAAAGTAGACAATAGTAGTAAGATGAAGTAGGTTTAACTTATTTAAATTTCTTAAAAAAGTTATATGATTACAAAAAAAAGGCACTTATAAATTTCAAGTATGAACCACTAAACACGCGTAATCAAGCTCATCAGTTGGTGAAAGTTGTAAAACCCTTACAAGAAATAATTTCTATTGCAGAAAAACAGTTTACGGTACTTGAGATCAATGGTATTTTTGCTGCTATCTCGATGGCTGTAGTTGCTGGTCTAGTCTTTGTGTGTTACTGGCGGGGATGGAGAAAGAAATTCGACACCAGGGAGGAGGTAAATTTTGTTAACATTTTGAGTAATACTACTCTGTCAAGTACCGGGAAAAGATCAATAACAAACGAAATGTTTAATATTCATCCAAATTTATTTTATCACCTTCAAAGTATGCTCCTTCAGAAACGAAACACTTACGCCAACGAATAATCCAATCATCAAAACATTTTTTAAACGCTGTTTCCGGAATTGAGTTTAGTTCTCGCCGCTTATTCTCCTTTACGTCTTCTACCGATTGAAAACGAGTGCCACGAACTGGTAATTTGAGTTTAGGAAAAAGAAAGAAGTCCGCTGGAGCCATATCTGGTGAATATGGTGGTTGCTCGATGGTATTTGTTGAGCGTTTGGTCAAAAGTACGTTCACAAATGGCCTTGTGCGAAGGCGCATTATCTTGGTGCAAAATTCAAGAATTTTCTTTCCACAAATCTGGCCTTTTTCGTTGAATTTGCTCTCTTAAATGCCGCATAATGCTGAAATAATATTCTTTATTTACCATTTGACCTTCCGGCAAGAATTCCGAGTGCACAACACCGCGATAGTCAAAGAAAACAGTCAACATAACTTTGACTTTTGATCGACTTTGGCGTGGTTTTTTCGGTTTCGGTTGAGTTGGAAGGCTCCACTCCGAAGCTTGTTGACTAGTTTGCATGTCAAACTCATAAACCCATGTCTCGTCACCAGTAACAATGCGTTTCATGAATGTTGGGTCGGAATTGACTCGTTCTAGCATGTCCTCAGCGACTCTCATGCGATTGAGTTTTTGGAGAAAATTCAGGTCTTTTGGGACTAGCCGAGCGGTAACATGTTTCATACTCAAATGATTAGTTAATGGTACGGATCGACTCATGAGTCACTATTTCCTTCACTTTTGTGATGTTAACTTCAGTTGCAGACGTTGATGGCCTACCAGAGCGAGGCAAATCTTCCATCACATCTCGACCGCTTTTGAACGCTTGGTACCACTCATAAGCACGTGTTTTTGATAAAGTCGATTCACCGTAAGCCTTCTGTAACATTTTCAGTGACTCCGAACACGAAATTCCATTGGCGATGCAAAATTTAAGACAATCTTTTTGTTAGATGTTTTTGTCCGTTATGAAATTTGCATTACATCCTAGATATGATATAACTAAAAACAGCACAGTATTTAATATAAATAACAGATGCAACTCAAACTCCGCGACAAAATGGAAAACAGTTGTGCCAATCTAACAACAACTGTTTTGGGTTCTGGTTCACTCAGTGACAGCAACGAAAGAATTGCTTAACACCGGTTTTATGTGAGGCTATCGTGTGTATTATATTTTTCGTTTGTCGTATATACTGATATCATTAAAAAAAACTATCTCTTGTGGAACCTTTCAAAGCGAAGTTTTTTCTGATTGGTTATTTGGTTCTTCTCCGAGCATCTTCCTTGTTTTCGATTAGGAGGTGTCTTGACTGATTTGTTATGTAAAGTAATATTTTATTACAAAACATAAATGAAATCAATTAAAATATTGTTGGTTTTAATAATATGACAAGAATAGGTCTCAGTCCCATCGATGGCATAGCAAAGCAGAAATGAAACTAATAAAATATAGGAACATAACATTAAATTGTAAATTTATTTTATATAATAGATGTAAAAAGCGAGGCATTTTCCTTTATTTGAATACTACTCATTGGTAACAGGAATAAATATGACGTACGTTTTTTTCCAGGGATTGCGCAGAATTACTGATACAGTTTCTAAATCACTCACAAATCAGGAGCAAAACAATGAATATACCTACATTGAAAACGTGAATAACGATACTAATAATCAGGACGATGCTACGACAATAAACTCTATAGTCAGTGGCCATAGCCAAAACTACGGTTATCAGAAAGAAAATGCGATTTACATAGGTTATACAGAGGCCTATTTTTCAAAAAATCAGGATGCTATAAAAGATGACACAATTAATAACATATGTAATGTATCAAATAGAGTTCAAAATATTATAATAAAAAATGAGCCCCCAACTAAACAATCCGATAATTTTCTTGGTGAAAATAAAACCAATACAATGATTTATAATAACTTGAAAAGAATAAGTAAAGATACAAAATTACAGTAATTTCGAACATCTACACAAACCGTGTTATAGCAACTTATGTGCCGATGAATCTTCAATCAGGTAAATGTACTCCAGAGCAATCTAGCGAATATAATCTGAAGTTAGTAGGAACCACACACAGGATGCTACATGGAACAATAATAGTTTTCACCCTGTCTTGAGTAACTTTGTTGGATTTTAGCTAAAAATGGAAAGAGTCATGGTTGGAGCACCATAAGGTGCAGTCTTTCAATGTCAATAACAATTTCTTTAAAATTTTCAAGCTGCCATGTTACAAAAAGAAACGAGAAAAAAACAGTTGCACTCCGAGAGTGCCAACAGAACTAAAATCTTGAATTTTTTTTTTATTATAACAGGTTTTTTTTTTATTTTATTTTTTTCGATTTGAAAAGTTCCGACATGAATATATATCTATGTCGTATGTATATGCAAAATATTTTATAGTATATATAGTTATATTATCAATGTATTTCAACCCAAATTCAACTTTTGTATAAACGGGGCGAATATATGTAGAAAGTTATATGCAGAGGTGTCGGTAACGGTAACAGTTCAATGTTTTTTTCTAATCTCACAAAATACATTATTTTGTTCGTTGTTCAAAAATGCCCAACGCGCTTAAAGAAGTTTTCACTTCAAAAACAGTTAATGAACAGTTGCAGTATTCATTTGGTCCTTATTTAATGTCCGATAGCGTTGATAGGATTTTTCAATAATTCAAAATTATTTGTTCTTAATGTCGCTGTTACTGTATCGGTATGTTTTTCATACAATAATGGTTAGTTCAATGAACTTATGCTTTGATTTCTAAACTATGTTAAAGTAAACAAAGTATCATAAGGAAAAATAACATTATTATAGCTGTAAATTGTGTTACATTAAGTTTTGACTGGGCGTAGCGCTTGCCAGGCCAGTGGCGTTGTTTTGCACTCTGTCAGCTGTGTGTATATATGTTAGAAATATGGATGCGTCATGGGATTAATAGGTAGGGTATCCATGAAGTAGGAAATGTCAGACTACTTCTGAAGCTCTTCCAACTACTTTTTTTACCTTTTAATATAGTGTATCAAGTGTATCAACCTTTCACAGCATATTAGAGAAAGAAATAAAAAGATAACAGAGAAAAATCCGCCTGGACGGATATTTTTTTGTTATCTAAGTTTCTTTTTATTAATAGATTTTATTATGGCTATTACTAGTTTTTATTTTAAATAGATGTGTAGATAAATTATTTTAAAATGTTTTCATGTAATAAAATATTTTTTTGTAATAAGCAACGTTTCAAATAGCCCTAGGATATGCCACCTAATCTTTCCAAGTTCCACCTCAAGTTGCGCCAGATGCCAGTCTAGCCGCAGCGTCTGTTGTACGTAGCCAGGGTCAGTCGGTTGTGGTGGCCTCCCGTAGCCCGGAAATTCTTTGCACCTCCTGTGGTCGCCACCACGACCAGGAATAGCGGGGCCGCCGTGAACTAGAGTCCGTGGCTTTTGTTGCGTCGCGTCGGCATGAGGAGGACTGCCCATAATCGCCACGGTGGGCAGGCGGGTTGGCGATCGCAGGGCGTAGCTTGTCGCACCGGTGACGCTGCTGCCTGTCACCGGCCTGTTGTATTAAGCTACGCCTATTGGAATAGATATACCGCCATCGGTCTGTCGCCAGAGCCTCGTTCGTCGTTCAGCAGGATGCACCGCGGGCAGGTGAGGTCTGCTTGGGGCAAAAGGTGGTGGTTAGCCCCCTCACACCCATTTACGGTCCCCCTTTTACTATATTGTACTGCAAACGAACAGATGGTAATGCTTCTGATGGTAAGCGACACCTGCAACTATGCAACAAAAGATCCAAGCCCGTTGTATTCCTCCAGTCGAGCCGGCCTTTGGGTGCCTTAGCATGGCTCTTCCACGGTCATGTTTGTATTACCTATGAAACGTATGAATTGCACAACTCATAATTATTATATCGGTGTTACACAAATGAATGCAGTAATCTAGATTTAATTCAGACGACGATAGGTCTATTCAAAATTTCATAACATTTTCCAAGGCTATTTTCTAATTGACTGCATTTTTGGCGTATTGGTTTAAGCGGTCACCTCGCCGCTTGCTACTGCGCTAAGTGTTGTGGGTTAGATCCCCACATGACACAACACTTAGTGTGATCCACAAATTGTTGAGTCTAGGTGTTCCTTGTGTCCGTTGCATTCATATATGTAAATACATTCGCGACACAAGATAAATTTCTAGTGCGGGAGTTGTCTTTAAAAAAAAAGAATATGTAATATTGCAAATAAATTTTAGTCCATGATTTACGGTCAACCTATAGTAGGTATACCTACATAATATAAAACAAGGATAATTTATATTTTATTTATGACGTTTCTCCGCAACGAGGTCTAAATAATCCATAACGATCATTTATAACTAACAGAACAGTTTAATGAGAACTAATTCTTGTTTAAGTGAATGATTTCAATAAATTAAAAAAAAAGGAAAATTTTATTCACAATGATGAAAAAAGTGCTTTTGGTGATCTTCATAGCCATACATCCTTTGTGTTATGAGGCAATTGGTAAGTATTTTGATCAATGTTTTTAAACCAATAGAACTATATTCCTGAAAAATTCTATGTATTCTGACTGACCTTAATGCGATGAATAAGTCATAGATAGGTTTGTAATAAATGGAATTTTTTTAAGGGTACCTAACAATATGTATTACACTTACTTACAATTAATTTTACTTAGTCATAACAACTTAAGGATTTTAAACACTTATGTCATATGACTTAAAAACACAAAAGTGTTTTTAAAAAGTGATTTAAAATTCTTGCTTTGTTTTAATGCATTTCGTGATACGGTCAAAAAATTCTTAAACAAGATCAATCACAAGAAAAGTGTTCATCACTTTAATTATGAATATGATGTATTTCAGTTTTTGAAATATTGTTGTTAGGCAATTTTCCTGCTGAAGCGACACTCATTACTAGCGCGTATGTCGACCCGGAAATGGCTACAAAACCACAGCAAAATCTTAGAATTGTTTTCTTACTGCGGGGTTTTTGGCTACGAAGCATGATGAAGTGATAATTTTAATGAGAGGCCTGCAAGTTATGGACTATTTAGACCCAAATTTATTTTGAAATAAAATTTGACCTGGGTGGGTAACATTTTAGAAGCATGGGAGGGAAGGGAATATTTAACTGCATAACTGCGGCGTTAACTTTTATATCGCGGTTTTGATCTAGAAACGGTAAAATGGTCTAAAAGCTTTCCAAAAAATCATTCACAGATTGTACAATTTTCAAAATAATTACTTGCCTCATCTATTCTAATATCCCAGGCGTCCCTCATTAAATAATTTGGATCGTTTACTATTTATTACCATAAATACTACAAAATTTGTGCTGACGACATTCAAATCTATTTTTACTTGGAAGCAACATAATTGTCAAATATCAACTGTCCACCTACCAACAGTCCAAATTATAAACGATGATCTGTGCAGAATATTTGAAACCAGAGAATCACCCTGGTCTCAAATCCTCCTAACTTCAAAAATATGATTTTTGGTAGCAGATATCAGATAAAAACTATTTCTGAGTTACATCCTGCGCTGTTAATAATAGGAGACAAAATTGATAGTTATTAAGGCACGTAATTTAGGACTTTACACTGACTCTGAACCATGTACTGAGTGACTGTTTTAATAGGTTAAATCGTATACAGAGTGCGTGTATTCCTTCAGGTAGGTGAGAGAAACTCTGGCAAAGGCACTAGTACATTCGTTTCATATGCATGTTAATGAATAACTAATGTAATATATTTTAGTGATCTTTACTGCTGAGCCAGAGGTCCATGGTGTGATTCTCACCCATGGCAAATAATTGTGTAGAGAGTAAGTAGTAGTGTAATTCAACAGTCTAGTACCATAGTATAGGCCTAGTTAGGGTAACATGTCTGTGTGCAAAGCATCTCATTTTAATCTTAAAATAAATTACTAATATTTTATTTTACAGAATTCCAAGAAGTTCGAGTTTCCAAATTTAAGTATAATTTGAGAGTTCGAGATTTTGGAGATTTTACCATTTTGGATTCTAGACCTCTTCAAATAGTTTTTGAAGATATCGATGCTATAACTGTCCAGTAAGCTGTTTTAATTAGTACAATGTTATTATATCATTGAACATTAGTGGAGCTCAATAAATTGTTATGTCTTTCACGAATTGCTTTATAGGCATCTTTGTACATTATCTTTAATGAACTACGTGATAAGTTATGCTTTGTAGTCGATGAATATGGATCAAAGGCTGAATATTAAAGATCTATTAAATCTAATTTAGGTTCTTGTTTAAGTTTTCTTCATATTTGTCATAGTCACAATCTGTAGGCCTTTACCTTTCTCTTTTCATAACTCTCCATCTCTTCTCGTACCTTTTGTAGCTAGCTTCCAATATTTGGCTTAACAAATTTTCTATTTCTCTTCCGTCTCCCTCATACCGTATACCTCTTCATTCTATGTTCAATAAATTCTGCCCTGGAATCTGAAATAGGGTGATGTCGAAATCAGGTTCTCCATAAACCGTTTTTATTTCAGAAGAAACTAGTAAGGATAGTCATGGATATCGTTTACATACATGATGAATAATGTGGGCCATAAACGCTGTCCTGAGGTACACCGAAATTAGTTGCTTTGTACATTACATGAGAAGTGTAAAACATCAACGGAATTATAATTATTGTAATGACTAGAATGAAAGAGGTGGTTGGCTGCGAAAACGCGTTAGTAATATCCGTAACAAATTAGAATATCAGCATATTCAACAGTATCAAAAGCACAAATCAAAATCCACTTAGTAATAGTAAGTCACGAATAGAAAACGGAACAGTCCAAAAATACAAGCCTAGGTTTCAACTAGGTACTACCGAGTTGTACGCTAATTCTTAAATAAAAAAATACTTCCGGTTTTTCCTCTATTTTTTTTTTCTATGAATTCTGAAACTATCCTACACCTTGTTAGATAGCTGATAATACGTACATTTAACAAATCTGAACTTTAACTCTCATAGCTTGTTTTATAATATTCGTTGAAGAAAAATAAATATTTTCAAATTTATTTCTATTAACCATTCGTTATTAACCATCTGAACAGTTGAATACATCTTTGATCACCTTGTGAGCAATATGTAATTTCATAATATTTCTGCACACCCCAAGGTAGTCAATTTAACTAAGCTAGGTTTGAAAATAGTCTTTAAGATTTTCAATTTGGTGTTAATTTACATGTTTGATTCTATTCATAGTTAAGGCAATAGGAGGATGTGTTTCAAAATTACGTTCGCCAAGCTATTTATTTATTCATTATAATTATTTTGCAGGTGCTGGTATAAACACAAGAAGTTAATTTCACAACGTCACGGTGAGAACTTTTTTAGCAATGGGACTACTATTATCACAGTAGGTTTATTTATCACTATAAAATTATTACATAGGGTAGTAATAAATAAGTTAAATACAACTGCACACATAAACGAGGCTTATATTTTCAATATGACTAAAAAGATTTTGAAGCGCATTACTTTTTAAATCATCTAAGAAAAAAAACGATTTGGAAAATTCTCTTTTAATATGATTGGGTATACTTTTCATTTGGTCCCATTTATATTTAAAAAAATAAAACATCTAAGAGCAAAAAATAAACGATTCAAAAAGATTCATTCCAATGTATCATGATGTAAGCGCGTTCAAGTTTGTGATGATTTTTGTAAAGTTAATTATTGTTCATAAGTAGCTTTCTCGATGATAAATACTTGAACTAACTAACCAACTCTCATTTTGTCAATCCAATAGAAATTTAGTGAACCCATTCTAGAAAAATAAAACTGCCATAGCGATTTTTTCTATGAAGTTGGTAGAAGCGTACAAAAATAATTCTAACTTGTGTAAGTATTTAAGTTTAGTCGCTAAGTAAAGTACGTTTGTTTCAGATTAATGAAGTTACGAGTGACATGAGTTGTAAATGGAGATGCAACTTGTCAGATGTTAATAACAATAACGTTGTTTATTCATTTAAAATTCGTATTAAAACTGCAAGTAAGTGGTACACAAAAACTTACTCAACCGTACCAGCGTTCGGTCGATCGGTAATTAAGCAGTGTAGTTAAGAGCCGTCTTCTATAGTAATAATAATATAGTTGTTAATGTACAATCCTCACATCACATCAACAGCCTATACTAGTCCACTGCTGGACATAGGCCTCTCCTTAGAAAGGAGGTTTTGGCCTACTATACCACGCTGGCCAGACGGGTTGGTATAGGGTTTGTTTCAAGGTTTCCTTCTCTTTGCAGTGCTGTTGTCCTGCTTAGTTTGCTCCCTTAGTCGGCTCTTACGACACCCACGGGATGAATTGGGGTGGTGACAATTTGTATTCTTAATCCGTCACCACACGGACAATCCATGTACAATCCTGATCAGATATTTTTGTCTGTTTGCACAGACTCACCATTGACAAGACGAGGAAAACCAGAAATCAAAAGTATTCGCCAGGATGGCACACTTTTAACAGATATCTTCCTATATCTATATAGGTCTTTAAACTGCACGGATGGCGTAGTGGTTTAAGCGGTCGCCACGCCGCTTCCTACTACGCCGAGTGTTGTGGGTTCAAACCCCACATGGAACGACTATTCCTAATGCGGGTGTTGTCTTTTTAAAAAAAAAAAAAAAAAAGATGCTCGTATATTATATATGGTTTACGTCATGAGATTTTTTACACACAAAATATGGACGATTTAATAAATTTCCATCTCTTTCAACTTTACTTACTTACTAACTTACTTCTGATTAATTAGTGCGATGCGGGTTACAAGATAGTTTAACTTTTTCTGTGAAGGCCCGAGTATCATTTACTCGGTGTGTTCGTAGATCACTGCTGCTTATCCAGGTGTATAGAACTTACAGTAGCAGATGTGAGGGAAGGATTAGTTTTAGTAGCATTAATACTAAATATAAATAGTCAGTGTGTGGTATTTTTATTTTTGTTTGTACAGACATAAATAGAATAATTGTTGACTATTCAAATTCTTGTTACAGTTCCTGCTTTTATTGATACAACCCTACTGCAGTATACGTTGGCAAATGTGTCGGAATACGATGGATTTAATGAATATTTTTGTGAAGAGCGTGAAACTATAAATTTGTATTGTCAGAAACCTTTTAAGGCCAGTAGTTTGACCCTAAGGTATTACAATGCGAATGGTAAGTAGCATTTTCTTATCCGACACAATTAGTGTTTTGTTGGCTGATTCTCAGTAATAGTCTATTTTATTAATTATATTAATACAAATGGTAGTCTTAATAGACTACCAACGTTTGTTTTGTGTGTCACCTGATCAAAATGAAACCTTACATACTAAGCACATATACCGTTACCGTTATATACCGTTCAATGAGCAGAAAACCACTTCCCCAGCACAAGTAAGCACTTTTTATTTCTTCATAAAAGAGGAGAGAGTAGAGTTAATATAACCAAGTGTAACAAGAAGTACGTACGCGTAGTTGTGAGGCAGCCATACTTCGGCACAACTAGACCGACTCGACCGGAGCAATATCAGTGCCTCATAGAAAACCAATCTTTCGCAGCTTTTCACCGAGTGAGTGAGGTTACAAGAGCTCGAAAGCCTGTTTGGGAGAGGGGGGGGGGGGGACACGAGGGGGACTTTAAGGCGGAAATGAACTTGTAACTTCATGAGTTGCAGGTGTCTATGGGCGGCCTTAGTCACTTACCATTATGGGAACACTCTGAAGGTTTATCCTCCTTTGTCAAAAAAAAGTCATCAATTATGTCAGATTATTCTTGGGATATGATGTCAATAGTAGACCTATTAAACATCATCATCATCAATAGCCTCTATGGACATAGGCCTCTCCTTAGAATAGAGATTTTGGCCTACTAAACCACGCTGGCCAGACGGGTTGGTATAGGGTTAGTTTCAAGTTTTGTTCCCTTAGTCGGCTCTTAGGACACCACCAGGATGAATAAGGGTGGTGACAAACTGTATTCTTAATCCGTATCAACACACACAAAACATATAAAGTTTCAATTGCATAGCGCTTATACTTTACATTTTATTGAAATCAAAAAACCCCGATTTTGTCACTGCCTCATTGAAGATCATCAAAACTTTTAGGGCACTTTCTGAAGTCCTAGGAAGAAGAAACTTAGTATGTAATCTAGTATTAGTACAAAACAACTAAAACAAATCTTAAACTCGGAACTTTTACCCCTTAGAGGGTTGTAGTTTGTATGAGACTTCGGATTTTTTTTCATGCTAGAGGTCTGGAAATTGATATAATAGGGTTGTTGTTATAAATTGTTTATAAATAATAAAATAAGGATTTTGGGCGTTTCGGTAAATAAAAAAAATAACATAAGCAACTTACAAAAAGAAGTGAAATCCCACCAAAAATATTTCACAAACTATGTACTGTCTCTATTAAAAGAATTGGCCTATTCTATCGTACTGACTACCTATTTATTTTTACATTTTTATACGCTACATGCGTTACATTTTGAACTACGAGTATATTCAAAGGCCAAATTCAAAACTCGGGTTTTAATTCCATATTTTTATTTGTTACGCATTACTTTGCCTTTTGTTCCATTCGAATTAACGGCATTTAACTGTGAGCTAGTTTCATTTATATTTAAAGATTTTTTGACGTGACAACGTCTTATAAATTGGTTTGCCGGGTGACACTTCAAGAAATTGCGTTACGCTCCGCTCACGTTATGCGCTCACAATGAGAGCGAGTGAGAGGCACGCGTCCCTTCCACTCGGGCATGGTTAGCCCGCCTAAGAGCGAGAGAGACAGACATAAAAAGTGAAAGGCGACATAAAATTTTGTTAATATGAAATTCAGTGCGAGATTCTTTGTATAAATTAATGTTTTAAATATAATTCTTTGTATAAATAAATGTTTTAAATTGTCATTATTATTTCATCCTTCTTCCTACTATACGAATGAATATTCACATTAAAATTATTTTACCACTCAAAGTCGTTGTCACGTAAAACTTTCGCCCGTATACCGACTTTACAGGCAACCAATTTTTTTTTCCGTCTTTTTTAGAAAATTAACAAATTTTCGGTATTTTAAAAAAAAATTATTGCTTCTGTATAATTCGGTACAGTTTTATGTATGGCTTATTTATTTCATTTTTTAAGGTACTAAAATTATTGAAACTGATAATGTAGATAAAGACAAAAATGCCGAAGATAAACTAACTTTCCGTGTATTAATGAGGCCAGAAACTAATAGATCTTACGTTGAATGTACTTTGCTTACTGCTGCTGCGGACCAAGATAAACAACGATTTACATACAGAATTATCTTCATCATAAGGAAAGAGCCTGTCAAGAACGGTATGTTTTAAGATAAATGTATCTTCTACTACAATGTCCACAAACGAGGTAGTGGTGGATGATGGTATGGAAATATTGTAGTATAGAAGTATTGTAGTATGAAAATATGATAGTATGGAAATACAGTAGTATGGAAGTATGGTGTGAAAGGTCATATAAGGCGACCGGTATGAAATAAATATACTCGTGTAGAGTAAAATTTTGTGATGGAATGACCTCGTTACGTTTTTTGTGCGCACCTTTTACTTTTAGTAATGTAAGTATGGTAGTATGGAATTATGGTAGTATGGACCTCGACTCCATTTTTTTATTGTAATAATATTCTGAAGTATTGGAAAAGGAATCTCACGTAAAAAATATTGTTTCGTACAAAAGCTTGGAACCTGATTGATATGGTTGCAGGGCTTAGTCGATGAGTCACTACTTTTCTAACGCGAATGTACAATAGTAATTTCATTTGATTGCATTCTGGACTTTTATTACAAGAAAAAAAGGTTTATATTAAATTGTCTATACTACTATAAACAGTACCCAGGTCAAGTATATTCCTGCCTTTCTTAGGAGCATGAAAATTGTATGTTTTTAATATTAATATCAGTTGGTTTTATTTTCTTTTCATATTTTCTTCATTATGAAGTTACTTGGACTAAATGTGTGGATATGAATTTCGTATAAATGAGTTCACGTATTTGAATTATAACACTTTATTTTCCACAGACTATTTCACCATTACTATAAACGACATGAAATTAATATCGAAGCCTGTTAAAGTAAACAATAGAGATATTTATTACTACAATTTCATTTACGGTGAAATTTTAACGATCACTTGTGAAAAGAAAGAAAAAGACACACTGGCTCAGATAGATATGGGTATTCAATTGAGCCCTACTATGACACAAGACGGTAAATTTATTAATCCGAAAGGTAAGATTCCTATAAAAAAAGAAATACATTTACATACTATGGTTCTCTCACAATTGACCGGATTTGTGTAACGTATTCCAAAGGTCGCGGGTTCGAGTCCCGTTCAAGTCAAACATTTGTGTGCATAAACATTTAATGTCTGATTTGGTCTAGGTGTTTCTATGTATAATATGTATGTATTTACAATATTTATGTATATAAATGTATTTTTATTAGTTGTCTAGTAGCCATAATACAAGCACTGTTTAGTTTGGGACTAGATGGCGTTGTGTGCATATGGCGACATTCCACATATCGACAATCTCGTGAGATAAATCCAAATATTTTAGTTGTTTTTCCTTTTCAACTTTCAACAATATCAACAATCATTTCATCAAAAAAATCATCAAAAGTAATAATAATAATATCAGGCTTATTGGCATCAATAGTCCTATCTGCGATAATGGATCGATCCCAATATAACGTTGGCCGACCATTCTTAAGAACTATGTCGGGCACATACCTGTAGTATGGCACCTCTAGATTCACAAGTTGGTATTTAATGGAAAGCTGTTGGTGTACAGTCCTGGCTACTTGGTTATGCCTGTGCAAATATTCAATAATATGCCTGATTGATTCCCCAGGACGGTGGCATGCCTCACAAATGTCAACCGTACCATCTTTCAGGATATATTTCCGATAGTTATTAGTCATGATAATCGGTCGTTCGTTCATAATCGCACAAACAAAACCTTTAGCTTCTCCGAAGAGATCACCATACCGTAGCCAAGTCGTAGATGCTTTTAAGTCTATATCGGACCTATTTAGGGCCCGATAAAACCGACCATGGAGATTTTTGCCCTTCCATACTTCCGTGCGATCATTAGTACTAAGTACTTCAGGTTTGGGCCAATTTTCTTTAGCCAGAGCGAGCGAAGTGAATCCGGTATCCACTGCAACTACATTGCGATGCACTCCCACATCAGTATGTAGAAAATATTTGTTGAGATTGTATGTCTGCCAATTATTTAATAGTCCGCGACCCCCAATTTTTCGCGGGATAGACAACCTCATAACTAAGGAACGTGGGTGATGCATTCGGAATGCAGTCAACAGTGTACGAACTCTCCGGCCAAGGACATCTAATTCGGCCTGAGTCCATCTAAGTATACCAAAGGAATACATCAGCATGACTCAACCATTGTAGGCTCGCACCTTGTTGCCCCTATTAAAATACTTTTAAGTACTTTTTTCAGGCGATCAAAAATCGTTCCTGCAACGTTTGTTTCATGTCAGATTCTGGTATCCCCAACGACTGCGGTATACCTAGATACTTGTAAGTTTTAGTTGCAGACACAGATGTAAGTTTTGTTGAATCTGAAAGCTCTAGTCCTTCAGATACTACTATCACGCCCTTCTTTACATACACGACTGCACACTTGTCTACACCAAATTCCACCTTGATAGAATTACTAAACTTTTACGTCACCTTAACTAACGCTGTGAATTGTAATTTAGTAGGGGCTAGTGGTTTCAAATCATCCATATGAAGAAGGTGAGATATAACTTGATCATCTCTCTGCAACCTAAAGCCTAACTGTGAACCCTCTAATAGAGTGCTGAGAGGGTTTAAAGCCAGTTAAAACCACAAGGGACTCTTCAGAACATATTAAGCCAAAAGTTGTGCAGTTCGTCTGGATCAGGTGATTTCCAATTCGGTAATGAACGAACTTCCATAGGTGTTATAGACTTACATGAGCGTCTGACGTCCCGCAACCAATCACCTGTGTGTATTTATATTTATTTGCTTGTATAAATTAAAATTAGTAAATTTGAGTGTTAGCACAACGTGCCAGTGTTTGCCCAGTGCTAACACAGTTGGTGGAGTATACGTGCTGTCGATGTGCCGTCATATTGTCAGAGCGTGAAGCTCTACACGCGGGAAGGCACATTGACGGCACAGAGCGATCACGGCGTGCTGGCCACGTGATTTTATCTGGGACACTATTTGTGTAATGTCAATTTTTCCTTTTGACATTGTTTAAATTTAAGTATTGTAGTAGGTACTTTAATTAATTATAAAATCCACTGTTAATTTCAGGTATTGAGAAAACCCAGTCTAGTTATACACTGATCGTTGAAACCACTTACTTAGATCGAGCCCAAATCGAATTTTCTCTACAAAATTCTGATAGTAAACCGTTTTTAGGGGCTATGATTAACTTTTATGTAGAATCTTATGATGGTAAGTTCATCAATTGAATAAGAAAAGTGTAAAGTACATTAATAAAATTACAATTAAAATTGGCACAGCAGTGTTATTTTTTGTAAGATGATTAAAGGAAGCTGATTATAAAAAAAACTAATTCTGAACTGTTCCCCCAACTCCCTTCTTCCTGTTTTTTTATTGTAAACTTAATACGACCTGATTTAAATATCGGCCGAACTTGAGAGAACTGGTAAGTGCAGCTTAAAAACGAACTTTTACCAATTCCTTTGTTCAAACTGTATTAAAGGGATTTTATAATTGAGTACTACGTTTAACATAATCGGGGAGGTGCTGTATTTATTCTCGCGGTTTTTATAGTACATGTACGTGTCGTGTACGTATTTTAGCTATCTGTATTATCAGATGTTAATGGATAGTAAGCATCATTACCATATTTAATTTTAAAATACACGTTTAAGTTGTTGTGGTTTAATTTATATCTTTCAAGTCAAAGCAATTTATTTTATTTTTTTCATTGTAACTTTTTCTCTCCTATCTATTCACTAAATTTATTGTGTTTGTTTTTTTTTGTTTAGGCCCAGCTATAGTAGGTCTACCTGCAACTGATATGCTTTATCAATTTAGTAAAAATTATGACGAATGGGTTGCGCACTACCAATACACACCGAATGAGACATTGCTTCTCACCTGTATCACCATAACAAATAAAGCACTGCGATGGTTAAGCGAAAGTAAGTGTTTCGGTGACCAAAACATAATAACTCAATTGATATTGGATTTCAAATAAAAAATAGAAGACCTATTTTTCATTTGAGCCACATTAAAAAAAAACACATCTCACTTGCTCTTGTTTTTGCTTTATGTGTTTCGTCTTATATAATAAATATTGCGCTATTGGCGACTTACATTTTTAATATTTACTTCGTGAAATATATGAATTTTAGATAAACTTGTCGGGATGACAAAAGGAGAAAATAATAAAGTTGGGATTAAGTATATAAGCGACAATTTCACTTTGAACCAGAATGACATCACTTGTCAGATGGTGGACACGAGGAAAAAGTCATGGACACTTGTATTTCATCAGAAGCTAGACTTATCTCCTATGGATCCACATAAAAATAGTAAGTATGGGCACTAAAAAAAATATAGTAAGTTTGAGAAACAGCAGTAATGCATTTAATTCACATCATCACATTAACATCACATCAACAGCCTTTAATAGTCCACTGCTGGACACAGGCCTCTCTTTAGAAAGGAGGTTTTGGCCTACTATATCACGCTGGCCAGATGGGTTGGTATAGGGTTTGTGTCAAGTTTTCCTTCTTTTTGCAGTGCTGGTATCCTGCGTTGTTTTGGGTCCTTAGTCGGCTCTTACGACACCCACGGGATGAATTCTGTTAGTGACATTCCGTATTCTAAATTCGTCACTACACGGACTGCATTTAATTAAACATGATTTAGTAATTTTACTTAGTTTGACATCATTAAAATATTCAACATTCAAGACGAGATAAAAAAAATCAGCGATTTGCACGTGTTCAAATTTCAGTTTCAGACAACGCGTTAGATGGACCTCAGAAGCTATTTGTGATTATAGGTTCTACGGTGGGTGTTCTTTTGGCCATACTAATCACTGCTCTCCTTGTGTTTTGTTGGTACAGGAGATACAGAATCACTAATCAAAAAGATGTAAGTTAATTATTTATATGTATATCAATATTTCAATAGTTATCGAGAATAATTCTGCAGTGTTGTCTAGTTGGGATATTAGTGCCAATTTTTATAAATATTAGATTAAAAGAGATATTTAGATCAAGATGAAATAAGAAAAAAATTAAGAAAAACAGATAAATTACCAAGAAAATTTCATAACATAAAATGTCTTAGAAATTAAATGTTCAAGTTTACCAAAACAGTTTTGATCAGCGCGAAGGTTGAGTTATGAACTGTCAATGCAAAACGTGACATTTTCACAGATTTTTCTACTAATATATTTTCTTTTATTTTTTTAATCCTGTTTAATATTATTACGAGTATCCAGGTAGACTTACAATCATTATTTAAAGTTACTAAGTAAAAAAGATGATTCAATAAACTTATATAACACAAAATGGACCGGATGACACAAAATGGATTGGATGTCAAAAAACTATATTATATCCATAAGGGCTATTAAATTTTAAGATATATTCATTTTCATGATACATAACAGTAACTTATTTTTTGCAGAAACCATCAACGAAGTTTAGTGAGACCGATAATCCATTATCAGATGTTTTAAACCAAGGGAACAATGGCGAATATACATATATTGCTAACGAATACAATTATATTAAAAGCGACTATAGTTCTATCACCTTTAATTCTTTATACTCTAAGTACATGTCGGATACAACTTACAGTGGTCATACCGAAAACCATTATACTGAAATAGATGATTACTCTCGAAAGAATACTGACAACTTAGACTCTGCCAACAATGTAACTTGCGATAATAATAAATATGACTATGCATCCTGCAGTAGAGACCATAGTTATAATAACTTGTAAAAAGTTTTTAATCAACATTGCAGATAACCTAGAATTACACAGAGATTAGAGGCTTCAAGAGGTTTAAGGTGAAATAGCCAATAATAAGTGCAAATTGACATTGATTGTAATATCAAAGATGATAAAGTTGTTTTAAAGATTATCTTCTAAATTAATAATTAATGTCTACACAAAACATACTTTTATATACGGTACATTGTTTATATATATTATAATTATTGTAAGTTTTGAATCACTTTATATCCGTTTATTTATAAATTATATTTAAACAAAACATACCGTTTTATCATCAGGTCTGTTATAGATACATAAAAATGTATTTAAATTTCATCTCATATCATATCATATGTATAACTGCCCTTATCGAGAGTTTCGTAAAAAATAAAGCCATTTAAAAATAGATTATTAAAATAATAGGTACCTCCTGCTCTACAAAATGGGCAAAGTACTCGTAAAAGGAAAAAATCTTATTTGTGTATTTGGATAAACATCAAATAGTTTTGTAAATTGTATATAAATAATTTTAACTTATGTAGATACTAAAGCTGCATTAAATATATATTTCAACTAACCGGATGGCGTAGTGGTTTGTGTATCGGGCTGCTATTCCAAAGGTCGCATGTTCAATTCCCGCTCAAGTCAAACATTTGTGTGCAATGGACATTTAATGTTTGATTTGGTCTGAGTATTTCTATTTATAATAAGTAAGCATTTACAAAAAAAGTAGGTATATATGTATTTATATCAGTTGTCTAGTACCCATAGTACAAGCTCTGCTTAGTTTGGGACTAGATGGCGTTGTGTGAATGTGATAGAATATTATTATTATTAATTTAAGACCGTATTTGTCATTTTGTTGTAATTTAGGTAAATCAATAGCAGTCGCCACAGTTCACCAATTTCATTAAGACTTGTTCTGAAGAACTAAGTAGATTATAACTTCATATTGCAATGTATGTATAGGTGTTACATTAGTGTACGCTAGGTTGTGAGGAAAAACTTTTTTTTACGATTTGTCTGTATTATATTGTGTATTCAGTTAGGTAGCAAAAAAATTCAGAAAGAGTGCACTTTTCCAAACACGTAACAGGACTCTTTAAAAAAAAAAAAAATGCATGTTAAACTTTTTTGTCACAAACTATTGTTTTAAAGACATAAAAGAATAGTTAAAATAACATATACAGGGTTACTGGGTAAGACCCAGATACTTTAAGGGGTGGTAGTTGCCATCATTTATAGATTTTACTATGAAATACCATCACAGAAATTTTGCCCAATACAATTTATTTAGAACTTGTATTATTTTTTTACTTTTTTACTTGTTTTTGTGTATTTGATACATTGTTTTATAATTTCAACTACTAAAATTGTAGTTAACTTAACAAACTGTGCCGAAGTAGATGGTTAATAATGGCAAAATGAAATAAATTTGTAAAAAAAATTACTTTAACAAATAATATATAAAAAAAATTGATAGTTAAACTGCAGATTTCATAAAAATATGTACGTATTCTCAGCTATCTAACAAGGTATAATAGGTATAATAGGTATATCTAGGATAGTATCAGAATTCATAGAGAAAAACGTAGATGAAAGACCGGGAGTGTGAAGAATTAGCGTACAACCCGGTAGTACCTAGTTGAAAACTTGTCTTGTATTTATGACGGTTTCGTTTTCTATTCGTGACTAACCATTGCGAAGTGGACTTTAATTTGAGCTTCTGATGCTGTTGGAGATGATGATCTATACCAACGAGCAATATGTGCCTTTTTTGGTTTCTTACGGATATTGCCAATGTGTAGGCATACGGACTCGTGGACGAATACATGGCTTAACATAGCATAGCTCTCCCGGCTGTCGATTGCCGGGTGTTATTATGTTCACAAAACCGTTTCTGACTTCTACTCATTCTTTGATTGTGTTGTGGTGATATTTATTATGTCAGTGAAACGCACACCGCCGCATATCGAAAACAACGGGGAACTTGAATTTTGTAGAAAAATAACAGTTTAGGTATCTTCATTGATTGTGATTAAGACTGAGAATCATCAACAGCCTCTACTGGTCCACTGTTGGACACAGACCTCTCATTAAAAGGAGGTTCTGGGCTACTATACCACGCTGGTCAGACTGGTTGGTATAGGGTTTGTTTCAAGTTTTCCTTATGTTTGCTGTGCTGTTGTCCTGCGTAATTTGCTTCCTAAGCAGGCTTTTACGACACCCACGGGTTGACTTTTGTTAGTGACACTCCGTGTTCTTAATCCGTCACCACACGAAGAATAATAAGAATAAAATTAAATATTGATCTAAATAATAGTTTATTTATAAGTTTTGTTACATAAAATACTTTTATAAACAGTGTTAAATACTTTTATAAAATTTGCGTAAGAAATCATTATTTGTATCGTAATGATTTATTTTTCTTTCGTGAAATTATGTTTCTTGCCACTCAGACTTGAACTCAGCAATCAAAGTATTGTCATCATTGAAACTTACATTTGGGACCTGTAACTACAAATATTCGTTCAATATAAAAATAAATAAACAATTGTATCACAAAAGTTTCCGTCGTAAATGTCAATAAATAAGATCTCCTTGTTACAAGTACATACCCCTTTCCTACCGTTCCGCTTCACTCTGCAGTAGTAAAATATCAGGAAACCAATAATTAAAACTCCTAATATTCCAGTAATAATACCAACAACCGTAAATACTGTAGGGTTGCCTATAAACAAAGTAACAATGAAAGAAAAATAAAATTGACAAGTGTTGCAGTTCACTAAGATAAAGTGAGTGAGGTTATTCTTTTTTTTACCTGTGGAAACCCCCTCGGGCCGTAACCCCTCAGCCCAACCAACGCCCTTCTAATTCTGATAGGGACAGAGGAACTTAAAGGAGGGCGAGGTACTTATGACTCTAAAGTTGCAAATGGTCACTTACTATAGCGTAGCTCGTCTGATTGCTTGTACTCTGAATCATAACAACAAAAAAAACATTTTGAAGTGAAAACATTTTTAGGCGCTTTGGGCATTTTTGAAAAACAAAGAAAAAAATTTATTTTATTGGCAAAAACCATTGAACTCCCGATACTGTTACCGTTACCGATACCTCTGTTGCATGAAACTTCTTTAGGCGCGTTGGGCATTTTTTTAAGATGGGAAAAAATAATTGAAAAAATAAGTGACACTGTTACCGTTACCGACACACACCTCTGTATATAAGTATATTAGTTTTCACTTCTATCGACACTCCCGGAGTGCCGCTGTTTTTTTATGTGTATTTTAAATGAAAATTCTTATCCATTTATTATAATAATATTCTGTTATTTTTAAAAATAAATAGAAATTACCCTCATTCGTTTTATAATTATTGAGTAAAACAATAATAGTCATCCTTTTTGCTGTTGTTCCTGACTTGGTTGATTTACAGATGATAGTCTCATTGGATTCGACGTCCATATTGAACACATAATTTATATAATTGGTGTTGTGTTTTTTATTTTCATTAACTACTGAAGTAATATTGTCTGAAAAAATATAATAATTTTATTTTTAACAGAAGCATAATTTTGTCCTTCCGAGGAATCAGCGTTCCCGTCTGTAACCTATAAACTATAAGACGAATTTTATTTTCTACTAGCTGACCCGCGCAACTTCGTCTGCGTCTCTCAATAGTAATAAATTTTCTCCGTTTTTGAAACATTCTTCATTGGTGCTCCGCTCCTATTGATCTTAGCGTGATGATATATAGCCTATAGCCTTCCTCGATAAATGGGCTATCTAACACTGAAAGAATTTTTCAAATCGGACCAGTAGTTCCTGAGATTAGCGCGTTCAAACAAACAAACAAACAAACAAACTCTTCAGCTTTATAATATTAGTATAGATTTGACGACTGGATGGTGTAGTGGTTTGTGTAACGGACTGCTATTCCAAAGGTCGCGGGTTCGATTCCCGCTCAGGTCAAACATTTGTGTGCATGAACATTTGATGTTTGATTTGGTCTGGGTGTTTCTATGTAGAATATGTATGTATTTACAAAAAAAGTATATATATATTTATATCAGTTGTCTAGTACCCATAGTACAAGCTCTGCTTAGTTTGGGACTAGATGGCGTTGTGTGTATGTGGTAGCATATATTATATTATTATTTTTTTATATTAATTCTTAATTCTGGAAAATTATAAATATTAATAAACTCTAATTCTCAGAGTTTCAGGGTTCTCTGCAAAACCAACATAAAAAAACGATCGAACTTTACAGTAGTCTCAAATGATGAGTTTTTTTTCTTTTCTTTTATTTACTATATTTATGTTCTTCATAGCTGACAGTAGGTACATGTTGAAAATTATGACGCCAATTACGAAGTTCACAATATAATAGGTAGAATCATTACTGGTTACATGTGTATAAATTAAGTGTGTATTATGATTGTAGTATGTGTCAGTTAAGTATTTTGTCTGTGTGTGGTCGCGTGTGTGGCGGGTGCGTGTTTTCAGAGTGTGTGTGTACGTATGTGTGTGTTTGAGTTTAAATGCTTGTGTATAGTAGCGTCAGGCATCCTGATGCTAGTTATTAGTTATTTTTGCCTTCTGCAATACAATCTTGATTGTTAGGTTTGCTAACATCTGACACTTCACCTATCATCTAATGGCCTACTCTAGCTCCGCGAGTTAAATTAAATTGCGCGTTTTTCACTGGTTTTTTAACCAATTCTGTTTGTTTTTACGAAATCACACCCGCAGATTGCAGGAAAGCAAGAAGATACATTTCAATAAATGAAATTTTTGTAATGTTTTCAATATTTCATGTTGTGAACAATTTAAAAATTAAACACACCTCTGTATACCCACTGGGGTTCTCTATTTATCGCAGTTATGCAAGTGAGATTTAACACTTGTTTCATCGAATACTTGTAATAGGTTATCCACTCATTCTCGCCCGTATTATATTGATAAAGTATATTGCTGGCAGACAGACCACGTATGACTGGATCTAAAAGTAATGGTTTAGAAGTACACACCTAAATTTCGATTATTGGTACTCTTTTTATGTTTAAGCGACTCTATGAAAAGTAATATACATGCTAAACTGCTATGAATACATGCTAAAGGCTAATAAAATAAAGAAAGGTAAACAGTGATATATTGTGAATTGATAGTACTTGTCTTTTCGTAGAACACAATATCTACCAATACACGAGATGAAAGATTATGAAAAAAAAGGCAAAAACTTGATTTTTACTCTTTACCTGTTAAAAATAGAAACCAAAAAAATATTTGGATTAATACGCTTCAGGTGACGAAACTAAAATAACCAATTGTAACAAATTGCAGTCCAATGATTTCAACACCATGACAATTTGACAATGAACACAGATATGTTTTCCTTGTATAATTATTCTACTCTATTCTGTTTGCATGGATTAACAGTCAGTCCTATCCACTTTCAGATGCGTGGTGCTTGTATTTTTCATCAACACCACCAACAGCCTTTAACAGTCCACTGCTGGACATAGGCCTCTCCTTAGAAAGGAGGTTTAGGCCTACTATACCACGCTTTCCAAACGGGTTGGTATAGGGTTTGTTTCAAGTTTTCCTTCTCTTAGCAGTGCTGTCGTCCTGCGTAGTTTGCTCCCTTAGTCGGCTCTTACGGCATCCACGGGACGAATAGGGGTGGTGACATACCGTATTCTTAATCCGTCACCACACGGACTTGTACTTTTAATTTCTATTAAAATCCTAATTTTAAGTATTTTGGTAAAATTAGCTGTACTTACCCTGAGCATGTTCCTTTAAAAACAATATATCAACAGCTGTAATATTAGATGATTCTGATGTCGAATAGCATTGAAAAATCATACCATCTAGATGTGTTGTTTCAATTGAAGTGCTGTATATTGACGATGTGTTCATAATATCTGAAATTACAAAGTTTAATGACCACATTGGACGAAAATATAACCTAAATGTCAATGCCCCCTGTGGTTCTAAACAACATCGACATAAAATGTAAATTACCAGTACAATTATGTTTGGAAACGTTTCTATTGTCTATTTTATAATGTTTTTCAAATTATTTTAAAACTAGAAAATATAAGCGAAACTTAATTATTGTACAATGCAGTTTGAAATCAATCAAGAAAACATTAATTATATTATTTAATATTGAGGATTCCAATAGCTGGTATTGACCGACATTTTTTAATTTTACTTATACAAATGCAATAATTTTACACACACACGCACGTGCGCATGCACGCGTGCTGGCTTTGAAACACCCACAAACAAACACGCATGCTTATGACAAAGAACTAAGCACCACTAATTCCAGGCTTAAAACAAAACCTACCTTTAGTGACAACTTTTTTGCTATTGTCATTTGATATTTTTCCATAAATATCACCAACCATCAAATGATTTTTTTTTGTACATGTTAGCTGTATCGATTCCCCGACAATGTAATTGTATAAATATCTATCTCTTCCATGCGCTTTTCTAGGAAACGGTGTTAACTTCATACCATTCACGGTCACAATGAAGTCATCTAAAAATGTTAACGAAAATTGAACTCTATGCAGTATTATTTGGAATTGAACTTTAAACAATAATGTCTCCAGTCTAGGTAAACATAATTGAGTCACTATTTTCAAATATCTTAAATTGCAGTGGTAAACTTGATTTAAATCTAATTAATTCTACCCCTTTTGTTATTTTTTAAATATATTTAGTATTTAAGGCTTTTATTTTATCTTACCCATTTCTCAATTATCTAGCGCTTTGTAAGCAAACCGAATATAAATTTCCATTTACCATTAAGCATCAACCTTTAAGCATTTTGAGGTTATTGACTTCCGTCAATAATCTCAAAAATAGATGGAATACCGACAATGTCTCCGTCAACGTTCTCCAAAAGTGATATTGGACATTCTATAAAAGTAAATCAATAAAAAAATATTAGCAGGAATAACATTAAATAGGTTTCATAGACACTTACTACTACTTCTGATGTTTTTATTGGCTAAAACAGTAAGTATTGTTCTGTAGGTGAATTCCTGTTGCGTCGTTGGTGCTATATAAGTACATTCCACGTATGACTGGTTAACACTCTTATTCTTTATCAAAATGCGAAATGTCAAAGGATAGTTAATGCCAGTATCCTGCGCATCAAACAATATTTTACCTGAAATTGTGATAAAAAGTTGAAGTTTTTGTAACAATCATGTATAGCAAAATCCATCTTTGCTTTGTGTATAAAATGGTTCTAAAGGAATGTATGTTTTTTTTTTTAAAGACAACTCCACAACAAACAACAGTATTAGGAATATATCCTGTGTCGCGGGGGACTTTACAAACATGCGCCATCCGTGCATACCAACACAACTTGTTGTTCTGAATCTAGGTGTTCTTTGTGTCCGATTCATGTATGTTTGTAAATCTGCCGCGACACAGGATATATTTCTTTTTAGAGAGTTGTTTTTAAAACAAATATATATATAACTTTTATTTTAATATTTTTTATATTTAATTTTAGCCAAACAACAAGATTCTTAGAGTGTACACTAGCTGATAGTATACTATATACAACTTCACGGATATCATGTTATAATTATAATGCGTTCTATAGTACGATCGACGCTTAAGTTTGATCTAAACTTAAAACTTATTTCAGATAATCAGAGTTCAACCGATACTTGAGATGGCTTTTAAATACGCGACGGAAACATGTAAGGTTCAAATAGCTATTATTATTTTATTTTCGTGTTTCAATATATTTTTATTTTCATTTTGTTTTAGTAACACTTCAACTTCACTTCAAGTCAACCAATAGACTCATATAATAGTTGATATTATTTATTGAACCTTACCGTCTTTACCATAATATCGTATTCTGATTTGACCAGTTCTATAGTTGTTGCCACAAGTTAGGTCCACAACATCTCCCTCTTCCAAGTCATGTTCAGCAATACCATCGTATTCCAGCACTGTTAAATTTGTCTCTTCATAAATTTCATTGAATCCACCGATTTTTACATCTACGTTTTCTGCAATTAGATACATTTACCTACTTGTATTAATTTTAATTATAATTAATAATAATCAAATTGTCCTCTAATTCATATTTAGAACGTTGATCTCTTTCTTCAGATTATTTCTTGCCTTTTCATGTTCTTTAAATAAATAAAAAAAAATACGCGATTTTAATATAGATAGTACTATATGAAGTCCATATCCTATTCGTCTATATATTTCGTTATTTAAGATAAAAAAATAAGAGAGTCAAAGTCTATTGGTTAGTGGGTATCCAGGATAAGTGATTGTGTGATAAGCACAAGCTTTTGGTCTGTTCCTGGGTGTAATCTATACAAGGTGTACCGAATACTAAAATTGTGTATGCAGGCTATGATTCTGATAAAATCTTCTCTTTCTGCTCAAATTCATCAATTTTTTGTTTAATTTTCTATTTTTCTGGTTAAAAATGATGAAAAATGATATCACAATGAGTAGACAGAATATTTTACCGAAAACAATTTAATAAATATCGAAAAACTGTATATGTAGTAATTACTTTAGTGCGATACCTACGGGAATGACCTTAACCTTTGACAGCTGATTGCATAAAAAGTTTAATTTTCCGGCAGAAAATTCCAATGATTTTTGACTCAGAATGATGGTCAGAATACACTATTTCAGTATTCGTTACGACGCCCCTTACAGCGTGTATATTAATACGTAAGGCAAAAACTTTGTACCCTTTTAAAAATAAATAGCGCAAACGGATGAACGTGAAATTTGACACAGTTAAAGATTATATGGAGAAGAAGTGCATAAAGCTTTTTTTTAATATAAAATGCTTTAGAATAAAAAAAAATTTTTTTTGGTTTTTTTTTTTTAAAAAGACAACGCCCGCATTAGGAATAAATCCTGTGTCGCGGGGGACTTTACAAACATACATGAAACGGACACAAAGAACACCCAGACTCAGAACAACAATTTGTGGATCACACAAAGTGTCGTCCCATGTGGGGTTTGAACACACAACACTCGGCGTAGTAGGAAGCGGCGTGGCGACCGCTTAAACCACTACGCCATCCGTGCAGTCAGAAGTATTCTATCAGTCAATCTAGCTTTCATAGTACAAGTTCTGCTTAGTTGGAAACTAGATGGCGTTGTGTGTCAGATGTCCGAAAAAAAATTATTATTAGAAATACATTATAGCCATGATTAAATCTTTGATTATAGAGATATAGTCTTTGACAAAGGAATCCTAATAAAATTCAAGTTAAAAATTAAATGAATTATGGTCGAATTTTGGCCACTGGATGATCATTAGTTTATATGTAATATGTATATATTTGGAAATATATTAGGTTGCCATCAGTCTGGTCATATGTCTATTAAAACCTTTTATATAAAGTGTGACAACATATTATTGTTATTAAGCTAAGAGAATGGAAGATCAAAAATAGAACTACATTGAATGGAGGACAATATTATTTTATTAAATGTGAACAATGGTGTGCTATCGAGAAAACATAGATCTTGTTAAAACAATATTATAAAAAAATATAATACATATATAAACTTAAAAGTCAATGTGTAATTTATCTATAAATAAATAAATAAAAAATTGCGTAATAAGTCAATAGGTGAAGTTATTCAATTCACGTTAATACGTAAGTAATTTGTCAATAAATAAAGTTCAAATAATAATTAATTTGTAGTGATTTGCCAATAAATTTTAGTGGACTTTCTAAAATATTTCCAAATATTACTTACTTGCACCTTTGACTCTTATATCAAATGAATAGTTAATATGTGTGTTATTAAAATCCACTACTTCACATTGCCACCTGGAACTCATTGAGGCGCTTACCTCACGAATCTAAAAACAATTATTTTCAGTATATATTAATCAGATTGAAGTAATTCTTCTTATTTTATTTATTTATTTTACTAGTAATCTAAAATATATGTTTCTCAGCTCCAGTCAACAGTCACCTGTTGGGACATAGAAGCTTAAGATACCACTGAGTCAGTGTTGTGTAGGATGTAAAGGGCTGAACAAGCGAACAAATAATAGTGTTCACACGTCCTTTTGCCCAGAAGATTCGTTACAGAGAATAAGATCTTTGCAGTTGAGACCATAGATTTGGGGTTCAGAAATTTTGCTATTTTTAATACTGAACTATTATTTATTGGGTTACATCCAGATGCAAAAAACGTTATTAAAAACTATAAATACTAAGATTCTAAAGCTAAAAGAGATACTACGACATCGTATGTTTGTTGGAGGTATGTTAAAATAAAATCACTTTGTACTGATTTTTATTACATTTATCGAATCCGTGCAAGAGTGAACTGATTCTACCCCAAAAACTTTGCGGTTAGGCACTATTAATACCATACGCTTTCCTTTTCTTCTCGTTTTCTCTTTCTTTCTTTACCACTCACCAAAGATGATGCCACTCACCAAAGTTAAAACTTTGGTGAGTGGCATCATCATAAATCCGGGTAAGCTGGGGCTAAAGACACATAATGAGGACAGTGGTTTAGCATGTTGTATCCTCTGTAAATACTCGTATTAAAATACCTTACGTTGAAAATGTAATACTTACGGATATTATAAAAGAACTAGTTTTAAAATAATTGTAGTAGCTGGATCTATATTCTTCAAAATCCTTGTATGTGCACCTAAAAGGCAATATGAACATTTTATTAATCTGTCACAATAAAAACAATAATAATGCATAGTAAACCTTAGTTACCGACTTTAATACTGCTGAAAAATTGCCCAAATCTATTTCCAGTGGCTCACGCATTAGGACTGTATATGATGCAAAGGCAGGATTCGGACCACGTATTTGTATTTTTTGAATGTCTGCAACAAAATTCACCATTCAGGTATTCGGTTATAAGACAATACTAAAGCTAGTGGATGTAGACTTATCGGTAGTTATTTCGAATTCAGACTGATGCGAATTGTTACTTACACTCTCCAAAACCTTTCAATATAGTCCAAATTATTCCTAAAATGTCCAGTTTGTGGTAATTACCTCCTATTTTATGAGTGGAGTTTTGTCCGTGCGGTGACGGATTAAGAATACGGAATGTCATCGACCCTATTCATCCCGTGGGTGTCGTAAGAGGCGACTGAGGGAACAAACTACGCAGGACAACAGCACTGCAAAGAGAAGGAAAACTTGAAACAAACCCTACCCTAACCCGTCTGGCCATCGTGGTATAGTAAGCCAAACCCTCCTTTCTAAGGAGAGGCCTATGTGCAGCAGTAAACTAGTAATGGCTGTTGATGCTGATGATGATGATTGTGAGTAGGAACAAAATATAGTTGACAAAATAATAATAGTATTCTACCACAATCAATCAAAACCGTGAGTGTTTAACACGTTCATAATGATTTTGTCTAGCTGTAGGCATTCCTATATACTGATGAGTGTTAGACTTGTTTAATTATTTATTTATGAATTAGGAACTCCAACGAAAGATGTACAAAATTAAGAACAATAATTGACTAAAGGGGTATTAAGTCGGTGTACTCCTTACTTACAGGCGATCACTGAAAGCAGAATAAAAAAAACATCTACTAAGCGAACAAAGTTACAAGCTATTACGAAGTTAAAAACATTTAAAGGCTAAAAAGAATCAAAAAAATAAAATTTAAACAATTAAATAAACTGTCTAAAATTTCGAAATTCAAACAATAAATGTTGAGGCTTACAAGTTGAGGCATATAAATACATAAATTTGATTACAAAACACACGATCAGAATTTTAGTTCGTATACCAAATATTTTACTGATAGAGAAATTAGGTATTAAGTCCACCTGTGTATGGAACATGCCAAAGTTGAAAATAAATAAATGATATTGATTGAAGAGCTACATAAACTTGTTTTAACTTTGAAATTATTGTTGGCGATGTTAGTTAATTTGTAATGATTATTTTAATATCTATTGCATAGAAAGCACTTTGGTTCCACGTAATTTCCGATGGGGTACGAATCAAGATAGGTTTTGGCCTCACTAAACAGGTCTCTCATTAAGCTTATAGGAGCACGTGCTGAATAAGTTTCGACTTGTTCAATCATCTCTTTTCCTGCTATTCTTACCAGATGCGCTCGTCTTGAAGGCATTCTTTGAAGATGACTTTTTTTCAATAGAAAATTCTTGAACATTTCTTTAGCCAGAGATTCCACGGAATCTTTCGTGACTGTACTTTACATGCAAAGATGAAAAAATCCTCCCCATCGTCCTATCGTAAATATCCTACACATACTAGTATTGTTCCCAGGAATTACTACGTTGAATAGCAATATAATAATTAATTATGATATTATTTGGAATTCATCTTACCTGAGGCATTGTTATATACAAATAAATATAAAATTATGTAGTACACAACACGAATTAAACTCATAGTGGCACATCTACAAGGTTCAGAAGAAACAAATACAATCATTTCATTTGAACATAATTACAGAGCTCTATTCAATCCTAATAAATAGGTACTTCAATAATCCTTTAAATGTTTGTATTTATAGTATTGTGTAGGGTGACAGCGACTCGTAATTCAGTATGCGGACTTTTCAAGAATCTAATTCATTACGAACATTATATTACATTCTTGCTAATTTCGCTTCACAAAACAAATTAAATTTCTCACAATTTAATATTTATTTAGAAATGATATCAGCAAAAATTTAATCATAGTATTTTAAAAACATTCAAATTTCTACTATTGAAACATTTTAGGTTTGACAATACATTATAAATTCAGGTACGGAATCATCCGTATTTAGAGAATACGAAAAGGAATTGAAAGAACTTTTGAAATGTTATAAGTACTTCCTTTAAAGTGTACACGTACAGTACTTATATCTAAGTACTTATAATTAAAATAAAATAAATAAACCCGACAGTAGTCCCATGATGTGCAGCATCTGATATTCCGTCTATTCTACACTATCTGATGACCAGTTGGCAACGTGGTGTTGTAGTTACAACACGTGCTTCTTGGGAGGCTTGACACAAACACACTTCGTATGTAAATGTAATCGCATTTAAAGGAGTCTCGAGAGGCCCCCCAAGCCAGAGGCCGTGGGCGACGGCTCACTTCGCCCACGCCTAGCACACTGTTTGAAAAGTTGATTACTATTTTTAATCAGTATGTGGATGAATAGTACTTACCGCATGATGAAATTTTAAATTAGGGGGCGTCCATTAATGACGTGAGGGGTTTTCGGAAATTTTCTGACCCGTGAAACGCACTGCACGTGGTGTTGTATTTACAACGCCACGTGCTCGTTGTTCGATTTAAATAGCGCACACTTCAACGGATTCACTGCCGTCGATTTTCAAGAAATCAATTAAACAGATTAATTATATAAAAGCCAAAGGGTAAACATAAAAAATGTATTTTAAAGTATAGTCCAAGTTGTCAAGTCACGTTCTTCGCTCAAACGTTGAAGCACTTTTTGCTGTACTGCAAATTTTTTTTCGTTGTATAATTACAGAAAATGTGTTAGCAGATTATCTTAAAATAAGTAGAACTCATGGTTATAAGAGATATTGCTTCCCTGGAGTAATATGTTAAAGACAAATATTAAGTTTTCCTCATCAAATGTAATATATTTTATAAATATATTCTATTTAATAATGAGTGTATCGTTATCATGAGCGAAAATAATGTTTTGTAGACAGAAGAGTTTTTGTTTATACTATGTTTTGCATGATTAAATTTTTCTGTGGAACCTAAAAACATTTAGTGTTTGCTAGATAAACTCTTACACCATTGAGCCATTTGTATCTGTTGTCATAATACAGATAATGTGGAATCTAAATGAGAGTCTAAATGCGGTAATCTAATGTCTATCTCTCGAGTCTAAATCGGAAAAAAAAAACTACTCGAGCAGTTTAGAGTTTCTAGGTCTGATATTCATTTTTATTTCAGTCAACATCTAATATATATCTTTTTAAACAATACTAATATTCATAACATTAAAATGAAACTTTTGAAAGTTACATATGTTTTAAAACTAACTTTAAGCAAACCCGGGTAACAGTGTCATCAATATTTTTAAGCCCAATCTTAGAAGCGTGACATTTTCTCAGCCTAGGGTCTTCTTTTGTTTTTTTTTTGTTTCGAAAAGTGTGTTATTCCTAATAACTATTTTTTTTAAATGTACCTCTTTTGTTGTTGTTGGTAAGTTATTTGAACTGTTGTTTCACACTTGGAATCTATTTGCGAATACCTGTGAATAGCTTCGTTGTTACTTTATTATAATGTTTTACCTTACGTTATTTGTCCTGTTGGTATTCCGAACAAAATAAAATAAAATAATATTTCTCTGTATAATACACATGTATAGGCAGGAGAATAAAATTAAGGTCTAAGAGTAGCATTTAATATAAGTCACATTTTTATTTGTGTTATATTCAGCTTACTCGTACATTAACAACTGTTTCTTAGAGGCACTATCATGCTACCTACATTAGAAAGTGCATATATGACGGGTTTTACCACTGCTGGAGCTTCTATTATCATCTTGTGGGCCGCGTGACATTTTGAGACGGTAATAAATCGTGGCGGCCATCGGAGTGGGAGTTCTCTCGCTCGATAGCCTGATTGCGGCTATAGTGTGGAGCGAGAGTGCGTGGAATTCTGCCGCCTCCTTCTGCGAGCAAGTTATGCTCGCGAAGGAGACGGTGGAGCGGGGCCGGGAGAGGTTTAGGACTCTCCCGGCCCGCCAGGACTGGGAACGGGCCAAGTACCGCAGGCGACTCAGGCGCTAGAGGTCGCAGAACGACCTCCGTCCTCCATAAGCGCAGGCCTGGGGGTGACAGGTGAGGCCATCTGTCACCCTAGCAGAAGTAGGCCCGGGTGGCGGCGAGCGCGTTGCGAAGCGCGCTCGCTTCCAGGGAGCAGAGGGAACATGGAGTTCCCACACGGGGGGAGGTCGTCTACCTGTTGTTGTAGATGACCCGAGGTATGTCGGGGCAGCAGGGACTTCCTGTCTAGGGTATACCTGGTTCCCCGGCTATTAGTATTCGAGACGGCGTGCGGTTTTAGTCGGTTCGAGTCCGACATGCCACCGATAGGTGGTATCCGGGGCGGGGTTGGGTGTGCTCCAATAGGCCAAGATCGCCTGGAGCAGATCCAATACTGGTTCGTGGTTGCCGCCTGTTTTAGGTCTGATTCCCTACGAAACAGATATAACAGCACCCAGACGCAATTCCATCCCTAAAAACCTATCCTTTCCCATCTTCTATCCCATCCACACCTTCTGCGGACACTAAGTGGTTGGTGCCTGCGGCCTCACTATCAAAAGAGACTGAGAGTGAGGAGGGGGGGGGGGGGTAAGGGGCAACAGCAAAGGGGTATGATTTCAGAGAATTGACGTCTGTAATCGTTGAGGTGTGGAACGTCCCCTGACATTGATCTAATTGATAGATGAGTATGAATAAATTTAAAGTAAAAAGTAAGAAATTAATAAATTTCTTATGAAAACAAACCACCTTATGTGTGTCCCTATAACTCAATTATATATGAAGAAATGCATAGAAATACAAGAGAGCTTATGATAGCCAGGGGCAAATCATTACATAATACTCTATTCTTACTCGATTTTTTTAACCTATAAGTATTGACACTAGAGGTTGCGATTGAGCCTTTGAAGTTCTAGAATATTATCCAAATAATAAAACTCAAACAATAAAAGTACTACGGTAGATGATAAACCTTAAATGATACCTCTACAATAATACTCTCAAATTATTTAAAAAAAATGCGGTGTGCTACAAGGCAGTATACTGGGCCCCTCCTATTTTAATAATTTAATAGTAAAATAATACTAATAATACACTATGAAAACGTTTCGTGTATGCTGAAAACGGAACTTTTTTTTTTGTTCTAAGAAAGCGAACTAAAAACTGTCAAGTATAGAGCAGCATATCTCATGTACCTACTTACTTTAGTTACCTTATCTATTATTTTTCTAATTATATCAATTAAACTCTTAGAATAATTTCATAAGAAACCTATTAGGAAAATCAAATAAGACAACTAATATGCCATCGTTAGGTTTATCTTTAAATAGGAAGGATTTCTATAATGGTTTATATATTAGAATTCTATTATTTGTAACATAATAAAAATTACTTGATACATCTCACACGGGCATTTCATTCCAATCTAAGCAGAGCTAGTAACCAGACTGCTGATAAACGTACATAAATATTTCTAAATATATACATATTAATAACTTATGACTAAGTTTTTTAACCGACTTCAAAAAGGAGGCGGTTACCGTTTGGAAGGATTTTCAAAATATTTTTTTTTTAAAGTTGTTCGTTCTGAAATGGTCTTATTTAAATTTCACATAGATCTAATGATGAGTTTCGAAGACAGACAACGGAACGTTTCAAAAAATGTCAGCAAATCAACCACGATTGCTGCTAGGTTTTTAGTACTCTGTGTTAGTATTGTTTGAAGTCGGTTCAACTTTTTTAAGAACGATTTTCTTGTTTTAAGACAACAAGTAATACATAGTTAAACATTATTTGTGTATTCTGCTTATGTTTCTTCTATGTTTCTTAATTTTTTTCTATCTGAGAGTCATGATTCGACACATATTTTTTTTGTTACTTTTCAACGAGTGAGTGACGTGTCCGTAGATCCAGCCCTCACTCCTCATCCTACTTCTGGGGGGTAGGGGTGCTCAAAGACTTGTAACGCACTTGTCTTTCTTCAGGTGTTTTACAGCGTTACTTTTCATTGATTTTTTTGTTTTTTAAGACAACTCCCCCGCACAAGGAAAATATTCCTTTGTCGCGGGGGACTTCATAAACATTTGTCTTCACAACAAAGTGTTGTCCCATGTGGTAATTGAACTCACAACACTCAGTGACCGTTTAAACCACTAACACTATTCGTGCATTCATAATCAGTATTTGGATCAGTGTGAGACGTCTGCTCATTATCCCCGGTACCACTCTTTGCCTTTAATTGAAAATTGTCGTGTCTAGTTTTGCGTTTACGCTTTAAGATATCTTGTCTATTAACATGTTTTACTTCAAAATGAAATGACTGATACTTTTTGTATGACTGACCTTTAAATGTTACTTCGTGTATATATGTGGATGATATAGATACAGATGTTTTTCAACCCTTTTTCTAATCGAAAGAGAGACTTATCCTAACTTATATGAAATAACTTATTGAAATATTTTACATGAGTTTATTTCTGACTACATCTCTGCTAAATTTAAAGTGTGTAAGTTACAGTAGTTTTAATGACAAATGGGAAGATCGACAAAATCCAGACCAGCCAATACAGTTTTAAAAGGAAGATACTAGGGTTAATAGAACAGTTCCTCGAAGTACTGCTGAGCACTTGACAGAAAGAGTTAATACAGAAACTACAAAGGTAAATAACATGGTAAATGAGTAATCAAAGGGTAGTCAAGGTTTTGTATTTTATTGCATTGTATATATTTCATATTTACTCATGTTACAGAAACTTTTATGATATTAAATCAGAAGACTTTTAGCAAAAAGTTTCAGTCGGGTATAAAACTAGAACCAATTTTATAAGTGCATCGATAATATTTTTAAATTCTACAGGATTTCTTATGACATATTTGTGTGCCTCCAGTTCTTTTGATATGTAATCAAATTTGTCAGAATTGATATTAAATACTTTGGCAGATTCACCGGCAACTAAAAGTGCGCTGGCCTCTTTTTCATATTTCTCTGGGTCATTCAGAATGAAGTTTTGGATTACTGCATTGCAATCTCTTTTATTAATGTCATTAGCGCAGCTAATGTTTACCAACTTTTGAATCTGAAAGAGAAAGTTAGAATAAGATATTTTAAATTTCATTAATTTGGCACACATTTTAACATACAACATCTATAAGCCTGCATATACATTTCTCATAAATTATGTACCTAATAAATTATATGAAAGAGGTTCTTCAAAATATTTGCAATCATAATAATAACAACTTTATGACAATACTTTTAAAGTTTATTTTCGAGTGTCTTAAAAATCCTCTCCGCTGCGCTCCTCTCGGTTTGCGCTGGTCCATAATGTATTTACTAATCTATTCGGAGATTCTGAAGGTGTGAGAGTTTGACGACTTCCAATTATAATAAATCAAAAATATTTTTCAGTAATATCTAACGAAGACACACCGAACTACCAAGTAACTACTAATTCTGCAGCGTACAATGAAAGTTATCGTTATCAATATTAAGCTTTGGGAGCTGACCCGCCAGATCACCTCGCCTGGTCTCCTTCCTTTGTGTCAGAGGTAAATAAAACTCGTTCATAATATTCATTTGTTAATAATTAAGTAATACATACCGCTTGTGTTTTTGCGTTTAAATCATCGAGAAACTGCTGTGTGATTTCTACCACGTATGTCGTATTACTTATTACCTCTGTAACTGATTCTTCCAAAAGCTTTTCATACAAATCGTCTGTGACGGATTTACTGTCAATGAACATAATTAAAAACAGAAATAAAATAAAAGGAATAATAATCATCAAGGCTTAGGTAATTAATTCAAAGAAAATGAACATAAACTATCATAAATAAAACGTAAAAAGGTTTGTAAGGGAAGTAAGTTTTTGTCATGATAATGTGTAATATTGCAAAAGGTTTTGGCGGGTTTCTTTTTCACCTGCCACGTGCCTGATACTTACTTTCTTCAAGGGTGTTTTAATTTTCAGGCGGCACAATGAAAGAAAGTAAGTCGCTGTTAGAAAAATGCATGGGGCGAAAACGTTTGGGTATTGCATACTACAAGCCTTGAATGGGCCACGGTGCTTAGACTAATAATAGTTTAGTATTAACATTTTATTTGATTTTTGGGAATATATAATTGTTTATCCATAGAATACTTGTTAGTTGGAAATAAGAGACAAAGAGTAACCGTTGCTGGTCGAACTTTAAGCCAAAGAGACCTGTAGAACTCCAAAGTCTTCATTCAAAGGATTTAAAGGAATACTTACTTGCATCGCTGTGCCATTACAGTGAAATAGGCGATATGGTAGACAGTATGTGCGATTTCTGAGTAATGACGTCGGTAATCATTCAGGTGTGGATTTTCCCCAGCCATTGATCTAATTAAAACATGAGCAATTATTTTTTAAATAAATTAATAATAATACCTATAATTGAAACATCTTTCTAAGTAGAAATAACTAGTTTTCACCCACTTATGTTCTTCCTTATTCTTATTTTTTTAAGCCACCTCTTAATAACTGTGATTCAATAATTGCGTAACTACAACCTGTCGAAAACGTGAGAAATATAAAATACTATTTAATCAGAGAATGGAGTATGTACAAGAAAGCATCTTTTGTTGATCTTATATTTTATAAAAAATGACATTAAATCACCTTTACGGCTGCTGCATGGTATAAATGGGTGTCTGCTCGATAAAATATGCTTTACGATTCATAAATAATAGTAAATGTCATTATGGTTTACAATACAGAAGAGATCCTTTCTATTCATTGAACTAAAAGACCACAAGTAATTCAGGAAAACAGTAATCTTCTTGACCATTTAATTGCAACAATTATGCTTGAAAGTGCCTGTCTTTTTTTTTTTTTTTTGTTTGTGTTGTGGAAAATCCCTTCGGATCTCCTGTTCCTCGGGAACTATGAGCCAGGAGTATGTGGTGATTCCACTAAAAACCACCCCGACGGCCGGCTTAGGTGTCTTACTCTGGGGAGGACCCGGACCATGTTATTTCAGGTCCACCCCGAATTGACACCATGCCTAATCAGGCCCTATCCCAGGGTAGAGAAAGTGCCTGTCTAAAAAGTTTTCAGTTAGAAATAATGAGATCTCGTTTCAAGTGTTCGCAATTCAAAACACAAATTCTAATTAGAAAAAGTTATATCTTTTACTTAAATGAAGTAATTTTTTTCAACGTATACGTATAATTACATATAAATAATACTCACAAGACCATATCTGTAAGTATTTTTTCAGTCAGCTTAACCTCTTCGAAAGATTCGGCGTAGGGTAGTGGTTTTGTCGGTGCGGCGGAGCTGCTTGCACAGGTCGCCAATATAACCACCAAAAGTTTATACAAGGTCATCTTTGCTGGTAAAAATATAAAACAGTTTAATTTGTGAGGGTTGGTCATTGGCTTTTTTGTTAAAACCAATTTTGTTCTTGAAAATGCAAACTGTAGGAGTATTAAGCTATCTTGAAATTGCTTTCATTTTACTGACGTGAATAGATTAGCTGCTTTGTTTTTAACGTACGATTACTATCAGAAACAAATAAAGTTTACCTGCGTCTGTGTGTTGTATGAATTGCCAACAATATGGAAAGTTTCGAACTAAGGGCTTTTATATTGAAGTTCTTTAATTTAGTAACACGTGATGAAATTAATTTCATGATTAATTTCATCCCGTGTTACGTCTATTGTTCACAAAATTAGTATTGCTTTTATGTAATAATGTTTAATTTACGCTTTTTAATCGCTTCATTATAAATACAGTAAAATAAATCTAACTGTTCATATTTTATTTAAATATGTAATTATGTACGTTCAAAGGACTTAAGAATTATTTACAGAGCTGAAACAAATATGGTTCGAAAAAAAAGTTTCTGTCAAAATAGTGTTTAGATATATTTTTTTATTAAAATTTCAATGCCATTCATAGAAATGGTATAAACAATATACCAAAATACAAGAGTCTAATTTTATTGAAATACATATGTATAATTGTAGAATGAACTTGAAATAGGATGATGCATGTATGAAAATATATAGACTTAATGAAATTACGGCAAACAGGAGGAAAAAATAAAAAGAATGAATGGACAAATCATCGTTGAACCCCAAAATGTTGGCGATGTTCAACCCCTCAGAGGTAGAACATGGACTTTTAATTTTTATTGTTTTTAATCCACGTCCAACCCTCAGTAGCCAGTAAAACACATGACATTTTTACTGTTACCTATAATTTTTAAGTCTACCTATCCTTTAATTGCCCTAAAGTAACGAAGTATTTACAATTACTTTGCGATACAAATTATAAGAGCCGTGGTTCTCAGGGTTGGTGGGTGTATAGTAAGATATGCGAATATGTTATATATCTTTTTTATTTTACTTGTAAATGATTTTAGAAGAAAATAAATACACTTGTGCTCTCGCCATAACTGAAATTAAATTTTTAGACACTGCGGGTTGAATTCGGACAAAGAAAAGATAGCAAATGTATTAAAATCCATGTACTTTATCCCCTGGGGGATGAATACGAACAAGATTTAGGGATTTAACATGGACGGGGGTAGAGATAGTGGGGGATGAATGTGGACTAAACCGATTTTTTTTAGTGTTAGCATCAGGATGCGTCACGCAGATTTATTTGGTGGTATTAGTCACACTTGATAAGTGAAGATTTGGTTAAACGAGGAATATAGTAATAATATAAGATATAAGATTTTTATATCATCGGTGATTAAATTACCTGGAACACCTAACAAGTTTAGTTGTTACAGTATCGTCAAGCTTATTTTCCACTCAGGCTAGAAATGTTATTGTCTGAAAATATTATTGTCACCTATTAAGATTACAGAATACAACCTACAAACCAAGTTTTTTAAGTACCATCATTTTACAAGTGAGGATCTGGTGCATGAAGAAGATTAGTTATTGTACCTGGTGTACTGTAAACCAGATCCCCATCTCAGAAAGAAAAATGTACTACTAAGAAACTACACTGATACTACATTGTCTGTGTGTGGTGACGGACTAAGAATATGGAAGGTCACCACCCCTATTCATCCGATGGATGTCATTAGAGCCGACTTAAGGAGCAAACTACGCAGAACAACAGCACTGCAAAGAGAAGGAAAACTTGAAACAACCCCTATACCAATCCGTCTGACCAGCGTGATATAGCAGCCCAAAACCTTCTTTCTAAGGAGAGGCCTATGTCCGGTAGTGGACAGTTGATGATGATTATGAGAAACTACCAATACTTAGCTTTAGTTATTTGTCGGACCCGCTCAGACCTTATACATTTTACTTACGTAGACACACTAAGGCGGGTTAGGAGCCACTTGAGCCACAGATTCTTCTTTCAGAATGTAGTAGTATTTCAAAATAAAAAAAAAACTGATCGCAAACAGACTACACTGCTTAGCATTATTATATGTAGACATATAGGTGAACTTATGAAAGCAAAATTCCAAACTAGTTGCTACTTGACTTTTTACTCGACCATTTAATTATTATTTTTTAAAGCAATCGGGAAGCGTTGACGCTAGAAGTATATCTCTAGAACTTTAAGAATATTATCTGAATAATAAGACTCAAGCAACGAACGTAGACTTGTGAAATGCATGCATGCATGAACTAAAGTAATACTCCCAATTTTTAACACTACGAGTATATGTAAAAACTCTCGCCATCATTTTTAATCACCATTTTAAACTGACGACTTTCAAAATACAATTAACTCTTATAGTAAATTTAATAAGAAATTTTTCATGAATTCCTGGCACTACAAACAGTATTTAAAAGAAAAACAAGAAATTTGACATCGTCTTTAAGTCGACTCTAAAGTCAGATCAACACACACAATTTCAACTATCTGTTTTACGTTTAGCAGGTTCATCTTCAAAGACAAAAGTTTAATAAGATAAACTGGAATTCGCGTTTCAAAAACATTCTTGTTAGTAAAAAATCGGTTGCCTGTAAAGTCGGTTTACTGACGATAGTTGAACGTGACAACGTCATAAGAAAATACTGATGGAATGGTTGCATTTTTCAAGAATGTATTATTGTATACGAGTAGCAGCTGTCCACGCGGACGCATCGCTTACTCAAGTAGGAGAGAGACAGATGTCGAACGCTGCCGAACGCGGAGGCCGATTGTGCCTCTTTGTCACTCGTTCCGCGCTCTCGCTTGCACTTCACGCCTTAAATGGAACGCCTCAGAGCGAGGTAACGCCGCATGAGTCATGTTTTTTCGTGCGTGCAGCCGGCTCTATCGAATTATAAGACGTTGTCACGTCAAAAGCAACCATATTATTCTTCAGATCTTCAGACCTACACAGTTGAGACAGTCCTCAATATTATTTTTCTAATTTAAAATTTTGTAATAACGGTAGTATTAATAATCTTTATTTGATTAATAAGTGACAATTTGTCACACTTTACTACAATTTGGGTTATTTTCAACCGCAGTCACAACAAAACTATTCTATAAAAGTGGTTCCCTGACATGGTGGGTAAGTCTCAACACAGGTTTATTCCGAGATATGCCTGTGACACTGTGTAATATCTAGGAATTGCATCTAGGGTTGAGATATTTAATTTCTAATTTTCAGGACAATTCTACCAGGGTAATGGAATTTGGCCATAGTGAGAAATACATTTGAAAATATGTAGGTACTTAATAATTTCCAAGTAATTTCATTAGCCTTAGTACTTCATAAATATTTATTTTATGAAATATGTTTTTGTGTCTCTTATAAATAGATCAATTAAGCTAGGGGAAGAATTCCTTGATTGTTGGAAATGAATGTCATATTAATCCTTTCATCGTCATCATATTCAAAGAGTAAGCGATATTTAGTTATATATATTGGATGAAGACTTAGTTTTTGAGAACTCTTTAACTTTACTTAAAAAAATGTGATCAAAATCCGGGAGAGTAAAGCGTAATTACTTGACACGGCACAATATGCAAATTTTCTGGGTGTTCCTGGATTTCTAGTAATACTATAACTGTATCAGATATATATATATATATATATATTTACTATTCCCAATTGATCATAAACGATAGTACTCGTTTATGATCAACATAATTAGTAAAATATTGCACTTACATATTTTTTTGTGCTGGTTTTGCTTTTTAGGTTAATCTATAGGTACAGGTTTCTTTATTGAAAAAACGTGATTAAAAATCTATTAGAGGACGGCCTCGATCGCTTAAATAGTTATTTTGGAGTGAGGTCTTGCACAGAAAGCCGTGCTATGATATTGATAGTCAGGTCCCACCTTCACTTTCTTCTTGCGTTCTTGTACTTTATGCTATCTTGCCTCAAAAACGGTAAGGAGGTGAACCATTCACGTGAAAGATTCCGTTACAATGGCTACGTTTGATAGATACAAGCCAATGTACCTACTTTATGTAAAAAATATATATTTTAATGCTGTCTTTGGTTATTCTTATTATTGAGCAAGGGGCATTTTTATTAAAACTTTTGAAAACATTCCAACTTCAATAAGACAGGAGAAAGGTAATTCCATGGGCAATAGTTATGCAGTTTTTTTTTAATTAAGAGATGAAAGAAGAAACAGGAATAGAGAAACAAACACTTTTATTAAGTTTAACTTAATATAAGAATACGAAAAAATGCTTTCCTCGTTTGCCCCATCTTCCATAAAATTAAAAATATAATTGCTTTCCTGTAAAATTATAAAAAATGCAATTATGCGTTTAATAATAACAATAATATAATAATAATAAAAATCTTTATTTGTGATAATAATTGCAGTGTGTATACAAGTTCTTAGTGTGTACTAAAGCTATAATTGTAGCGAAGGTGCGATATTAAAATTTCAACAACGAAAGTCGACATTAACTTCCTCTACGCTAGAGGGAGAGTAAAGTTTTTCAGAAATGAGTTATAAGGAAAAATAAATTTGTAAATGTGTAGTCAAGGTTTCAGACGCATACGTTGTATATATTTCATAATTGTTACAGATGTTTTTCAGTTTTTAGCATGGTGGGTTAGTCGGGTCCATAACATAAAGCAATTTCGTAAGTGCATCGACAACATTCTTCAGTTCTGCAGATTGCTTTGAAACGAATTTATGTGCCTCTAGTTCCTTTGATATGTAGTTAAATTTGTCCGAATTACTATTGAATGCTTTAGCAGATTCACCGGCAATCAAAATAATGTTGGCCTCTGTCGCATATTTCTCCGGATCATCGAGAATGAAGTTTTGGATAACTTCATCGCAATCTCTTTCGTTAATGTCAGCAGCGCAACTGATGTTTATCAAGTTTTGAATCTGAAAAAGAATTTATTCATGTGTGTTAGTGGCAGTAGGCCAAAATAAAGTTGGCAAATTGTGAGTGTTTAATGTGCTGCTTCGGTTTGTTCCGAGATTATAAAAGCTTTGTGACTTTTTTGTGAAAGGTCTGTGAGTTGTAGGTGTCCATGGGCTGTAGTAGGTGACCTGTCTGCTCGTTTGCCCCCTTATACCATAAAAAAAAGCGTGACTATATGTATGTAGGTATGTACTATTATCCATTTGCTACTAATTTGTTCATACATACCGCAGTTGTTTTTGCGTTGAAATCATCGAAAAACTGCTGTGTGGTTTCTACTACTTCTCTTGGATTACCAATTACTTCTGCTACTGCTTCTTCTACAAGTCTGTCATATAAGTCCTTTGTGTCGATTTGACTGTTAATAAAAATAAAGTGTAATAATGATGGGATCCTGAGCTAGATATTGTAATGTATAGAAAACGTACATGAAGTATTAAAAATAAAACTTATTGAAGTTGTTAGTTAAGAACACATAGTTTCATAATTCATTGTCACCGTATCATGATTTTCCTGCCCAATTTCAATTTTAGAAAGGTTTTTTTATTGGCTTCTTATTTAATCTACCAGGTCGCAGCACTGAGGTGCTATGACTGCAGTATGAAATATAGTTTGTTTCTGAATTAAGACGTTTTATATTTAAAGTCAAACAGATGCTTGATACTGATAGAACATTTATTAGTTGGTAGTAAGAGACAACATGTGATTGTTGTCGGTGGAACTTTAAGTTTTCTCCGAATTCTTCATCCAAAGTAATAGATTTAAGAGAATACTTACTTACAATTGTGTGCCAATACAGTGGCTATATGGTAGATAGAATGTGTAATTTCAGAGTAATGACGTCTGTAATCTCCCAGGTGCGGTATACCTTCAGCCATTGATCTAAGAAAACACGAGTGTAATTAAAACTTTGACTTGAATAAAGTTAAGGCTTGGTTAAACTGATAGAAGTAAAGAAATAAATGAACTGTTTATTAAGATTTAAACAAAAACAAGAATGTGCTATCCGAATAACCATCAATAGCAAACCAACAAATAAATTGACTTATTGAACTTTGGACTGATTTTAAATGGTATCTTCATAGATCTACTAAAAGTGATATATTATGAACTTATAAACCAACTATTTTATCTTGTCTATCTTAACTTAACATTAAAAACAGATAATGGAAAACTAAATATTATAAAATTGGCAATCATATACATATATATATATATATGAACTAATAATAATAAATAAGAGAAATACTTAACGAAAACATACATTTTACAAAAAAAAAAACTAGAAAATGGGCCTAACAACTTCTCTGTTGACACCAACGCAACGTATTAACTATGGGAAAATAAAACATTATTTACGAAGGGGCACAAATTTTCCATAACTCTCTTAAACCGACATCCACCGTTATAATTATATTTCTATAGGTAATAAATTTAACTTGTTCTCACTCGATGATTTTTTAAATCACTTAGATTTGAGTGTAAATTTTTCATAAAAGTAAAGTTTATTTTTTACTAACAAATAAAATCATCTGAAATCTTACAAGCATTGCCCAAGATGGATAGCGTATTAACAGAATGCTGAAGATAAGTAAATGCCAAAACGAGTTTTGCAGTTATGCTTAGACAGATTAAAAGTGGATTCGATCGATTGTGTTTAGATAAAATTCAGAATCACAAAATACAGAATTTTAACAAAACAGTTTTAACGGACCCCATTATAAATTACTTGCCGGCCCCTGTTCTAGACTCTCAATTTTGGGAAAAGAATAGAATATGGAATAACGCTGAACTAAGTGTGTTGAAGTCGAGGGAGATTTTAGAAAAGTGTCTGAAAATTCAAGAAGAGTTCAAGAGAAAAGTTTTCAATTAAAATAAACGTTTTTCAAACCGACTGACTAGAATCTTGTTATTATATCTCACTCTCACTTCATGCCGAAGAAACCCACAAACTGAGAAATCCCAATTAGAAAAAGTTTTATCTTTCACTTACATGAAGAAAAAATAAAACAGTTTTTCATTTAGTACATACCCGTACAATTACACGTTATTAATAGTACTTACAATATTACATCTGTAAATATTTTTTCAGTCACTTTAAACTCTTTCAAAGATTCCGCGTAGTGAAGTGGTTTCGTCGGTAGCCCACAGTTGCTGCCACAGGTTGCCAATATAACCGCCAGAAATTTAAACAGGGACATTTTTGCTGGTAAAGGAAATGAAACAATTTAGTTTTTATAGTGTGAATATTGTCTCATTTGTGAAAAGATTTAATAATGGCTATCGTAAAATTGCTTTCATATTATGTATTCAAAACGTTTTAGTTGATCGGCTCTGAATATTGTTTGTTATGCCAAAACCTATTTTATTTCTAAATTTCACCTGTAGATGTATTAAGCTCTTAAGTGATATATATTAAATTAGAGCTATGATAGATTCGTCAATCTAACTTCACTTGTAATAAATTGCCTCAATGTTGACTTAAAAAAAAATTACCTGCATCCGTTCGATATATTATGTCAATATGGATATACTGTAGGTCGATATGGCATATGGTTTAACTGAGGTCTTACAAATCGATATGTTCTACTTTATTAACATAGGATGAAATTGATCATAAACACGTGTTTAATTAACACGTATTTATTTTAAAATAGACGTCTATTGTTCATAAAATTAGTATTGCTTTAATATACCTAATTATGTTTTATTTAAAAAAATTAATCGCAGCTTCCAATGGTTTTGATCGCTTCATTATAAATGCAATAAAATATTTCCAATTACTCATATTATTTAGAACGTAAGTATTATTTACAATCCTAAAACAAATATTTAAAAAAAAGAGTTACAAACTGCTGAGTAGTTGTTTAGAGATATATATATTGAAATGAGTATATTTAAAATCAGTGACGAATGAGCTGGCAGTGGGCATTAAGAGGACGCATTGGAAATTTTGGCATCAGTGATCTCAATTTTTGTCAGTAATTACGAAACGAATGAAAATATAAGTTGGTGAACTGAATAGTTCATGATGAAAACCTTATTTTGTTAGTTTTCAATACACGATTAGGTAACTTTTGTAACAGAAAAAAATATATCAAACATACCTCTTTTTAAAAAGAGATTTACATTTTATGGGCAAACGGGACCGATTTAAGCCTCTTAACTTTCTCTGTAGACGAGTCTATACATACTCTTTAAAATTGTAGAAGGAATTTCTCAAATTATCATTTCTAACTAATTAAAATAACAAAAAGCATTTTGTCGTTTACGTCCTTTAGTTATAAGCTAACGTGCGTATGCAATCCGCGCCCCGCTGAGACGCTCAGTCCCCTCTTGACCATTGTCAGCGACGGGTCTGTCACACTTGACACTGAATTTATTTAGCGGTTTTATTAGAATAAAAATGGAAAAAACAAAACAATGGAGTCGTCATCTTGCAATAAAAATCAAGAAATGTCGGCTAGCTTTTTAGGGTACGTATTAAAAATTCCTAAACCTATTTCAATAATATAACGTTTTGTAAAAGCTATATTATCTATCACTGAAACACGTTTTCTTGTATCTTCTAGAAATTTAAATTAAATTATATTATTTTTATTATTATTTTTTTTATTATTTTTATTTTGGTCTTTAATTATTTTTTTAGAAATTTAATTTCTTCTAGAAGTTTATGGGACAAGCCCCAGATTGTCCATAAAAAAGCATGAAAATGCAATAAATGAAAAAAGACTCAAGGCCAAACTCAACATTAGAAAAAAAATCGTACATTGGTACCAAGAACGCTAAATTTGGATTATGGCGAAGTAGTCGACAAACCAGACTTGGACAAAGATACTTTAGAAAAAGCAAAAAAGACTTTTGTACAAAATCTATTAAAAACGAATGAAGAACGGAAAGAAATCGAAAAAAGGACCATCCTACAAAGTGAATCTGCAGAGTGGCTTCAACTACGTCGCAACATGTTAACCGCATCAAATTTTGGCAAGGTTATAAAGAAAAAGCAGACGAATTCTTGCCAAAATATAGTAAAAATTGGCTTTACAAACCCAGCATCGACCATGTTCAATCTATTAGTCACGGAAAAAAATATGAAAAAATAGCACTCGAGCAACTAGCTTCAATGCATTAAATCAAAATAAAAAATTGCGGCTTGTTTATAGACGACAAATATCCTTTTTTGGGTGCTACACCTGATGGGATCACCACAAGTGATATGATAGTGGAAATCAAATGTCCTATTGCACCATTTAAAAATGGCATAGAAGACGCAATACAAAATAGAAAAATGCATTTTTATAAAAACGAAAATGGTGAGGTGGTTATTAACCAAAGATGCGACTGGTATTTTCAGATACAAGGCCAACTTCTGGAAAAAAAATTGCTGTTTGTTGGGTATATGGTATGGGATTAATAAAATAAAAACTGAGGTTATTGAAAAAGATGATGCATTCTGGAAAAAAGAGATGGAACCAAAGTTGTTAAAATTCTATTACGACTGTCTTCTTCCCGAACTTGTCGACCCAAGGCACACCAGGAATAAGCCAATTCGTGATCCGGATTACGTGATTATTCATAACAATAAAAAGGCTGTGCCCGATACTTGCAACGAACAATTAGAAAATGCAACTATTTCGCAAAAAAACCATAACAAGGAAAATACTGATTCAACTTGCTATGAACAATCAGAGGCTAACATTGAATATGAGGCTGATAATTATATTGAAAATTTCAGCCATGTTGTTCCATTTTCAGAATTTTAATTTGTTTTGTTCTTAATTTTTTTAATTACTTCTTATTACGATAGTAAATATTGTATACATAATATGTGTTTTATTACACACACACACACACACACACTATAATTTAATACTTACTATGAAGGTTCCACCCCTTTTTTTTTCCTGTGCGGAAATCCCCTCGGATACCAAAAGACAAGCAATAAAAAAAAATTTGATAGGTAAATCATAAAAAAAATATAAAGACACTCCAAGGATGTCTTTGTTTCGCGCCACCGCGGCTCGCAGTCGCAATCCACGTTACTTAGCGGGGTGTGTGCGGGTTGCGGGGCGCTTGTGCCCGGTTTTAGAATTATTGTTTAACAATTCGTCGCCTTAATATGCGCGAGAAATTACGTGAGACTGTGCACTCACTAAGCAATAGACAATCTGTTTTCAATTATAAAGGCTAGCTTATAGGTAATAGAAGAGGCAGCCAGTCGTCCTACTGAACTCAGGCCTAAGACAACTGCCTCGGTGGTACAGTGGTAGCGACTGCTGTGCTGAGGTCCCGGGTTCGATTCCTGGGTCGGACCAAATGTTTGTATGATCTGCAAATATTTGTTTCGGAGTTTGGTTGTTATCTATATATAATTGACTGCACGGATGTAGTGGCGTAGTGGTTTAAGCGGTCGCCACGCCGCTTCCATGCGCCGAAAGTTGTGGGTTCAAACCCCACATGGGACGACTCTTTGTGTGATCCACAAATTGTTGTTCTAAGTCTGGGTGTTCTTTGTGTCCGTTTCATGTATGTTTGTAAAGTCCCCCGCGACACAGGATATATATTCCTAATGCGGGAGTTGTCTTTTTAAAAGAAAGAAGAAAAACAATTTGTATGTATTAACAAAATATATTTTTATAAGTATTCTATCCGTCAATCTACTTTTCATAGTACAATCTCTGCTTAGTTTGAAACTACATCGCGTTGTGTCTCTTCTAAATGGATACCACTCCTCTATACCAAAATCAAAGTCATTTATTTATTTACAAATGCATTTATTCTTCCACTATCTTTAATATTCACCCCAATCCAAATATAATAATAAGGTAAATTAATAAAAGAAAACAAATAGTAAATAATTGGGTTTATTTATTTAAATTATCATCATCATTATCAACAGCCTTTAGTCGACACCGATGGAGCTCAAATTTTGACACGATATATAGACCGCTTAAAATATTGTTTTCAGCTATCTTTCGGTTTAGCTTTGTTCTTAATTTCCCATCAATGTCGCAGCTATGTACTACAGGCAAGCGTGGCAGGATACGACTAGTGCATAATAAAAACTCAGAAGAATCAGATTCTGAAGACTACGACGACTACCTTCTCATTTACGATTACACCGTAATTGGAGTCCCTAGAGTATGGCATAGTTTATTTTGGAATTTATGATGAATATAATGACAAGACACCTTCAGGATGTTTATTTCTCTGAAAAGATCCAAATTCAAATTATTTATTTGCTTTAAACGGGGTGGTACATATTTTGGTATTACAGGTTTAACATAAGGCGAAAAGGCCAAGTTAGCCACGAAAATGGCATGCAAATTTTACGTTATTAAAATCACTTATCTATTAAATATATTATTATTATTGTCATCATTCACCAGTATTTGTGTATTGATTATAATTTAACTTTTATCCATTATACCTTATTTACTTATTATTTACACACTTACGACTTTTTTTTAAATCGCTCTGGTAATCTTTATTGAAGACTTTAACGCACAAATACCTAGGTACCATGTTCAACACAAGTCTATTTGGATTTCTAATATTGTTCTTTTGGTGACATCCTTCGTTCGCTTAAATGTTTGAGGGTGCTGTCTTATGAATTTGCATACCTCGAGAATGTGCAAGCACGATAATGTAAGGATCTTTTTTTTAATATTTACGACAAAATACGTCACTTATGGACCTAGTGCACCGTTTTTGTGCTATAAAAGCATTATCTACATCTGTACCATAATCCCATACTAACAACCCATAACTTAACACAGATTCGACATACTCAATGTACTCTGGACATGCTGTAATTTGGCAAGAGACTTTTGCCAGTTTGTACAGAGCGAAAGAGAATCCATTTATTTTGCGATTTTTTCAGTGTTTGTTCCAGTTAAGTTTTACATTTATAATTATGCCAAAACCTCCTTTCTAAGGAGAGGCTTATGTCCAGCAGTGGACTATTAAAGGCTGTTGATGATGATGATGATGAATTATGCCAAGAAATGTCTTATTATTAGCCATCGAGATATTTAGTGCATTATAATTTATATGTATGTTATTGTTTTTAAGATAATTGCAGTTAATTACAGTGTGTTTACAAATTAATTGATTAAATCAAATAACTAATTCTGTGAGGTAGTGGTATCACTCCGGTTGAGTCGGCCCATTCGTGCCGATGCATGGCTCTCCCACGGTTAAAGTTGAGTTAGGCGTGTCGATGGGCGGTGATAATCACTTACCATCAGTAGACCCATATGCTCGTTTGGCCCCTATACTTTAAAAAAAATCGGGTAGTAAGGTATAAAATAAAGCTATTCCAATGTATGCACACTTAATGTATTTCACAATTCCTTTTTTGGTGAAGAAACTCTTGTAAAAAGTAACATTGTTAGCATTTTACATAGTTCGGGTATATCAGACGAAGGGCGTCAGTAGCTGCTAAGATAATTGTTTCCAGATCCTTTGCCCCTTTTATGATGTATCTATTTGATTCCATTGTTTTTGCTACGTCATGAAATACGTTTTTCTTTTCATTGTATTTCGTTGCAGCTGCACCAGCAACTAATAACAAGTTAGCCTCGACCTTATATTTAACTGGGTCATTAGTTACGATAACATCGATTAATTCATTGGCAACTATATCGTCAGGTACTACTTTTGTAACGTCATGTATCAATTTTTGCATCTGAAAAAGAAGGGTTTTCATAAGTATTTTATGAAGAATGTACTGTATGATTTTTTAACTAGTAATACTTGCTTTATTCCCACAGGGTCAAGTGGAAGTGGGCGTGGCATATGGCACGCAAGACCGATTCTCGGAGCAAGCGGTTATTCGATTGGTGACTATGGCATTAAACCGTACGGAAGGAAGACCACAGATACGTTGGGATGACGATATCAAGAGGACAGCGGGAAGGCAGTGGCTCCAAATCGTACAAGAGTGGTACGTCGAAGGTAATCTACACCCGAAGAGTCTAGACAGACTAAAAAGAGAGAGAGAGAGAGAATACTTGCTTCGGATTTTGTTATGGCGCTGTATTCTGTTTTCTTAAATTAAAACATTTAAGGGAAATATTTGGCCCCTATTACGAAAATAGGGGCTAAAGTTAGACATCATCATAGACAGCCTTTACCAGGCCACTGCTGGAAATAGACCTTTCCATAGAAAGGAGGTTTTGGCGTACTACATATATGTTGCTGACTAGACGGGTTGGCATAGGATTTGTTGAAAGTTTGTGGTCAGGGCGGCAGCACGGGACCCTTTCCGTCCGGCTGACGCAGGTGCTTTCCGGGCACGGTTGCTTCGGAAAGTATCTGTACTCGGTCGCTAGGAGGGAATCGAGTCCCGCCTGCCACCACTGCGACTGCAGTGAGGATTCGGCCCAGCACACGCTGGCGGTCTGCCCCGCATGGGCGACGCAGCGCCTCGGAGCAGATCTCTCGCTACCGGCCGTAATTCGCTCCATGGCCGGTAGCGACAGTTGTTTTACCGCGGTCGCAACCTTCTGCGAGGAGGTAATCTCGCAGAAGGAGGCGGCGGAGAAGGCCCGGGAGGACGACCGCGACCGGGAGGCGCGCTTTCCTGCGCCTCATGCCGCCCTGAGTGTGGCCGCGGGTGGACGGGATGGGTTCTACCCTCCACCCGCATTAGTTGGCCAGCCGCGAGGGGGCGGCGTCCTCGTGTGCCGGACGTCGCCTAAAGAGAGGAAAAATTTTGAGACGGAGCCCGCAACAGGAGCGGGCCGGCGCTGGGAGGGGTCCAGAAGGCGATAACTACCTGGACCCCTCCTAAACTGGAAGCGCAAAGAGGGCACACCGTGTGGTTTTAGTCGGTTCGAGTCCGACACACCGCCCCGCCGAACGAGAGCCCCGGCGGGGTGACGGTCCGAGGGGATTTCCACACGTTAAAAAAAAAAAACAAAAAAAAAGGATTTGTTGTAAGTTTCCTTTCCGTGCTGTTGTCCTGCGTTTGCTCCTTTGATTGGCTCTTACGACACCCACGGAATGAATAGGAGAGTTGACACTTTGTATTATTAATCCATCACCACACGGACTAAAGTTACAGTTGGAAAAATATGTATGGATTCTTATCACGAAGAGAAAATTTATACACAGACATTGTTGGAGATGTAGGTTCTGGAAAATCCAATAATATCATAATTTCTCGATCCAAGCAGCCCGTACTTACCGTTTGTGTTTTATCGTGTAACGTCTTTACTAATTTCTTTGCAGTGTCAACTACCTTCTGTGGGTTGGCTAAAGCTTCTGGCAGTGCTTCATTTACTTCCTCCTGATATATCTTGTCATAGTCCAGGGTACTAAAATAAAAGAAACAGTAATTATATTTACATAAAACAGGATTTTTTTCAGGAATCGTTAGTGAAAATTCTAATGGTTCGAAACGACGCTACAAGTTTTAGAGGATTACTTTCTATATTTTCAGAAAACAAATGAATTTGTAGTATTAAAAATATTATTTACTTTCTTTCCTTGCTTGTTGTTATTTAATTTCAAAGCCCTAAGGGTTAACCCCTTAGGGGTTCGAAATTATACCTTACACCTAAACATCGACGTCCTATAAAGAGTGTAAATCATAAAAATTAAGTTTATTATTTACTTACACGCAACTTCGCGCCATTAAGTTAGCAATATCGAAAATAACATGGGTGATTTCTGCATAAGAACGCCTGGAGTCGTTTAGGGGTGGTATGTGCCCATCCATTGACCTGAATACAATGCAGAAGTATAATAAATACGGGATAAAACAGAACAAAAAAATTGCATATAAATAAACAATCTGTAGGTAATGTGTCGGGTTATCGATCATTTAAACTAATACGTTTTTTCTAAATCAAATCAAATAATTTATTTAATGGGTATCCAATAAGGGTGTTTCTCATTTTTCGTGCAAATTAGGCGTCCATTGCAAAAATCTTAATTTTTTCAATAAATATCTATGATTCTTTTAAATCAAATCATATGTTATAAAATTGTGCTTATATGCATGTAACATTTACTGTTCCACATAGCTTATTTAAAGTGTTATACGTAAAAAACTTTGCTAAATCTCATTTACTTCGGTGTCCACTTGCTATTCTGCCTATTAAATTTGTATTTAAACCTAAAATATAAATATCAAACCTTAACAAAGTAATAATTTTAAGAAACTGTATTAATAAGAGCAACGTTTGAACTTAAAATAATTAATATTAACTCAACAATACACTGAAATTTTATTTTATATATGTTTAGCACATTTTTTTTCTGATAACCATCGGTTCGTAAGAAAGTGTAAATTGCAGTCTGGGTTTGCCCTTAAATGCTTCTTTGCTGTTACCATACCCCGCGCACATCTCTCATTTGGCTGGCAAACATCGTAGCAGGTGCATGCTTGTTCGTGGAAAAAAAATATTTTCGTTTAGAGTTTTGCGGGAGGTGATTATTCTGGAATCGTACTCTTTCCTATCGTCCACACTATTAAGTGAGTATTTATGATTTTATTCAGTGTGCAGCTAATTTTAAATTTTAATAGATACCTTTGTCGTTTAAAATATGCATTAGGTCTGTTACTTTGATATTTTTTGGGAAACTATGGATAAAGTATTCAAACCTCATTACCTTCTTTCTCAGTGCCTTCGTTTACCGTCGTTTTTTTGAGCGATGGTGATGAGATTAATACGATGGCAATTAGAATGTATTTAAGGTTAGTTCATTTTTATTTGCTATTTTCTTTTTGCAAAATTATGTTTGCTAACTGGCTAAGCAAAAATTTACAATTATTATAATTTAAAAAAATAAAGCATAATGAAAATAAATAAAGCAAATAAAACCTTACTTCTATAGATCGCTAAGGATGCCAAAGAAAACCAAACAAACATTAGAGCAGAAACGAGAGCGAGATCGACTACAAAAAAAAGTAAATAGGCAGAAATAAAGTAAGACCCCGAAAAGTATGCAAAAGAGAAAGCAAAAGAACGAGTAAGATATCTTAAAAGAAAAGAACAGAAAATATACAAAGCGCAGCAGATATGACACCGAGACAGTTAAGAGTTCAAAGAAAAACATGGAGTTAATTAGAAACGTCACTACGAAAAGAAAAAGAAAGAAAAAGTTATACAACAGCTATTACTAGAGAATTCTCCAATAAATAGTGACATTGAAGTAATCTCAGCGAAACAAGATCCTCTCGCTAGACCAACTGTAAGCCCATTACCAAGTTCTTCCTTAAATTGTTTGGGTTCCGGTAACCATAACTCTTGTCAACAGTGCCTAAAAAAGAATGTCCTTCTAAGAAAGCTTCGCTACCGATATAGAAAAGAAATCGGCATTTTGAAACAAGACATAGAAAAAATGAAAAAAACAGAAAGACGCCATTAGAAAAATGTTTTATAGAGTAATGAAAAATGAGAAGAAAAATGCAAATATAACGGCTGAAGAAAAAATAGAATATTTGGTACAAAATAAAGGCATTGAAAAACGTGAAGAAATGAAAAAGAAACTAATGTTTAGCGAAATCCTTAGAAGTAGTGTTCAAAAAGGGTATACTTACGTGTTTGAAAAAAAAAAGAAAAAAAAGAGTTTTCTAATGTGGTAATGGCGGAGACAGAAAAAAAATTAAAAATATAAGCTCTTGACACAAACACATAAGAGTGAGAACTTAACAGAGCAATTAATTTTGGAGTTTTTCGATGATGACGCAGTAACTAGAATTGCAGCTGATAAAAGAGAATACATTACTAGAAACAAAATAAGAAAGCAGAAAAGATACTTAACAGACACATTAACTAATCTTTGCAAGAAGTTTATGCATAATTCAAATGTCATCAAACCTTTTGTAAATATCGTCCATTTTGGGTTTTATACCTAAAGGAATCAAGCAGAAATATGTGTGCTTGCAAAGTTCACGTTAATGTTGGTTTGTTGACAAAACGAAACATTATATTGCAAAATTTAAAAACTCTCGTTGGCTATATGAAACACTGCACTAATATTTTAACTCAGTATAGAAATATTAAAGAGCTTAAAAATAATCTTAATCCATAAGTGATTCATGTTGACTTTAGTGAGAACTACTGCGTAAAATATAACGAGGAAATGCAGAGTTTTCATTGTGGTGGAAGTAGGATGCAGTTATCATTGCACACATGTGTTATCTATTTGATAGATCCAGAAGTTGGAATTCAAAAACAATATAGCTTTTGCACAGTAAGTGAATGTACCCAACACGATGCAGCAGCTGTCTGGGCACATTTGATACCGACTATATGTGATGGAGCTTTTAAGCCAGATTGACACAGTACATTTTGTTTCAGACAGTCCAACAAGTCAATATCGAAATCGTTTTATTTTTTATATGATCAGCCAGCTGTATTGCGATTTTCCGCAACTAAAATCTGTGACCTGGAACTTCTTTCAAGCTGGACATTGAAAAGGAGCACCAGACGGAGTTGGTGCTGTTCTCAAAAGAACAGCAGATCAAGTAGTTCGTTTTGGCAGTGACGTGAACTCCTTAGAAACATTCCTAGCCTGTCTTATACCTAGAGTAAAGATCAAGATACGTATTGTAACAAGATATGACATTGAAACAAGAAATTTTCCAACAAACTTAAAAGCCGCCAAAGGTACAATGATGGTACACTAAGCTCTTTGGGCATTTCTAAAATTACTTTAAGAAAATTAAGTTGTTTTCTGTGTGACAAAGAAGTTACTTGCATTCACGGCAAACATATTGGATACTATGGAAATAAACACATTGGAAACTGGCTAGAATTGACGTCATCATAAAAAGGAATACTTTTTATGATGACGTCAATTCTAGCCAGTTTCAGAGTTTCATTGATTAGAATACAACACCAGAACTCATAAAAGAAATAAGCAACCCAGATTTTTCAATTACTCGTTCTGAACCATCAATCAGATTCGAAGATAAATTGCCAAATAGACCACTCACCAAAGGTTAAAATACTGTCGGATATAAATTTGACTGATTGAGAAAATAGAAATTTTTACATTAATAATGAAAATCTTGCTAAAAAAAAAAACAAATTAATAATAATTATCAAACCGACTGAAAAGTTTATTATGGGTAAGAGTAGTCATGAAAATTACACAAAAGAAAATAAAGACGAAATATATGAAAAGCAGAAGCAGAAATTACGAGTAATTGACTTTTGGAATTATGACACCGACAAAGAAGATACAAATCTGTGAAATGATTATAAGATTTTGTTAAGAGAGACTTTTCTTATTCTTGATCTCGGATTACCAAATATTAGTAATTAATATAAATATTTAGATAAATTAGATTTTGATTGGATTAATAAAGATTTTTTTTAAGGAAGGCATGGAGAAATGATAGTATAAATGTATTCAAGTGCTTTTTACTTAAATCTGAAATGTATAAACCCATCAATGTAAAATTATAGTAACACATTTGTAGATATAACTAATTAGTCAAATTGCTGCATCTCATTTTCTTATTTAATAATCTTTTTTTGCGTTTGTTTAACACCTAATTGAAGCTCTATCACCGCGATTGTGAATGATGTGTATAGTTTTAATTGGACTTCAGATTTGAAATTATACGCTGTTACTTATTACTGTGTAAGGCATGATCTGTTGTCTGTAACTGTACCAAATAAGTTAAAATAAAATAAAATAAATAAATAAATGGCCCATATTATGTTATGATCATTATTTCTATAGCAATTAGATTCTTGAATCATAAATATTAAAAATGCATCTTTGTATAACAAAATTTTGTGTCATTCCCTTCTGTGTATCTCAATTACCTTCGCACCCCTATTTCCCACAGCTAACGGCTCAAAATCATTCCCCTCCTTAACATTCTCATTACTATCTCATTCCAATTTTTGATATGCTAATATTTTAATTGTTTTTCACAAAAATAAGGTAGAAACAATAAAAGGTTGAAGAATTAACTATATAGTAATGAAATAAGAAAAAAAAAATAAGTTTTTTGACAATAATTTGAAATTTAGAATTTTCACTGAATTTGCACGAACTAGGCGAAACACCCATAAAAGTATTAATTACATATTCTAGACCATAATCGGCCCATTCTGGATGTCTAAAATATGTTTTCATACGCCTAACTTGACAAATGTGATAATATTGGAACAAACAAACAAACTTCATAATATTTAAAGTAAAATGTAAAACTATTAAGCGTAGAAATAATATATACATTAACAAAAAAGCATAACATCAACGCCTTAACATCATAATAACATTTATTGATTAGAATATCTATAATTTTTTTTTTTAATGATGCATTTTGAATTTTAATAATATAAGTCGGCAATTTATGATACAATTTAGGTGCCATACAAAATACACTTTTATTTAAATGTTGTTTTACTCGTGCTTGTGTGACTGTGTCTATTGATGTGCAGCGGTTTATAGGAATTTAAATTACTATTTACAAAAACAATAACTTCAAATATATACAAACATGGTAATGTTAATAATTTAAATGATTGAAAATGAGGTTTACAATAATCATACTTTTCAATTGAGACATCGCCTGAATACATTTCTTTTGGGATACAAAAGCAGTTTGCCTACCGGTAAAGTTTCCCCAATAAATTAACCCATACCTTAATGTTGAACTACATAAGTACACAGTAGAATGATTGACAGTTTTGGTTAACATGTGTAATGCATCACATTACATCACATCAACAGCCTTTAATAGTCCACTGCTGGACATAGGCCTCTCCTTAGAAAGGAGGTTTTGGCCTACTATACCACGCTGGCCAGACGGGTTGGTATAGGGATTGTATCAAGTTTTCCTTCTTTTTGCAGTGCTGGTGTCCTGCGTTGTTTTGCGCCCTTAGTCGCCTCTTACGACACCCACGGGATGAATTGGGGTAGTGACATTCCGTATTCTTAATCCGTCACGTCACGCATACGAAAATTTATTAAATTTAGAACATATATTCTCAACATGAGTCTTCCAATTAAGATTGTAGTCAATATTAAAACCTAAAAACTTTGCAACCTTGAATTTATCGACTTTTTGTCCACAATAACTTACATCTCCTTCAGGTTTGAAAGAATTATTAGTATTACGAAAAAAACATTACACTAATTTTATTAAAGTTTATAACAAGATAAAATGTTATTTTAAAGTAATTTTGTTGCAATTTTTTATTTTATTTTTTGATTTTGCCTCATGAAACAAAATTAATGCGTTAAATTTTTCGTCATTGACGACGCTACATTGGAATGATTGATGGTCAAAAAAATAAGGAGGAATTAAAATAAGGAGCCGCTTTCCTTCCGGGTGAAATCGATAAAATGCTATTGACAAACACAGAACTCTTCTAAATCTTAATCTTGAGTGCACTGTAAAATTACCTAATTTCTAAATGCGTTATGTATGTATGTGCAAGACGGATCGGATGTTACAGATAAGTATATTCCCTTGAGTTTGGGTTGATTTGATTCGTTTTGACTAATCCACTAGACTAGACTCGAAAATACTCGTAGATAATGAAGCCAGGAGGTTGATACTGAAATTCTTTAAAGCATCTTTATTTAGGTTTTACGAAACTATAATTATTTTAATTCACTTATGTCTTCTTTCTGACACAAAATCCTTGTCTGAATTATTTTACCTGGCTCATTCTCGTTTTCGTTTCCATCCAATCAAGACGTCTATGTTGCAATGAGGTACAAAGTTTATTTATTATGTATGATATATGTTTATTTTGTCATGTCAGAGTCATAATAATCAAGTATGCTTTTGATTGATTGAAATTAAGATCATATGATGTACTCACAAGATATTCTCTTCAAGTATTTCTACCGTATTTTTAGTCTCTCTATGAGCTTGGACATAGGAAGGTGCTGCCTTCAACCTGGTAACACCTGCGCTTGCATTTGCTAACAATGTCACGGCCAAAAGTAGGAGCAGGATCATGTTTGCTAGTAATAAATAGTATAAAATTTTATAGTAGCAGAAATATTCACTTACAGCAAAACATGCTTTAGCGTGATCTAGCGGTGGGTAGTCGAACATAGTAACAACTATTCCTGCATCACGTAATTAAATAATTTGCAATATGCAAAACCTTCCAACATTATAGGCACCGCTGTATTCCAGGCGTAATCACCTGACTTTATATGAGTCACCTGATGGAAAGTGACTACCGCCGCTCATTAAAACTTGCAACTCAGAAGTCACAAGCGTTGCAGGCTGTTTAGGTAAAGGCCACTTAGGCCTTCAAGTAAACAGAGTAGCTTTCTCGAAGGTTTGGAGGTCGTATCGGTCCAGAAATTCCGCAGGTGACAATTTTCTTCGAAAACTATTTGTACGATGGAAAAAGTTTGTTTAAAAATGGTGGGGATGGATGGTGGCGGAATGGTTCGACCGGTATTAGATTCGACAATTGGATTCGATCAGATAATTCCTAGATTTGATATCAGCGATAGAGAATGCATGGTGAACTACATCACAATTAAAATAAAAGAATATACAAGTTTTACCTGACATAAGTATTCAATATGTTGTATACTTCAACAATATGTAAATTATTGTACTTAGGGGGTTTATATCAGAATTTGTTAATACAGGATGAAATTGATCATAATATCGTCCATTGTTGAAAATTATTATTACTTTTATGATAATAATAAATAGGTTTCTGTGATTTGTCTCAGACATAGTAATTAGTGGGATAACTTTGTATTAAATCAAAAACAGTACGTAAATATTAAAATCAGTAACAAATAGTCAAATCATACAAAACAAGATAATATAATAGTAAAAAAAGAAGGTAAAATTCCTGCATTCCTGCGCAATGAATGCAACGTCACTGCTTCATTTCACACTATTAGTGGTCTAACCTTACTTTGCCATCTTACCATTGATTAGTATCGGGTCTAAACCCAGTCTCTGCACTACTCACATAATGAAGAGTGGTTCAAAAGAGGATATCGCCTTGCAGTAATATGTAATGATTAATTATGACTAGTCGTTCTAGTAAATTCAGACCTAAAATTGAAGATATTCAATATTATGATAAAGGAGAACAACACTTCCCTATACCAAAATCAAAACATTAAAAATAAACCTAATAGGAGGAACTTTCAGGAATAGGAGTTCCTTGGCAGGCTTGAAACTTTTAAGGTGAAAATCTAAGAAACACGCTTCTTCAACGTTTTGATATAGCTATATAGTGCATACCTACGTCACCAAAGGAACATTTGGGTAAAATTTCATGTTTCTAGACCCAGCGATGTCATATATATATATAAAAGAAGAAACCGAATATATAAGCAATAAAAAATTATGTAAAACGACTAGATAAATATATAGGTGACCAGTAATATGTTGACTTGGCACGGTACTAAAGTCTATACAATGAAAGTTCAAGTTATACTGAAATAAAACAAGTTATACTGAAATAAAACTAATGAAATAAAACAAGACATTGAAAGTAGTAGTAGTAAAGGAGTGATTATTGAAGGGGTGTCGTAAGAGCCAACTGAGGGAGCAAGCATCAAGCAAACGTAGGACAACAGCACTGCAAAAAGAAGGAAATCTTGAAACAAGCCCTATACCAACGCGTCAGGCCAGTGTGGAATAGTAGGGCAAAACCTCCTTTCTAAGTAGAGGCCTATGTCCAGCAGTGGACTATTAAATGCTGTTGTTGTTGATTATGATGATGATGATAATTATATCTTTTATTCAGAGCTTTTATATTGCGCCATTCGTGTTACTTAATCTTACATTATGCTACTTACTATGCATTTGATACAAAGCTAATAAACGTATTAGACGAAGTTATGAAAAATATAGAGAACCAAGTTATCGTAATCAAAGCAAAACTAATTTTATAAACAATGGATGTGATTTCACCCTGTTAATTAACAAAAGACACAGTTTGGATATAAATACATTCAATTTTATAATTTCTATATTGTTAACATTTTAACAACATATTAACAAACGCAGGTAAGATTTATTATTTTACTTAGAACTCATACAATGTCAGTTACGTAATCTATCTAATCTACCCGGGAAATCCGTTTAGTGTTCGCACATCTCCATTTTTCAAATACTCGAAAAACCAGATTCTGTATGGGACTAATCCCTCCCACATGCCAACTACTGTAACTCTTGTACACTAGGATCAATAACAGTGAACCACTAACACAAGAAGTAATGATATTCGAGAAATCCCAGGAAATGTTAAACTGTTCTGAGTGCAGCAACGAAAGTATATTAAGGAGTTGGAAATATAATTAATTCAATCTCTTCCATAGCAAAACGGGAACCAAAAATAAAGCAGAATAGGCAAACACTTTATTAAACAGAGAATCACCACGGGCATAAAAACGTTATAGGTCCTAAGTGAGCTATATTTGAGTCCTATAATATGTATAGCAAAATAACCCAAACGCACGGAAATTGTCCCCACCTCTGATGATGTCGTCTGTTAGAGATTCTGTATATGAACTATGCGTCTAAGAATTGCTTTAAATCACTGTCGCGTTTTTACACACTATATGGACAAGAATAACATAAAAAAAGGATTAACCGAATATTAACGTATTTAAGAATACTTATCATTGCGATAACGACTGGCCATGAGAAACCTAAGCGCTTGTCTTCGTTGAAGCGATTGTGTTCCCCGTGACCAGTCGTGTCATGACTTTTGAACACAAAGTGGGAATGTAGCGTTATCTATGGACTGGCCTGTTGGTCTAGTGTAGTCATTTGTTCTGTGTCTGGGTGTTCTTTATCTATAATATGTATGTATTTAGAAATATATAAGTATATTTATCAGCAGTCTGGTTACCATAGTACAGGCTCTGCCTAATTTGGGATCAGCCCGCCGTGTGTGAGGTGTGTGTGAAAATATTAAATATCATTGTCTTTGCTAGATGGCACTGTAGTATTACTATATTTGTAAATGTCGCTATTAATATTTCGTATTTTTTACCAGCAATGATGACCATGTTCATACTTTTGACCATTGTTTCGGTGATTCATGGAGGCATGAGCGCTCTCGTAGCGCCGCCTGCCTACGTCGAAACTCATAGAGAAGTCATCGCGGAGGGTAAAGCAATTGAAGACAATATCTTGTGAGTATTACTTGCCCATAATAAAAGTTATCATCTACTGTTAAATGTACGGAAATACATGTGTTATATTTAGTGATGTGCCGGATATCCGTATCCGTATCCGTATCCGCGGATATCCAAGTTAGAAGAGAGATCCGTAACCGTATCCGTATCCGTGACTTTTTTGGCGGATCTTTCAATACATATTACATAGATGAAATTCTATATAGGTGATTTTGTATTCACTGTAAAACTCTTAGGCATGTGTTTGTAACACTATAAACAGCAACTTTTTTTCTGGCCAACGTCAAAATGAAAAAAAAATGGCCCTCCATTCAAATGACCAATCAAATGTTGTTAGTTTGTATGGAGAGACAATTTTTTCTTTCGTTTTCGGTGTTAGTCCAGAAGAAAAGTTGTTGTTTATTATGTTACTAATATGCACTTCAGAGGTTTTCAGTAAATTTAAATTTAACCCTGAATAATGGTTATTAGGTAGCTATGATAAACTATTGAATTCTGTTCAGATTGCTTTTTATTTCTTAAAACAAATATTTGGTACCTTTGTATTGCAATCATTTATCGTACTGTATCAACTAGGCAGGTCGTAGGTACTGAAAGAGCTATCTTTATAATGAGATCAATCAAACATCTTTGTATTAGCTTATTAAAGTAATGAAATATTTAAATATCAACGGCAAAGCGTCAAGTGGCGACAACTATCAAGGTCACGGGCTCCGATTAAGTAAGAAACTTAAGATCCGTATCCGTATCCGTATCCGCGGATCTTGAGACCAAATATCCGTATCCGGATCCGTATCCGCGGATATACTTTGTTAACGATCCGGCACATCACTAGTTATATTGGCCATATAATTATTATATTTGTATGGTGTTTCAGCATTGTTGTTTTTCAATCTAAAAGCTATAATATTTTTAATACACCTACTTCCTATTTTATTTTCCTCTTTAAGAAAGCCTCAATATTATGTATTTTCTGAATAACACTTAAATAAATAAATGAGATTAATAATCATTTACATATTTTGCATAACTAAAATTTAAGCCATCAAATGTGTCATGGCCAGATCTTAGAATTGACATATTTAAAATATATGCCATCATTTTATGAAATGGGCATATTTCATAATATATAATCTCTACACGTTAGTTTATTTTGTTCTGACGTCAACATGTTCTTTTCAATATTCATAATAATCCGGCAAAAAGCGAGTGACAGCTGTCCCAGTGTATGGTTGCGTAAAAAAATTAAAGTCTACAGAATAATATTAGTCTGAAGCCTCGATCAGATATGCAGAGACTCGCCAAATGCCGATGTATCGCCGCGTGACGAGTACTCGGTGTTTTGTTCTTCAAATATTGAGCATACTCGTATATGCAGACTACGTAACCCCAGAGATGGTATGAAGGTATAGGCAATATAATATAGTCATTTGTAGCATATAGTGGGCATAAAGTCCGCCGATGTACATAAGTGCATAAAGTTGTTTAAATAAATATAGGTGTCATCATCATCATCAACAGCCTTTAAAATTCAGCTGCTGAACAAAGGCCTATCCTCAGAAAGGGGGTTTTGGCCTATCACACCACGCTGGCCAGACGGGTTGGTATAGGGTTGGTTTCAAGTTTTCCTTCTCTTTGTTGTCTTCAAGTTTGCTTGCTCAGCTCTTACGACACACATGGGATGAATAGGGATGGTGACACTCCTTATTCTTAATCCGTCACCACGCGAAGTAATAGGTGAGGCAACATTTATACAAATAGCACATATATAATAATATAGGTGTTGGCTATAATCGCAGGGAAAATTAAGGGTGCTATTTGGGCTATAATGACGTTGACGATATAGAAAAAAAAAACTTTTTCAATTTATTAATTTGTTTCACAGAACTGCCATTTTTGTAAACATAAGGGGCGAAAGAGCAGACTGGTCACCTGATGGTTTGTGACAATTTCGCCCATAACCATCAGAGTGCTTAGCCGTTTTTTGATACCCCAGAATCAGAAGGTGTTTTGGCTCTAGTACCCACACTCTCTTGGTGAAAAGCTACGATACAGTTATTTAATAGCAGTCTATTGTGAGGCCATGGTATCGCTCAGGTCTAGCTGGTCTAATTCCAGGTTCCAGGGTTCCTAATGGTTAAAACAACACTGTATGTTACATTTGTGTTATATTTAGATCGATGATTAACCACATACCGCTCCTGAACGACTCCAGACGACATTTTGCTGAACTTGTACATGTTATCTATGTAGCAGCCTACGAAACTGGACGCAGTTGTATGTAAGTATAAAATAAAAAAAATAATATTTAAAAAAAAACAGTCCCACTCCGGGAGTGCCGACAGAAGTAAAACTTATATACAGAGGTGACGGTAACAGTAACGGTAACGCCTAAAAAAGTTTTTACTTCAAAAATTAAGTAATCCCTTTCTTTACTTTATATTCGTATGGTTAAGGGACAAACAAGCAGACGGTTGCCTGTTGGTAAGTGGCTACCGCAACCCATGGACTCCTGCAACTGAAGAAACCTAAGTGCGTTGCAACCACTAGATGGTGCAACTGAGTGTCTAGAGCTTCGGCCAGCAACCAGCATCATATATGTATATCAACGTTGGATGTTGATCTCAATCTATATTTTTAATTTAATTGGAACGAAGTTCCTTATCGCGCGTTGTGAAAGGGGCGAGACGGAAAAAATTCTCACGAAAAGTTGTAACGACACTTTTTTATGTCAGTCATTCAGCGCCATCTATCGAATAGATAGGAAATCATTACTTTTCATCTCAGTATTTATTTTGAATTGTCACTTGTCAGTCATTCAGCGCCATCTATCGAATAGATAGGAAATCATTTCTCAAGGAGATTTTACCAATGTATAAATTGTTTTAATTAGAAACCAACTGAAAAATATGTAGGTAATAGCCGCTTTCATAGATTGCGTTGTAATTAAAATCGTGTCGAATCAGTTTTACTCGATCGTCACAACTTCGTTCCTATCGGGTGTCCCACGACACCACACGGCTTTTTTTTTATTTTTTTTATTTAGTTAATTATAATTACAGACAAATAATTTTGAGATGAACACGATCATTTCTTCTGCGCTTGGATGTTGTTTATCTATTACACTTATGTATTTAATAATATATGAGTATTTTCATCAGCTGTCTTGTTACCATAGCATACCTGATTATGAAAATTAAGATCAGATGGCCTTATTAAACTAATTGACACGGCAATTTTTACCTTCTATAATTTTTTATTGTAGACATTTTTTCTAAAGGACCAAAAAACTGTTCCTCGTTCCTTGTGTGTTAGCAGTGTTTACTGACAAATGATGTTAGCGCACACCAGACAATGGTTCCCGAAAATGATATATGGACTGCACCTGACTCGTTGGCACATAGACGAAACGGCATTAGCACCGAAACCTATTTTCTTTTTCACTGATTGCTTATATTTAACTGTTGTAAAATAATTAATATTATATCACGAGGGTAACTAAAATTTAAACATTGTCAATTTACCACACCTACAGAAAGTTATTTAAGTTAAGTAACAAAATTGATATGTGCCTGTTTCTTTTATTTCAGTCCAATTGACTATAATCAAATAATTGAAGAAGCATCAGTGGAAGCTTTGAGCAAACCAGAGAAGGTAATTAAAACCGTGAAGAAGGTTTACGAAGACTTGGACTCAAAAACAAAAACGGTTTGTATCATTCACAAATGAATATTATTCTTCTAACACATGTTTTGTAAACTTTATAGTTTCAAAATCATTTAACTTAGAAGCAATCATTGATTGTATTTGTTGCGAGTATAATATGTATTGAAAGCAATATATGTAAATAAAGATAATTTATTTACTGAATACATAATGTCGTGCTTAGACTACCAGCGATGAACCTGTTTGCAAATGAATTACTAAAGCGAAGTGTGGGTTAGCGAAGGGGGTTTAGAATCGTAAAAAATGTGTCATGTAAACGTACCTATACACGTTTTATTAGACCATTTACAAATTTTTCATCACACATCATCAACAGCCTTTAATAGTCCACTGCTGGAGATAGGCCAATCCTTAGAAAAGAGGTTTTTTGGCCTACTATACCACGCTGGCCAGACGCGTTGGTGTAGGGCTTGTTTCAAGATTTCCTTCTTTTTGCAGTGCTGTTGTCCTACGTTTGCTTGCTGCTTGCTCCCTCAGTTGGCTCTTACGACACACCTTCTATAATCACTCCTTTTTAAAATACTATAACTGGGACTGCTTTTGGGTTGGTATAGGGTTTGTGTCAAGTTTTCCTTCTTTTTGCAGTGCTGTTGTGGTGTCTTACGACACCCACGGGATGAATTGGGGTAGTGACATTCCGTATTCTTAATCCGTCACTACACGGACAAATGATTATTATAATAAAATAGTAAAAGCAAAATAATTTTTCATTAAAAATTCATCCACTGACACTTGACATTAACTTGAAACATCTTATATACGGCCGTCTGATAGGAAAACAGACTGAGCCTGTAATATCATCATACTGCAGATAAATATGCCTATATATTTCTAAATACATTAAAATAATACCTAAACTACAACTACAAAGATCAAATGATGATCATTTGTTCTTTGTAGTTGTAGTTTATGTTCATCACACAATTATTGCCCCTTGGTGGGAATTCAACCCACGACCTCTGACTTAGCAATGAGCATCGCTAACCACTATTCAACATAACTGTCAAAATTTAAAATAAAACAACGCTTTTACTCCATATTAAACTTTAAGAAAAGCCAAGAGACTATTCATCTTGAGTTACCGGACGACACTACGGTAATCGGTGACAGATCGGTTTGAGTTTTCTTCTACTCTTATCTTAACATCGAGCCCCCGACATGTGACCGTAATCCCACTTACGATAAACATTTTGTTTATAATATGCCTACTTGCACAGGTCTGTGTTTAAACATGTTTGATGTTATTAGTTTGGACCATTTTCTATTGGAATATGTGAAATTTATTACATACTAACATACACATACTCATAAAGATCTTTTTTTTCAGTTACAAGAGTTGATAGAAACCATCATGACTATTAAATTAGACGATGTATTTGCCAATTCGATGATCGATTTAATCGTGAATGCTGCACCAGAGAAATATGCGGAGGAGGCCAAATTACACTTAATTTGTGGTAAATCTGCCAATAAATTCAATAAAAAGAAAGATCTATTTAACAAATTATCCAAAGAGCTGGATACACACAAATTCGTCGTAACAGAATTTGATACGCTCATGGATTTAGTCTATGCATCTGCCGACGTCAGTAGAATATTGTACCCCTTCCCTAACCTCAAGTGTTAAAAACACAAAAGTCTGTGTAACAAAAAAATTTTGCGAAATATATATTAAATGCATGCATCTAAAACCGTTTTTAATTATGGTGACCTAATAGTAAGTAACTAGCCACCACCAATTCAAGGGACTTCAGTACTTTGATAGTAAGTACACCCATGGACACTTACAACTTAAGGGACTCAAGTACATTGCCGCCCTTTAAGTGTTCTTTTTCCCTGGAATGGAAGGAGGGGAGGTTGGCATGCGGTAACCTCACCCGGTGATAACCCAATATTAAAAAACAGTATAAAGCTCAATCATGGTATATTTGCTGTAATTTTCTGAGGAGTTGGCTATCCCCCAGACTACTTGATGCAGCAGCAAGTTCCGGGTTACCATGTCGTGGAAATATCATTAAATTGGATTCGTGGGTTTTAGTGAGATCCTTTCATCACTCGCAGATACACAGGTTAAACTTATAACAACCCTCCATTTCCGTCGGGGATTAAAAAGCAAATGACTGATTTCTTAACACTAATTTTTAGAGCGGTGGTACGAGTATCTTATTGTTTGCCATACATATTTCGTTATTACAGTGGACCACATTGGGATGTAGTGGAATTCTAGGAGCTTTGTGTATACTTGGTTTAACTAGAAAAAGATGAAAATTGAAAACATTTTTGTTATTTAGTTTTTCTTCAGAAAATGTTTGTCTTAGTGTAAGTGTATATTTTGAAACATCAACATGAATTTTTGACATCACATATGACTTTCTTTAGAAAGGAGGTTTTGGCTTCTATACCACAATGGCCAGACTGGTTGGTATTGGGGTTTGTTTTGATTTCCTTTTCTTTGCAGTGCTATTGTCCTGCAAAGTTTGCTGCATTGAATTTTTATTTTTCAAAATCTCATGTAAAATATTGGTGTTATCGGTCGGTTTTCTAAACCGATTAAAATTGTGACTTTATTGCAAGGGACTCGGCGTTCCTTTTAAGGGAGCAATATACATTTAAGAGACATTGAGTGTAAACTATAAGGGGTATTTTTTTTATTTTAGTGATGGGACAGGGTTGGGACGTTGATCGATAAAATGGTTTGATGATCTGAATTATTTATTTTATTTATGGAGTTTACTCCTTAAGAATCGATATTCATAGGCGCCCATTATGAAAAAAATATGAAGACTAAAATTTAGTGATCGGATTACAGGATTACTTCCTTATGTTTTTTGTACGCACCGTGCGCACCTTTCACATGTGTGTGTATAACTTGCATACTTGTGTGCAGCCGCATCGTTCCTAAGAAGTAAAGTCCAGTCGTGCGTCGGAGCTGACACACGTTGGCAGAAAGCCTGGCATTTGGAGCAGAGGCGTGACCTTCTAGTGGCCATCGGAGTGGGAGTCCTTTCGCTCGGTAATATGAGCGAGAGATGGAACTCCGCCGTCTCCTTCTGCGAGCAAGTTATGCTTGCGAAAGAGATGGCGGAGCGGGACCGGAGAGGTTTAGAACTCTCCCTACCCGCCAGGCCCGGGAACGGGCCAGGTACCACAGACGATTGCACCTATAAGCTGTCTACGTATAAATTGGCATACATTAAGTACAAATACCTAATAGCTCATTAGAATATGTTTTTTTTTACTTATCAATCCCTTGTTTTCATAATTTGGCTGAATGGCATCAGTTTGCTAAAATCTTGGGTTTTAGATTCGGGTTTTAAAAAAAAGCATAGATTCGGACCTGTTCACATCACACATCACTGGCCATCACTGGCCAGCGTGGTATAGTAGGCCAAGACCTCCTTTCTAAGGAGAGGCTTATGTCCAGCAGTGGACTATTATAGGCTGTTGATGATGATGATCATCAAGTATAAAATTGCCGATTTGTACTGAAAAATTGAAGCTCAATTTTTTCCAAGATGTAACATCTTTATTTAATCAAAACATTTACTCTCATTTTCTATACATTGCTGCCATCTAAACGGAAGTTCATTTATGCCTTTACGATAGAACTCTGAGTATTTAGATTCGACAAATGTTTATCAAGTAGAAAACTTTCCAAATTACGAAAAAAATGGCAGTCCATTTTAGCAAGGACTGGCGAGTACTGAGGATGACGTTTCTAACTTTAGCTCCTGTAGAGTTACAACGGTTTCTCGTGCAGTGTGAGGAATTGCGTTATCATGGAGCAATAACGATGAAGCTCGATTCACCAGTCGGTGCTGTTTCACTGCCAGTTTCGCCATCATTGTTTGAAGTTCGCCACAGTAAACATCTGCTGTTATTGCCTGACCAGACCTGAGAAAGCTATAGTATTTTAAGTAATGAGTAAAAGGGACATTTAAAAAAAACATCAACGGGTGCTTAATTGTTATTATTTATTAGTTATTACTTTGCACCCTTAAATCACCAGTATAAGTTGAATTCCTGTGCATTTAAGATAGGTTAAGAATATAATTTTCTTACCGATAAAATGTTATGCCATCTTTCTGATAACTGGATGTCTTACCTGACACGCAACACCATTCCACTGTACAGGAAGCCATTTCTAGTATATTTTGATATAAAACTATTTTAAACTGTCAAGAACTCGGACGTGCCTACGGATCACAAACTTGGTCGTTACTACTATTAAGACGTATTAAGTTAAGTTGTAGTTATTAAAAATATCTACAAAATGAGACTTGGTGCGTTCCAATTGTTTTTTTTAGAACATGCAAAAAACTGCTTAATTTCGTTGTTTTTTGAATATTTTTAAATAAACAATTATAAATGTAAGTTAATAATATAATCAAGAGCCTATACTAGTCCACTGCTGGACATAGGCCTCTCCTTAGAAAGGAGGTTTTGGCCTACTATAACACGCTGGCCAGACGGGTTGGTATAGGGTTTATTTCAAGTTTTCCTTCTCTTTGCAGTGCTGTTGTCCTGCTTAGTTTGCTCCCTTAGTCGGCTCTTACGACACCCACCCATAATATAATAATAATATAATAATAAAAAGTTATTCCACTAATTAATGTGTTTAATAGAACAAATCATAAAATCCTATTTATTATTATCATCAAAGCAAAACAAATTTTTCAACAATGGACGTATTTTAATCGATTTCATCCTGCGTTAAGAATTCTGCTATAAAAGCCCTCAGTACAAAAATTTACATATTGTCGAAGTATACGACATTTTGAATACTAGCGTTAGGTAAAACTTGCGTTTTTTTTTATTTACATTGCGTATAGATGTAGGTTTACTCGGTATTCTCTATCTCTTATATCATGAGGAGTGCTCCGAGGAATTGTTCAGACTAGTACCAACCGCAGCTAGCCGCCGCCCACCGTTCTGCCTTGCAAAAACAATCAAAAGCTTTCTAAGAAACATTTTCCCTTGCACAACCAATCTTTAGAACAAATGATCAAAAACGTATTTCTGGATCGATACGAATTTAGAATCTTCAAACAGAGTACTTCCACCTAAAAAGCCCGCAACGTGCTAGTGAGTACTGAGTTGCAAGTATCAATTAGCGTTGTTTGTCACTTTCTATAAATTGACGGATCGTTTGCCCCAAATGTTATTAATAAAAATATGTTTTGCTGTAACTTTGAAAATTACTAATGTTATAATCTTTTATTCACTTTTTTTACCAGCAAACATGATCCTGTTCCTACTTTTGCCTGTGATGTCGTTGGCAAGTAGAAGCACAGGTGTTTCCACATTGATTCCACCCCCTCTCTATGTCGAATCTTATAGAGAAATTACAAACGCTGATCAAATAATTCAAGACAATATCTTGTGAGTACTACATAGTTAATATTATTTCACAAACGTATACTCGATTATTACAACTTTGACTTGAAAAAATGAATAGGTGTATCATCAAATTCATTACAAATAAATTAAGCACCCATACTGAAACCGTCTTGATTGAGTTAAAACGAAAATGAGTTGGCCCAGTAAAACGATTCATACTGTTACGAGCGTGGCATACAATAAATAAAAGTTGTCGGTTAATTACTTTGATTGCACTGTAATTACAAACACTCACTATTACAAGAAACAAGTGTATAACTCGTTAGTCACACTAGAAATTCGCTTTGATATTAATTCGTTGTAAAACGAAACTGCCCCGTATGGCCAACACTCTCCGCTGTTATACTCGTAGTGCTATCGAAATTACTAGACTAATCCCGAATATCCGAATACCCGAATATCAGATCTTCCAGACAGAACCACGTACAATAAGGCATCTAGAATTTTCTATAGTTTTCTGATATTCACCACTAGATGGCACTGCAAGCAAGTTACTTGATACTAGATAGCGCTGTCCTCCAGACACAATACAAGAACATCTCAATCCTATGGCGTAACAATACAAATATTTTGTGTCAGAAAGAAGACGCAAGTAAATGATAATAATTATAGTTTAGAAAAACTAAAATAAAAACGCTTTAAAGCGTTCCAGTATAGACAATACTGCTGAACCAGTCGTGAATTTTCTATAACGTAATTCCATAAATTACGTTATAGAAAATGAAGTTTCGATGGCTTACACATTGGTTTTGGCCAAGGCTTAAATACTCGTAGTAATTTATTAAAATAAAAAATATTAAAATATCTTAATCTTTTATAACACAACTTCAATATTATTTTTCTGAAGAAACTTTATGCAATCTTAAATTTATAGCATTATATTTATTTATTTTAAGACAATACAAATATTAAAATAATGTAATCCTTCAATTATACGTAAACGCTGTGTGACACGTTACCTACAGATTGTTATTTTTTATGCAAATTTGATGTTCTGTTTTACCCCGTATTTATTATACTTCGGTATTGTATTCAGGTCAATGGATGGGCACATACCACTCCTTAACGACTCCAGGCGTTCTTATGCAGAAATCACCCATGTTATTTTCAATATTGCTAACATAATTGCACACAGTTGCTTGTAAGTATACATGTAAATTTTTATGAACTTCTTTAGTGAAAAACAATTTTTCTTTTTTATGTATTTCCTATTTCATTTATTTCAGTCGCCCAGTCTACGAGAATATCTATCAGGATATTATAAATTATACCCTAACTGAGGCTTTAGGGCAGCCACAGGAAGTAGTTGAAACTGCAAAAGAATTGTTTACTACTTTGGATGATAAAACACTAAAAGTAAGTACATTTTGGTTAGACGTGCTCGGTTTCAAAAAGAGAGGTAGGAGAAAGAAAGATAATGGTGGGTAAGCCATATTGTTTATATGAATGATAGCATCCCGATTCGATTTTCAAATTCCCAGAAACGGAAAATAGCGCCAAATAAAATCCAAAGCAAGTTATAATATTTGAAAAAAAGTTATACAATCTTCATTACACACGCCTTTTTTTTCAGATTCAAAAGTTGATAATTGAAATTACTAAAGCAGAAAGTAACGATGTTGTTGCCGATGCATTAATTAACAAAATCATAACTAATGACCCAAAGGAATATAAGTTAGAGGCTGAAGTATTATTAGCTGCTGGTGCATCTGCCAAAAAATTCAATGAAATGAAGGACACATTTCATGACGTAGCAAAATCATCGGAATCACATAAATACATCATAAGAGGTACACAGGAGCTGAAAGCACTTATCTTATCACTGACTTCTGCTATTCATCTGATAAAAACGGACTCTATTAAATGCTAAAAATGTCACATTTCACAAGAGTTTCTTCAACGAAAATGAAATTTTTGAAAAAATAATATTATGCATATCGCACCCTCGGTGCAACACAGTCACAACAGGTCATGTTGTAATTTTACAGGAACGGACTTTTAAGTTTTTTTTCGATCAATTTTCCTTTTTTCTAGATTACTACCTACAGCAGCCGGGATATCTCATTAAAATTATATTATTTGTTCTTTTAACTACAGTATCATATAAAAAGATTTCTTTGATTTCATTAGAAAATTGAAAAAAAGGAAACAAAAAAAAAAGTCGTAACTTGTGACTATGTCGCACCAGGTACAAATATAATTTAATTATTTGAGCGTTATAATGGCACTTTGTTTTTTTACTTTAAGCTGGTGTAGCTCCAAGTCACGACTGACTCATGCGGGCGCGGGGTCACTACTTACTAATCATACTCTGTTCTCCCAATATTCGTCGAAAAAGTAGCAAGAACCACAAAGGCACTAATGCCATCTATCGACATATTCAAATACTTTCGCGGCTGTCTTTAATTTCCCAAACGAAGAAATGGTTTATAGACAATTTGGCATACTTTAGTCATTTTGGCAATTTTGCCTACTTGTGACTTTGTTGCACCGAGGGTGCGATATATTGAATAGTTTAATTTTTTATTTACCACTAGACTTTTCTTAATGCTATAGGGCGCAAATGAGCAGATGGGTTATTTGATAGTAAGTGACTACCACCAAAACTCATAAGAGCGTCACTACACTTTTGGGTGCCCCCCCCCCCCCCCCCCCTCCCCATACATCCAGAGGCCTCCGATAACCTCTCTCATTATTTTGAGTTACTTATAGCTGTGGGAGTACTATTCTTCGACACGAGTGGGCCAATAATTATCCCCTCATCCAACAGTGTCCATGGGCGTTGGTTACTTATATGCTACTTATATGTATGACGTAGTCTGGAGCCGAACTGCTGAGTCTCTTCACTCTGGCTAATGGTAAATTGGTAATTTGCACACTGGGTCACCTCACAATAGTTACAGGTTAATGGTAATTCAAATGGTACACTAAGCCACTTTATGGTTAATGGTTTATGGCGGTATAATTGCGGTAACATACTCTCAAGATGCCGTGATACGATCTTTGCCGAATGTCTACCTATGGCCGTCAGGACAAAAGAAATTAACGTGTAGAGATTATAATAATATGTATTATGAAATACGCCTATTTCATAAAATGTTAACACATATTTTGAATTTGTAAATTCTAAGATCTGGCCATGACATATATTTGATTTCATAATTTTTAGTTAAGAAAAATATATGAATGATTATTATTTTTATCAGCAAATGTATAAAACTGCGGCTTATTTAATGACGAAAAGAAAATAGGAAGTAAGTAGACTGAGAATATTTTAGTTGCTTAAAAATCAAACGAACAATGTTCAAAAGCTATGCAAGCAATACTATTTTTATATTTAACAATAGCTGATAAACTATTGGATAAGTAATACTCACAAAACATTTTCTTGAATTGCTTTTACGACCGCGATAATTTCTCTATGAGTTGCGAGGTAGGAAGGCGGTGGTCTAAGAGCGCAGATGCCTCCATGAATCACCGAAACAATGACCAAAAGTATGAAAATGGACATTATTGCTGTTAAAAAATACGAAATATTAATAGCGACACATTAAAACATATACATGCCATTACAGCCACAAACTACAATGTCATCTAGCGAAGACGAATCGATCGACGCGCTGAACCTGCAATACATGAAATTAGTATCTATTAGTAAATTAGTCATTATTGATTAGTAGTTAACATATTCGGATAATCATTTTTTGAGTTTCCTTCTATACATAGTTTGTAAAGAACGCGACAGTCATTTAGAACAGTTCAATCTCTCACAATCTTTGAGGATCCTGTGTCCTTTAACCTAAATTTCTATGCTCTTTGGGCGATTCTGCAATAGGTATTTTAGAAATCAAACATAGCTTACTTAGGAGCCGTAATGTTTTTGTGTCCGCCGTGCTTCTCTGTTTAATAGGGTGTATAGGTACCTATTTTGCTTTATTTTTTATTGCCCGCTTTGCTGAGGGGGGACGTTTTTTTATTATATTCATAACTCCTCCAATTAATTTCCGTGTTTTTTAATATATCCTAGTAGCATGCACATGCTCAGAATTTAATAAAATTATAATTTAAGATAAATTTAAGGGTCACTTTACTTGCATTCGACACGCCTGGCCTTTTAAACCAATATTTTTTAGCTAAATTAAAGTGACAAATATTGCATTGGTATAATAGGTATTGCAGAATTAATAGGTTTTCAAGGAAAGGTGGCCTCATATTTTAGTGATGAGTAAGTAGACCTTAGGTCCGTGTGGTAACGGAATTAGAATACGGAGTTTCACCACCACTATTGATCCAGTGGGTGTCGTAAGAGCCGATTAAGGGAGCAAACTCTGCAGGACAACAGCACTGCAAAGAGAAGAAAAGCTTGAAATAAACCACTTTTTTTACATGTCGAAACCCCTGGATCGTCACCCCATCGGAATTTGCGGCGGGAATCGAACGGTGCATGCGGTGTATGGGAATCGAACCGACTAAAACCGGTCCGGGAACAGCTGATATTAAGACATCCGGACTCCTCGCAGCGTCTGCTCACAATAGCTCGGGCACCACCTTTATCTGTTTCGGAGACGTTCGGCTCATGCGGATGTCACCTCCTCGCAGCTTGCCACTCTAGCGGTTGGACGAGAAAACTCGTCCCGTCCACCCGCGGCCACACTCAGGGCGGCATGAGGCCCTGTTAAGTGCGCCTCCGCCGCCTGATTCATCTGGACTGGAGGTAATCCTACCGGGCCCTCTCCGCCGCCTCCTTCTGCTAGATGACGTCAGTCACTACCGGCCATGGAGCGTAAGAAGCCGGTAGCGAGAGATTCTCTACAATGACTGCAATGAAAGCCCGATGCTGCGACGCCTAAGTCGGGCAAGTTGCCAGCGTGTGCTAAGCCGAGTCCTCACTGCAATCGCCATGATGACAGGCGGGACTGAATTTTCTCCTAGCGACCGAGTGCAGATTGTTCCTGAAGCAGCCGTGCCCGGCAAGGACCTGCGTCAGTCGGAAGGAAAGGGTCCCGTACTGCCACACTACCGAATCGACGATGACCGGCTGGAGAGTCTCCACGATAGCAAAGCCAGCCCGTGCAGCCTCCAGCTGCACGGGCTGGCTTTGCTATCGTGGTGCTTTTTTTTTTCAGGATAAGGGCGACACCAGGGGTGACGGTCAAGAACCTCGAGCATATCCTTTCTTTTCACTTATTTGGCACCGCTAGTGGCCTGCTTACGGTACTCCTCATGAAGCCGGTCCTCCTCACCGTATTCGCAATGACGCCGCTAACTGAATTTGTATATTTAAAAAAAAAATACAAATCAAAGAAAAAATTACTTGTCTCTTCATACTAATGTCGAAAATACATAAATTATAAAATTAAAGGTTTTTATACACAAATAGTATAATTTGTTAATGAACGTGAAATCACGTTTTATTTATATAATTAGTTCTGCTTTAATTATGATAACTGTGTCTAATGGGTGATTAGCTTTGCACCAAATGCATAGATTTTATATATACACTCACTGACTCGCGCAACTTTTCTCGTTTTGCAACAATTTTAATTGTTGCTTGGCTCCTATTGTTCGTAGCGTGATATTATATATCATTTAAACTTTATTTAATTATCATGATCGGACAAAGACTATAAAAATTTACAACGAAACAGAGATAGTGACGATCAAACAACTATACACCTACAACAGTTACATTTTTATACGCAAAGCAATTAACAAAAATGTTCATATCAACTTAGAATTTATCAAAGGAAAAAAGGGTTGCTAACCCCGGGATTCGCACGCGCAGCGCTGGCTATCTCGCTCTGCCAAGAATTTGTACGAACTACGGTAAAACGCTGATTACAACAAGATACCCACAACTATAAAAAATGACAGCTCCTTCAAAACCTTTAAAAGAAAGCTTGCTTAATTTATAATTAAAAACTAATCTTTATTATAATATTATATAATGTGTTAGCATGGTTAGCATTAACTGTAATAAGTGTAACTATTGTTCTGATTGTGGATGTGTTGGGTAGGCACCTGCACTTCATAACGTATGTACTACCGTTAACTATTTGTTATGTTGTTATCTTTGTGAATTTTTTAACCATTTGTTATGTTTATCCTTGTGACGATTAACACTATTAATATGTTGAATGGAAATGTTCTCATGGAAGTGATGTAAATCTTATATGTGAATAAATATCTTTTAACCTTACATCTTATAGAGCTTAAGTATAACCTTCCTCAATAAATGGGCTATCCAACTCTAAAATGATTTTTCTTACACTTTCTTACTACTAGCTTACTTTCTTACTACTACTTTCTTACTAATAGCCGGGGAACCAGGTATACCCTAGAAAGGAAGTCCCTGGTGCCCCGACATACCTAATTGGGTACCTGACATTCATTCAGACAAAAGCTCTGAACAAAAGAAAATACTTTTTATCATCCCTTTTTGAGAAAAGTGCCATCTAGTGTTAACTAATGTAACAAAATCTTACATCAACAGTCCGTACTTCTGTTACATTTAAACTTTGCATCGAAGAGGGCAGTGTTATGCAATTTATTTATTTAAATAGTACATTTTTATCCCACAAGCACAGCCCTCAATCAATGCCTTCAGTTTATATTTTATCTATGTTTATAGTAAAACAATTCCTTGCTCTCTGAATTATAGGATATTCAAAAAGTATTTAAGAAAATAAATTGTTCCAACCAACATTATCGTATGTTTCTATAGCACGAAATACAACACAAAATAAAAAAAAAACCAACACACACAAAAACACTTTTTACAACACTTTGTGTAATCCACAAATTATTGTACCTACAGTAATACTTGCCTGTGAAATTTTCACATCATCACATCACATAGACAGCCTTTGA